TAATTTAGCTATCCAAATGCCTTTATGATTTTTGGAAGTAAATTCTTAAAATTAATAAGTTTGGTAACTTTAAAACAAAATCTGTTTTTTAAGATTAAAATAACCAAATATTTATTCTAGATCATTTGTTGTAAAAGTAACAGTGCAGTAAAAGTTAATTCCCAAACCATATTGAAATAACCAAATCCTAAGAAATGAAAGATGGTTACATCAATAAACAATCAAGAAACACCACCAATGAGCAAGCATTTATGCCTAGCAATACCCACAATACACAGAACACCAGCTTAGACTGACAATTAAGATTTTACCACAATGTCAATGAAAAGATACAGAAAAATGTTCATTAATCTATATCTTAATACAGATTTTGCATTCAACACAATGCTACTGCTTTATGTCTAAAACTACATGCAATAAAGATTTGACTTAATGATGAACAGTAAAGCTGTACATGCATAACAGTTGAGAAAAGTGAATTTTTTTTTCTTGATTATGTTAGAAAATTGTCTTTGATTATCATTCAAACCCAAACCTAATCGACAGCAAAAGTGTAATTCTGGTTAAGTAGGCCTATATGATTAATTATGAGTGCCAAGTCAAGAACCAGGTGTGAAAAAACAAACTTTGGAAAAAGAACAAAGCAGAAGCCTATGGTAACTCTGCTCAGATCAGAAGGAGTAAGTGGTGCTGGGTTGGACACACAGTGAGAAAGGAGCGTAGAAATGTGTTTGGTGCTTAAGGGAAGCAAAAGAAGTAACCAAAACAGACCTGGAAATAGTCTAAAGATCACAAGGAGATCTTGGGAAACTGCAAAATACAGAGCCAGTGAATGGACAAAATGTAAGACAATGCTTGAATCCCTATGCTCCACAACAAATAGGACTAAGTCAAGTAAACATAACATTTTCACTAATATAGAAATAATTGGCTTGAGTGAGTTAAACAAGTTGAAAACTAGGCACTAAATTTTAAAGCTACTTTAGAAACCTGTTGATTGCAGAATTTAGTATAAATAGTGGTGCTAATGAAGTGAAGCACAAAGATTAATGTGAAAGATGTCTTAAGTGCCTTATACTATATATTAATTTTTTTTTCTATGCTTTTAACTTTTGTGAAACTTGAAGACAATAATTGATAAATGTCTGTTTTGTTACTGAGCCGTCATTATTATTGTTTACTGGGAATATAGTATTTAACCACAAAACAGCCGTGGAACATTGAACTAATATGCTAACTAATATCTTTTAGCAAAGAAGTCATCATCTATAAATTAAAAAAAATAATCTTCAACAGGTAGTATTTAACAATGCTTATTTTCCAATAAAATGTAGCTCTAACTACTAGTTTTCCTAATGTCTACTAGGCCTACAAAGGGTCAATGGATATATTATAAAATGCAAATGGGGAAGGGAATGGCTAATCACTGTGAAATTGTGCTTTATGTATTATTTCTCATTCAAAATCTATGGTATACAGGGGGTTTGTCAAAGTGTTAATCAAAACTTTAATACAGTTATATAAATGTCGGTACAGTGGTAAGCCGAGATATGAATTTATTCCTGAACAATGCTCATATGTCAAATTGCTCACATCTCAAGCAATTTTATCCTTTAAAATTTTATAAAATGCCATTAATCCGTTATAGCTCCAAAATGCTACCCCCCCCCCCCCCCCCCTTATTAAAGGGACATAACTGGACCAGGAATTTAAACTTAATTTCCCCCATTTCTTTGGCTACATGCAATAATAAGCGAAGAAAACATTTGGATAAAAGAAAAATTCCTTTAAAATTTATTCTATTTTTTTATTGCCATGAAAATCAATAAATAATGACTAATAATACTTTATGGCTCATGTAAACAAAACAAATACATCACAAAAAAGGTTCATTAGAGCCCAATGATGTTCAACATGCTGTAAGAAGAATGGTGTCTAGAGCAGTGGTTCCCAACCTTTTTCGAGTGGCGACCCCCTTTTATAAAAGTTAAGTGACCCGCGACCCCCATAGAATTAAAAAGCCAAAATTAGTCTGTTGATTTTTCAACTTGAAAAGCAAACAATGGTGAAAGCTTAATTTCAATAAAAATGTGTTATTTAACATCTACGGAAATGTAAGAATTAACTACACCAACTTCAACATTCAGCGTTTGATGAGATTTTCTCCTATTGTGTTTTTTTTTGCTTGGCATTTTCTGTCGCGACTTCATGTGATGCTTGCACTAATGCTGAGTTTCCTTGGTGAAAACTTCCTGTTCGATCAAGTCTCTGACGTTTGCAACTAGCTTCATACCGACGAAAGAACTCCATATCTTTTTGGTGTGTTTCGAATGACTCGTGTCAAATGACGTTTTAGTTTTGAAGATTTCATAAACTCGTGACCGAGAACAACTTTGTACAGTACGCTTTGCTTCTTCTCTATTCCCTTTTCAGTGATGTTAGTAAAGCCGAATTTCAAAGATTCTTCTAAATATTTATGTTTTGTTTAAAATTACTAAGGTTTAGTATACCAGTTGGCGACCCCCCAGGAAGCCCTTCGCGACCCCCAGGGGGGTCGCGACCCCCAGGTTGGGAACCCGTGGTCTAGTGGAACAAAGTAGTTGATTTGAATGCATTATTACACTTCTGCTATCGCTTTAATAATACATTTATTTTAGTTATTTGTTTAAGTTTTATGTACCAAAAATAGAGAGAACCTTATGACAACTACTCTCACATTGTCATCATAAATGTGTGATCAAGAGTGACAGGGCAAGAGTTTGGGTCTAAGAAGAAGTCTATGTGGGGGTTGAAGAGGCTTCATAGGCTCAGTGGGTGATTAGTTTGTGTATTAAGCGCAGGTGACAGTCCATTTTCCAAAACTATTTACTCTTAAATGTTGCAATTCTGTTAAATTGTTTTTCATTATTTTAACTGTATCACTAGTAGAAGAAAAAAAATGGAAATTATATGCATGTTAAGGGAGGTAGAATACTGGAACCATGAGTAACGCAAAGAAATGGAATGTTTGAGAAATGTCCAGTGTTGTGTATATGTACATGATCCAATTTAATTTATAATAGTTATAATAGTTTTTTATGCCTGGGCTTATGATTTCATTAAAACTAGTCTTAAGGTAAGGAAGAAGTTTGTTAGTTTTAGTCAGAATTCCAGGTTTTGTTGATGAGTAGATTTAGTGTTTTAGTTATACCCAAAGTTGGATATAATTAAGTTTATACAAAATTTGAACAATGCATTAGATTTTTAAAACATATTTCTTAAATGCGCTAAGGCCGATTAATTAGCGCTGGGTTTATACTAATTGTGTATCTATTACTACCAAACATAAATAATTTTTATAATGCTTTTCAATTGTTCTAATTAATATTTAACATTTACTTCTTTGTATAAGGTGTCATCCATTTATGACATCCACACAAGTTTCAGATTTTAGACTATTTCAATACCAGGTAACAGGCATTGTGTTCCTATTGACCATTAACTGATATGGATCTACAGATTTAATATTTTCAGTAATGTTTATTATAAACCTAAATATTAAAAGTAGAATTTAAAGTTAACAGTGAAAAAATTAGAATGTTTTAGTATGTTTTAAACATCAAAGTATAATTATTCATTTCAATGATTTTCCTGATTACAACCATAAAATCAGGGTTAGGCTGAGGTGTGATGTAATTTTAAGCTCTTTGTAAGGATGTGTGAATTTAGGTACATTTTACAATGTGATGACCCAAATGTAGGTATAAATACAAGCTTTATTAACAAATTATAATGCTTTTTAACATGCAGGATATGAGCTTTACATTTGTTTTAAAATATAAGTGCTTTGATGTTAAACTCAACTTCTGGATACCCACAGAGACCCAGTACACAAAAGTACATTTTTTGGACCCCCCCCCATGTGGACATCATAAATGGATGTACCCCCAATGTAACACTGATGCTTATAAAAATTCTAACATATTTGTGTAACAAGACATGCTATCATGGTGTGGCAGATGAAGTGCAAGTTAATCAAGTGTTACTGTTCTGAGCTAGTATGCAATGCCCTTTAATTTTTCTTAAAGTGTTTAAACAACAAACACATATCTTTATTAACATTTATATTTTTAAATGGCTGAGCAAAGTTTAGCCAACAACAGCTAGTGTTGTATAAAAAGGTTAAGGAGAAAAAATGTTACTTTAAATGTTGCACTTTATCTGTAAACTTAATGGAACTTACTACAATTAACTAATCATAATTCCTGTAAATGCTACTTATTACTTTCTCTTAATTATATTTTTTAATACTTCTTTTTTAAAATAAAAACGCTCGCTTAACGGCTCATATGTCAAAAATATTGAATGTCAGAGTAACACTACTAGTGTTTAAAATATAACATAACGAGCCGACCCGCTATTTAGTTGTTTTATTTTCTACTTTTCAGTAATTCATAATTTGTGAATTCGACAGTACCAATGCTGCCACTGAATATATTTGCTTTAAAACACTAAGGACGATACCCCTTCTTTCCCCAACCCCTTCTCCCCTCCCCCCCTTGTGAAAGCAGCCTTCTCTTAGTTACCTCCCCTAAGTTTAAAGTTTCAAACTAAATTATCTGCCCCTAATAGCTGTTACTAAACATTTAGCGTGAACCACAGCTCACCAGACCATGTAGGGGTGGGGGTAGGGAGCGCGCTTACAGCTTGATGTTTTCTAGGGTCTCCAAGAATAGAATTATATATATAGATAGGTAACACTACAAAGTTTAAAACACTTTTTAGCACTTAAATTTTATAGGGTGAGTTAAAACTAATAGATCTATGAACTGGAAAATTTAGTGACCAAAATAGTCCCTAAGAAAAATTCCCATTTAAGTTGATCCATGTTAAAATGAGTCATGGTACTGAGGTTAATTTATTTTAACAGTACAGTTTTTTATTATTGCTATATGAGTTTTTCCCACTGAAAGCAGTGGTCACTAAATTTTCAGTGCAAAGAGGAATATTGATACATATAATTAGCCCATCTCAGAATTATGCAGACGATGCAAGTCTTTAAAAGAGGGAAAAAATATAAAACATTCAAGGTAAATTAAACCAAAGGAAATTAGAGTGAACTTCAATAACTAAAGATTAATTTTGTTATGCTTGTTTTGAAATACTATATTTCTTCTGTTTTACCATACACAATTAGCTTAGTCTTGTCCCATCCAGCCGCCCATCACTGATGGATACATGTCACAGGTGAAGGAAAGGTTCAAATTAATTTAGGCAATAATATCAGTAGAATGACATTAGGAAGCTTAAATCTAAATAGTTATTATAAATTTATGTTGAAAGTTAGTCACAATAATTTAGGAAAAAAAAAAAACCTGAGGAGATGAGCTGTTATGGATATAGTCAGGTACAATCTCCTCTTTTTGACAATTACATGTGCGAAATTCTCAGATTGCAATCAAATTCTCTATTGCCGAAATAATAATATGTTACTATATTTTTTTGTATTTCCACTATTAATTATTCCAACATATCACAGTAAATTTATTGAAATGGTTGTTTTATTATGTTGGGTATCAGAGATTGTTTTTAATTTTTAAGATTCTTTTTTTTAATTTTAAGCCAGTTTTAATGATAGTGTGATCTTGATCTATGAATTAATTAAATGATTTCCCATATGTCTAAAAAAAAATGGTTTTGTAAAAGAACCTAATAGAGCAATCAAGCCAGACAACAGGATTGCAATCGTTTTTTTAGTTTTCATTCTAAATTAAAATATAGATGAATTATTACATTTACATTACAGGCCTAGTTATAAATATCTCTCTCAATTATTCTAAGTTACAGAACAAAACCATTCTGTGAAAGATACATGATCGAAACAATTAGATATACAACCTTAAGCTTATTTACTTGATGTTTAAGATAAAACAAATTATAAGAATTTAAGTATAATCTATGGTCTAACATTAAATAAGTTGAACATATGAAAGTTTAGATAAGATGATTACTCACCTTCAATGCCTTCATGTAGGATTTTTAATTCTTTGCAGGTTTTGTCTACAGAGAAAAGTTTTTTAAAAGTATCATTGCAGTGATCTGCTTGGCACGACAAAACTTCACTTAAATCTGTGTCGAGCCAATACAACGTGTTGTTTTCAATGGCAAGAGAAGAGGGACTGGACAAATTCTGGTGATTTTTTAAAACTGTCTCACAATGGCCATCATAACTACAGTTGTTGATTCTTCGTAGCTTAGCATCAACCCAAAAGACTTTTCTGTTTTCATGATCTAAGGAAGATAATAATAATAACTAAAACAAATCAGTCAATCTTTAAAGAATAACAAACATAAAAACAGCTCATAAAAAGAGGCATTAGTTTTTCAAAAGCAGTTGGAACTGACTGCTGAGCTGTTAAGTCTACTAATGCCAACCAAAAGTCTCAAGCTAAGTACCGTATACAAAAACTTTTTTATTACATTTTTAAAAGATTTTTTTATTAAACCACAACAGTTCACAAGTGTTTAAAATTATTTAATAAAGCCACATGTAGAATGTCATCTCTATTGCTTTAAGGTTTGGAGACCTAGAGGGTTACAAAACAAATACAGACAAGCTGCAGTCATTCACAAACAGATGTCTATGACAGATCCTAAAGATAAGATGGCCTCACAAAATATCCAATAAAGACCTAGGGCAACACACCAAACACAGTCAACAGACATGAAAATTAAAGCCCAAAAAATTGGGATGGGTTGGGCATACACTGAGATGGGGAGAGGACAACATCACGAGGAAAGCATTGGACAGAATCCCCAGGGAAAGAGGAAAGTAGGTAATGAAGAAAATCCTGGAGGACAGTAGAAGATGCGGTGAGGACTGCCAGGCTTACGTGGGCGCAAATAAAGAGAGCTGTCCAAAACAGAGTCTGACGGAGAAGTGTGGCTGCAGCTGTTTGTTTCCCAGGGGCCACACAGGAACAAGTATACTGAAGTGTGTCAGCCCTAATTAGCAGCCTGTAGCATTAAAAACAAAGGTTGCAAAATCTATACTGAAACCAAGAGCATAATACAGAGCACACAGAGTTCCTTTATATACTAAGAGCTGTCCTAGGAGCTTAAGAGAAAATTTAGACAAATCATGTTAGCATTGATGATACATTTTTATTGTATAGTTTAAAAGGAATATATACACTATAATTAGCAGCTTTTAAAAAAGTAAGGTATGAGATTGTAATATTCATTAGTGTTTAATAAGACTTGTATAACTGAAATTTCATACAAATATCAAGAATTCTTAAATTGTTTTTTAAAGATATGTTATACAATGTGTGCCTTTCCTTGTCAGAGAAATTTAAAAATGTGAACACTTGTTTTAATATAGTCACCACTTTTACAAATTGCTCTTGACAACACCTATAACCATCATTTACAAATAGAATTAATTTTAAAAACACAAAAAAATATAACCTTCTATATCTAAGTCTATTTAAACTGACATTTATGTTTGATTTCAAAGATATTGGCTTATTGATTTTTCAAAGAATCTTAAAAAAAATTACCATGTGCCAAACTTTTGGGCCACTTGATGTTTTCATCTGTCACAACAGACCAATTTTTCATAAGAATGTTGTACTTGACAATTTTAGGACTATGGGTCTTCAATGAAATAAACAATATCCTGAAAAATAAAAATTCTGAAGGAATAACATTCAAGAGAACCTAATAATACATTTTTAATGAATGTAATGCATATTTCACTTGTAATGTGTGCTCTTCCTCCTACACAACAATTGGCTAAGTTCAGTATGGCTGTAACTTAACAATTAAAGAAGTATTTAAAATGATGTAGTACAAGTGAAGAAGAGTGACAGGGAAAAATAAAATAATAAACTCAATTTAACAATTGGCTTAGTTCATCTGTCTGTAACTTGATATAATTAGGCAATCGAGTTTAAAGGTGTTTCAATGGTACCACACAGTGAATCAAGGCTACTCAAATTGGATGAAATAGATCATTTTGCCATTCCATGTTGTTTCATGAAACTACATTCTTTAGAGTGCAAAGGTGAGTAATAAATGTTCAAATGACTTTCTGCCTTATGGGGAAAAAATAGTTATTTCTTGAGCACATCATGCATGTGGTGCTTAAAAAAAACTCTAGACAATACAGATCATGGACAATGTATAGATAGATCTGATGCTGGAATTTTTAAAAAATTACTGTGCAGTTTATATATAAAAATGAAAGTATGTGTTTTATGCATTTTCACACCCTATATCCGATCACTATGATACTTTGGGAAGTTGCTCAGAATACACCAGGGAATGTTTCTGCTATTTAAATTACATAGGGGCGATGCAAAGGGAGTAGGGGGAAGTTTTGCTTTTAAAGAAAACCTAAAGTGTCAACCTAAAACTAACTTTTAACTAAAAAATATCATGAATTGGTGTTAAATTAGACTAGATATTACTTCTTAAATACTGGGTGTAAATGATGTATTAATCATGTACATTATAGATTTAAAACTAAAAGAAACAAAAGTGTTCCAACAGTTTAAAATCATCCACTCACTTCTGGTAAGCGTCTACAGTCATATCCTCTGGGTCTTGAAGCTCACTAATATTTTCTAAATCGCCTGAAGAACCACCTGAATTTAAATATTTATAAGTCCTATTTGTATAGTAGTAAATAGTCCCATCAACCTCGTCTTGTGCCATGCATGTTATGTTAGATTGTTCATTAACCTTCTCCACAATTGATGAATCGGTTCCAGTTCTTGGATTCTGGCTAAAACAGGAATAAATCAGTACTTTTAAAATACATTATACATTGGTCTATTTAAATTGATGGGTTGATTAAATTTGTTGTCACTTTTTAATTATACAACGGAAGAGTGTACTTTTAACATACAAAGAAGTGAAATGCTAAAGTAAACACTAAGACCAGGACAAAAATAAGACATCAGAATACTTGACAATTTATACAATTTTAAACCATTTATTATGCATGAGTGTGGAAGTTCTTGTCATAAATGTCAAATCCTGTCAGCCAATGATAACAAAGTCTGCTTGGGATTTTAAAAGTTTAAAAAGCAGATGAGTTTGTGATAAAGAGATGCCTGGTTCAAAGATGTTTACATAGCTTCTTTTTCTTCGTTCTTAATTTTTTTTAGTGTTGGGAGGGATCGAGCCTTATCTGCCAGAGGGTTTGAACTCGAGACTTTTTTCGAATTTATCAACCATGAGCTTTGCCGAATCGACCATGCTTCCATCACAATTAAGGATTACGTGTCAACTGATCATGCGTCATTGACTCAGATTTCAGCCTGCTTTTGTTTTTGGATTTGCTTCCATAGCCTTTGTCCAACCAAGAACAAACTACAAGGCAGCAGTTGTTTGATTTTGGAGTTGTCTCTCCTAGAAGAGTGGCTGTCCCCAGCTAACAAGCCTCATCTGCCCGAGGGTTCGAACTCGAGACTTTTCGGTTTAGCAACCATGAGCTTTACAGACTCCACCACGCTGACCCCTGTTTACATAGCAATTAGTTGTTTAAAAAAACCCAAAGAAACATAAAAACTTTTTCAACATAAACTATTTTCATGTCACTACTATCTCTGTCAATATTGAAAAGGTTGCAAATTAATGTATACTAATTTCAGAAGCACTTGGGAAAACAATAGACAGACAAATATTTACCATTAACGCAAGTTAATCAAATTATCTACAAGTTTTTAAAAAAGTGATAATTAATTATGTTTAAGTTTTTAAAAGTATAGGTGCTAGCTGGCTGACTGAGGAAAAAATATGTATGTTTATGTTCAGCTGTACCCCATGCAAAAGTACAAGTAGTGAATGAACTTTACCTGCAGATAATACTGGTTTCTTTTATCGAACACACTGGTTTAGTCTGTAGTTCTTGATAAACAGGATTTCCAAATGCATCATACACATACGTCTGATTGCAATTCAACAGTAGCTTTTGGTCTGAAGCTAGGAAAATAGTAAATCAAAACATTATGGGTGACATGCAGTATAAAATAAATTTTAAAAATAAATATGAATTGAACTATGGCTTTACACACCAATTTTGTGGAAAGATTGTGTACCAGTTTTACATTGCTACACAAAATGTTCTTTTAGTAATAACATTATTGACCACTAATAAGACCGTTTAAAGACAAATACAAGTTTCAATTTTTAAAGCTTAATCTAAATGACATTTAAACAGATACAAGTCCAACTTGTTAAATGAAGGACAGTGTCGTGTTAGGGGTTTTCAAATATTTGGGGTTTTTTTTTGGGTGCTTTGTGATGTTGCAGTTAAGTAAAGATGCAACTTGAGTTAGTCTATGCCTTATCTAAAAAATAGGGGTCTACCACAAATTCCTCAAAGACACATGCCAGATTGTGACTAATTCTGAAACTGAAAGCCACTTGATCAAAAAATGTCAACAGTATAGATTACCAAATAGACATTCATAATCAATTGAAATTTCGATAAACATCTAAGCAAAAAGGAAAAAAAATATTACCACGCAGACATTCTTAAGTAATTTGTATTTGCTACATAAAAAGTGTAAAAACATATTTTCTATTCTTTCTTTGAAACAGGACAAAAATACCATTTTTGTTATCTCAGGTTTTTACAATGAATTTTACTTTCTTAATTCAGTTACTGCCTAGCTTCGCTTAGGTTTTCAAAAAAACATTTGAGAATTTAAATGATTAATTAATTGGTGATTGGCTGTTATGTGGAGTGCTTAGGGCCTAAGTTTATACAGTCTGAGTAATTATTTCATGTCATGCAAATGTGGGTGGAGTATTCACAAACTTATTACTCGCAAGGTTATTAGACAGGGATGTGACCAGACCAGGGAAAAAAAATTAGGAAATTTTCTTCGGACAAGAACTCAATATGTTTTATCTATTTTTTTAATCGCAAAGCAGTCTCACGCCATTACTGTTCTAATTAATCGTTTAATATAGCTAATATTATAAATAAAAGAAGTTTATGTTACTCTAAAATGACATTGAAAGTCTTGTCAAATTGCAATTTAATGTTCCACTTATAAACAACTTTTTTTTTAAAAATTACAATTCCAATGTAACAAAAGTGGCAATTAAGTTCAACATTTAGCTAATTTAAAGTGTACTAATGTAGTCTAATTACACTTTTGTTTTCAATTTTAAATTATGCCTTATATTCTTTTAAAGATTGGCATGGTAAAAATGTTAGTCTTCAACTGTAAAATGCCTAGATTCAGATTAATTGTAATTTGAAAGTTTTGGGTTCAGGTGATGGAAAATGAAATTGACCAGATTAGCTGAAATTAGAAAGGGTCTGATATGTGAACCAAAGTTAACCATTTCGATAGCCAAACCACATTATTTTTTTTTTTTTTTGGAATGGCTTAACTGTAAATTGTTTGAGGTCATCCATAAATGACGTCACGTTTTTTTTTTTACGATTTTTACCTACCCTCTCCTCTCTATCACAAAAGACAGACCCCTCCCCCTAAAATGACGTCACACCTCAGCCAACAACTGCTCCCCCCTCCTCAATATTGAATTTGAATTTTTTTTTTAAACATCTATTTTTTTTTCTAAAATATTGACTGAGCTCGACCAACGTAGGGTATTTTAATTAATTTATATTACAATTTTTAAAAAGTTTATTAAAACGCGTAATAGCGGCTAAAATTCAGTTTATAACATTACTTTTTTAAAATAAAAAAATATGACGTCACACTATCTGACCCCCTCCCCCTCATTACAAGTCACAAAATTACGGATCCCCCCCCCCCACTACGAGTGTGACGTTGTTTATGGAAGACCCCTTATTAATAACAGTCCATGTTGTATTTTTTCTTCGGAGTCACGTTGAGTTCAGTTTTTTTTTTTAATCTGTAGGCCTATAGCATAGGTATTGCAGGAACAGCTATTTGAAATTACTGTGACGTCATTTTAATTTTTTTTCCCCACAAGCAGTACCAAACATGTACTTGGGGGTCAAGGTGAGGTCACAAGCGCCACGGTTGCTACAAGGGGGGGGGGGTTGTCTAATCCTCATAGTCGCCTTTTGCAAGGATTTTAATATTAATTTTAGATAGCTAAATAAAATAAAATCAGAGAGAAACTGTAGATTTGGGTGGGTTAAAATACAGAAAGATAAATTAGGCTATATCGATAGCTAGATTACCAGGCTAGGGAGATGCGAGTTTCATTTGAAGAAAGGCATTATTTTAGAGTACTTTTTCCCGTGTTTTTGATATAGAATCTATATTCAACTGATATCAGCGGAAAATTTGGACCAAAAAATTCGGCAAAAATGAAATCAGCGGAGGAAAATTGCAGCTGAAACGGAAAAAAACGGATTTCCGCTCAAATTCGGAAAACTCACATCCCTGTATTAGAACTGCAATAATTACTCAGAATTTTTTTATTACTTTAATGAGTTAGACCCTATTTTCCCTGTACAAAGACCAAATAACTTTTTCACAAACAATTGTTTTATATAAGAAAATACAGCATCTGAACAAATCTAACGACCCTAAGGGGTTTTCCGATGGGAATAAAGTTTTTTTGTTACCTTTCAGGGTTGGTCTACGACCTCACAAAATATTAGGGTTTCATTCCTCAATTTATTTATATATATCTCAAAAAGGAGAAGTTCACTCGCGGTCATTATTTAACCCTCGTCGAGGGCTTTGAGTCTGACCAACAATTTTTCTATACAGCTTAGTCATCTATCTATAGAGGTGCATGCAAAAAATTAGTAAGATGCACAGAGGTTAAGGGAAGTACGACAGATCAATTGTGACCACTTTAGGAAGTTTTCCCAGATATGCCAAGTTTTTTATGACACCCCTTGGCATGCTTCTACCACCGTACAAAATATCAAGGGAATCATTCAGTTTAATATTTTTTTTATATATAGCTCATTTGAGGCGCCGGTCAGTCGAGGTCAGTTTTAGCCCCCTCTTTGTTGACTCTGCGGCCAACCGGCACCAGCCCCCATGTTCTATTGCCCCAAGGCAGGGCCTGCCAAATTTGAAGAGACCAGGAAGTGCCCTATCAGGCACCCGACCACTTTGCATTATATATATAGATTGCTTCAACACATTGTCTAAACAAGGTGCAATAAATGGCGATCAAACAATTGACTACACTTAGGTTTTAAGTGGCCGCCAGAACGCACCTCATTCTTTTGAGACATGAACATCACACAAGTCAAACATAAGATAAATAAGACAAACGCGCCACTTTTCAAAGTTGCAAGATGGTGCCGTGTCATAAACGCTATATAACCACAGCAACAAGGCTAAACAAGGTTTTAAAAATAACTTTGTACACTTGCTTTTGTACACTTGCGAGAAAGGTGGAAAGGGATATAAGCAGCAAAAATGCTCCAGAGTCGTGATAATAAAAACGATTTCCATTATGCCAAAAATTTTAAGTTTAAACAGTCTTGATTTTTTTTAATAAACTGCACACCTAGAAATTTGAAAACTAGAATTTTCTAATCCAGAAAATAAAAAAATCCCGAAAAAGTTGCACCCCCGTTTTCATCATAGTTGAGGATTGTAGTGACAAAAAATCATTGAAAATACAAAACTCTCATTGTTTTTATTACCTGGATGTTGTATACAATTTTAAGTCTGAAGGTGGGGGTGATTGGGGGTAGTGGTGATATATCATCACAGAAGAGTGTCTCATGTGCTGGCTATAACACCAATGGTAACACAACAGTTATTACTTACATGCCAGTGCATCTCCAAACAATACCAAAATAAATAAGCCAAAATTCATCCTGCAAAAAAAAAAAAAAGATAAATTGTAAGAGAATTCATGAGCAACAAATGCTTTTATTAAAGAAAAAGATTTTTTGCCACAGCATCTCCACCTGGTTGGCAAAAGATAGATCTGCGCATACGCAGTGACCTTAATAGCTGAGCTAGGGTTATGGCTACGTTTTGGGGTTAGGGATAAGGTTAGGTGTGTGTCTTGACCTCTGCGGAAGCCCTGAGTCCGACTTACCGAACTTCTTGGATTTGATGGAATCCACTGTTCTAAACTCTTTTGATTTTCTTTTTTTTTCATTCTTTTCGGCTTCCTCTGGAACACTTCGTCAACTCACTTGATTTTTATAAAGATCAAACCCTAATAATCCAGCCTCCCCTGCTATATTTTAAACAATTTTCTTCTTGACTTATTTGATCTCTTTCTCTTCCTCTTTCCCCGTGGACTTTACACAAGAACCTGCTTAGTGATTTTTTTCTTCTTCCTTTCTGATATTGTGACCTAACCACCACCTTTTCACTCCCCACTGTCTGTATTCTAGCACCGAGTCATACAGTAAAAGAGATGTTATATTTAGCTATAGATTCTAATGGAATTTTTTTTAACAATGCATTTGAATTCCACATTTACTTAGAAATACACATTTTACTGCTGCTGATTCTAATTTGAATGTCATAGGCGGTGCCATTATAATTAAGCGTTATTACTGGTGCCATTATAATTATGCGTTATTACTGCTTTTTCAACCAGTACAATTTGTTCTGCATTTGTTGTTGACTATGTGCAAGAACGCAGCGCAATCCAAGACATTGAGCTGTTTCATTATACAATCAACCAGTCAACGAAATACCCAAGTTGTACTCCAATGCGTAAAATAAATGATTCTGATAATTTGCTATTGTATGACCTTAATCCAACTATGTAACATATCATAGCAGAGACTGTTCCGAAGATAAAACATAAAAAGACTGCCTTAAAAAGTTAAATGATTTAGCACCTGCTACAAGCTTCCCTCTAAAATCAAATGAGGTTTGCTTTTTTCTGACATTACTAATAATTTTTTAAAGGATAATGCATGTTAAGGGGATTTTAATTGGCGCCGTTTTAGGGAAAAAAAATAATACATCGTAATTATTAAATAATTTCCAGATTGTCGCACACACACACATATATTGGGGGGGGGGGGGGGGGGGGGGTTCCGTCAAACTGAAAGTTTGCCCCGGGCGCCGGGAGGGGTCGCTACACCTCTGGATAGAAATTGTGATTTGTGGTGGGGAGAGGTTGAGTAGAACTAAGCGATGTGATTTTGAGATGGGTCATTTGTTTTTTTTTTGTGAAAACTGGGTTCATGACACGTCATAAATTGGTGATCCATTTTGTCATTGGGGACAATAGAAGTGTCAAAAAATGTAAAAAGCATGTCGAGTTGCATTTCTTGAACCCCACCTTCTCATCCCCCAGTTAGCACATTGTCACCAAGCTAACGATCACGCGTGACGTCATGTTAAGCTAATTTTATAGAAAAAAAAAGCACTGCAGTTTTGACACTTAAGCGCCTTTTAATTTAATTATTGATGTTGGTATTCAATTAAACAGCCCCTCACCCATCTATTTAATTAATTATTTCTGCAATCTTGCTGTTTGGTGACTTTCAGCTCTTTAAAAGTATATTAAGCTCCCATGGTATCCAGTATAGAACTAGACTTTACATTAAGCTCCAAAAGAAGCTTGGTGACAACAGGATGCCCATCCGATTTTGAAGCTGCTCTGCGCATTATAAAAAGCACAATAAACACAAGATGACAAGAAAAAATTTCCTTAAAAGACGGAACATTACTCACAAAATCAAATTAAAGTATTTACGGCATCTTACAAACCACAATAGCCTAATGGTGCTCTAATGTGGTTTGTGGGACCCGGGACCCATGCGGATGGCCATATTCCTAACGCCCCGCATTAGATGCGACATCATTTTCGGCAGGCATTTGGTGGCAAGTCTTTTTCACTGGATAATGTGTTGAGGCCTTTTTGCCAAACTTGCAGGCTTGCAACATTTATGATGCTTTGTTTTGAGCAAGGTATACGTATACTAATGCTTATTTATGGTTATTTTGATAGAGCATTTTAGAGGTTCCCCACAATGACCTAGGTATAGTTTTCCCCGTTCACCTCCTTTCTTTACATATCTTGTGAATTTTGCAGAGCGTACTGTTCCAGAAATGATCGAGTAGATGAAGCTGGACCCCAGTAGCTGCTAGCGGGCAGATGATGTTTTTGGACAGAAGATAGTGGCTGATACGGTTCACTAGTATCTGTTGGTTGAGAGGGACAATAGGCTCCTGCATGCTATCCTGTCTGTGCTGTTACAGTCTACGCAGGATGTTATGGAGCGGCAGATATCCCCTTATTTGACTGGTAGCTATTCTAACCCTTCTGAGGAAGTTTTAAAATGGACTCAACAACTCCTGCCCACAACATCCATGCTGGGATTGATGAACTTCCTGATGCGCCAAGCTCTAAACGCCACTGGGTTTTCTGGATTTTAAGGTGAAGGCAAAGCTGAACTCAACCCTTCAGTGGCTGGAAAGGAAGTCAGAAGCAGAGCAGCAGAGGCTGATTAGCTTTGCCATAACCTGAGGTGCCAGCTTGTATGAGGAGGAGATTGACAGGCGACAGACTGAAGCATTTAAGAAAAGGGAGAAAAAAGGTTCTCTTCAGGACAAGGAAGTGCTGAAGGCTTTGTTACTGCAGATCATGAACAGTTTGCCAGGGTAGATACCAGACAGAAGAATTTTCTGCAGCAAGTCCTAGAGGGACAGGACTTGGCTGGTAAGGACTAAAATCACTTCAGAAGGGTTTTGAATCATTAATTGTTAGTGGTGAGTTATTCATGTTATTAGATTTGTTGAAACACCCAGCTATTGAATTGTTTTAATCAGCTCAATGACAATAGTCATTACTTGATTTCTGCAGTATTGACTGTAGGTAATTAGTCATAGGAAAAATGTAGCCTACATTTTTAAAAATAAAGCATAACATCAAACAGAAACAAGCCTGCACAATCATTAATGCAAATTTACATAAAGGAAACACCCCTGATTCATAATTTATCATTAGAATTCAAAATTTTTTTGCAAACATATTTTATAAAATTTTCATTTTTGTTTCCCACTAGTTTCATTTTTTACAGAGATTATATTAGATCGAAGTGTCTATTCACAGTCGACTGTGAATAGCCGTATTGGGGCTATTCACAGTCGTAATCACGTGACCGTTTTTGATAGATTTAATGTTAAAAATACCCAACTAGGCATGAAGATGTGTGGTTGAGCGGTCATTGGGAGTGGCTGCCGTGCCAGAAGGTGTGGGTGCAAATCCATCAGATGCCCTATTTCTATGACTTTTAATCTATGCCTTTCATTCTTAAAATCAAAATATTTTTTCAGTTACTTATGTTACTCATCGAAGGGTTACTATTTACTTTTGTTAATTTTTTTGTGACGTTATTGTTGGCATATCAGCAAAAAAAAAAAAAAAAAAAGGGAGAGGAAAAAACACAAAAGTGTGATGGAAACTGTGAATTATAGCTGATTATATTCTAGTGTATAGATTTAGAGTGCATAATTGATCAACTATGACCTACGGAGCCTGTAGCAGATATGTCTGATATGAGCCTAAAAGCTAAACTAAACTTTAATTGTAATAACTTTTTTATAACAAAATAAAAATAGCACTGCTCTCTTAATCTATACCTCATTCCCCAGTCACAATAAATGCTTTTATTATGTTAAGATATTATTCACAGTCGTATTTAGCATGAAATGACAGCCGACTGTGAATAGCCGTATTGGGGCTATTCACAGTCGGCTGGGAATAGCCCCAATACGGCTATTCCCAACCGGCTGGGAATAGCCTTGGCCATATTAGATACATTTTTGTAGGGTTGTCGGTATCGGCCGAGATCGCGGTAAAAACATGACCCGAAATCGCCCATTACTTTCTGATAATGATACCGGGCGCACGAGATTTGGTTTTGCATACTAATAAGTTTTTAATTTATGGTAATTAATGAAGTTTAAAAGGTCATTTCCTAATGTTAAATGAAAAGTAGAATGGTTTTCCCATTGTTTTGATGGCTTAGCGATCTGATTGCACGCTGTCTCTGCCTTGGTCTTCCCCCTGTATGAAGGCTAGTTTCAAATACGTTGGAATCACGATTTTTTAAAAGGTTATTCTAGATGAGTGAAGATTACTGAGCAGACATATCTTATATATGTGGAAATAATATTTGTTTTTGGATATTTTGACTCTGACATTAGATATACTCGTTTAGAGGTGGTCACTGTATGTAGGTCGCGTTGCCACCATTGTTATATTTTTTCATCCCGATCTTCCTGCCTTTAAGTTTGATCAACTAACAACAGCATTCTTATGAAATGTGCAAACAAATCTCCTAATTTTTTATTTTAAAATATATTTACATACCCATCTTTAATTTTTTCAGTTCTAGTTCTAGTTTTGCAGAATGTTTTTCCTAAAATCCAATTTTGTCAGACTAGACTGACAAGAGTCAGACCTAGATCTAGGTTACCTGTCTGTTGCTATACACTAGCATTGTGCTAACTGTAATTTTAAGTATTCAAGTTCTACTTACCCTTAGATATAGTTATATGCTGAAAATCAGAATCCATACACAATTCACACATAAAAACATTGATCTGATAACTTCATTTAAATTATTACAAAATGGCTTATGGGCTCTACTTCACCTGCCCAAAATAACAAGGCAGTTATATACACATTACAGTGTTCAAGTCATTTAGATTTCTGACTATGTAGTTCTTACATTCACTGTATTTATATAAAATATTGCTTTAGAAACATTTTCATATTTGCGCAGCAGTTTTATAACAAAATGGCTTAAAGATGGACTCTACTTCACCTGCCCAAAATAATGAGGCAATTATAATATTATATGCACATAACAGTGTTCAAGTCATTTACTTTAGATTTCAAACTTTGTAGTTCTTTCATTTGCTGTATTTATATAAAATATGGCTTTAGAAACATTTTCATATTTGCGCAGCACACAGTTTTTTGGGGTTATGGGAGGAAGCCAACACAAAAATATAAGTTCTGTATTATTTTTATTCATTTCAACAGCATTTACAAGTTCTATATATCATTCTAGCTAAACTCTGCAAATATGAACAAAATACAACTGCAATTAAAATAACTAGGCCCTATGCTCAATTTATTCAGGTATACCATGACTTGTCACAATTGGCCAATGCAAAAACAAGGGGATTCCACCCCTCACAAAAAAAAAAAAACTATTTGAGCTAGACAAAAAATCTTTTTTGTTTTGTTTTCATTTTGTTGAGCTCTACAAGAATATGTAATTTTTATTTTTATATGATGATTAGTGCTTTTTTACCAAAATCCCTAATTTTTGAACAGAAAAAAAATTATTTCTCCTCTCCTGTTGAAGCTAGAAATATAAATTTGGTACCAATGGAATTCTTAATCCTTCCTCTAACTAACTCATATGATTTTAAGATTAAATACTCAAAAATTAATTTTGAATGCTACAACCTAATCTAGATCTAGTAGATCTAGAATCTAGATCTAGGTCTAGAGTCTAGCTAGATCTTAAATCTTATCTAACTAATTTTTAATCTAGGCTAGGCCTAATTCAGAATTCTAATCCTATGCTACTAAAATCGACCTGTCCTAATTTAGTAATTTGATAGTGGATACAATACTCACAATATTTCTAGAATTGATGATGTTGTTTATTACTTTTATTAGTAAATTCGGTCTTTAAAGGGCAGAATATTTTTTAAAAAAATGCTTTGAAGGCCTGCCTTTAGGTCTATCTCAATCAATTTTCATACGAATATATAAATAAAAAGGGAAGCTACTCTAAATAAATTTTTTTTAAATGGCTGCTTTTTTAGCAGCTAGATCTATTAATAGCAATACTATCTCAGTATCTGGAACAGGGTTGATAGTTGATAAAAATTATTTTCAGGATATTTAAATTGATTTAACCATAAATGGTGTTCTATTATTCAACTATCTCTATTATTTTATTAAAATATACAAAAATATACTCATATTGTCACTTTTTGAGTGCTCAAGTTGGCCTAACTCACCTGTAAGATTTTACTACAACTACACGAGGGCCCATGCGAGTTTTGTTGTCTTATTTTTATAGTTACTTCCCCTAACAAACAGCTGGGGCCCTTTAAAAATCTCGATCCTACTTACTATTTTGCACAAAATAACGACAGGGTTGTATTAATGGGACTAAATGCTGCAACACGATACCAATTTTATGTTTATAGGATCAACGGTTCTCTAGATATGACGGTTTTAGTGTAAAAAAATACTTTAACATTTTTTTTTTAAAAACCACGTTTTTCTTGTGGACTAAAAGTAGAAAATAATTTTTTCTTCCGACCCTAGGGGATCTACCAATGACTGCTCGTAGATTTTGTGCTTCCTCGAGCTGTGCAGGTTCTTGTGATGACTGTTCATACATTTGATGACAAAAAACGTGGGTACGTTCACCATCAAATTTCCCGACCCATCTGCCCGACCCACGTTTTTTGTCATCAAATGTCCTCAATTTTAGGGTCCTTGGGGCGTAATTTAATTAAGCTAATTTAGGTCTCTAATTGCTAGTTTTTATGATTGCATCTGAAATTGTTAGGCGAAAATAGCCTGCATGCCGAATTTCAGATCTCTAGAGCAATCAGAAGTGGGCTAATTTTCGTTGTCAATTTTAACAACAAACAAACGCGAAGCTGAGTTAAAAAAAACGTGGTAAAAATGCGGGGACAACAAAGCCTATGGAGAATGAAAACAAAGATTGGGTCACGTTGCGAGTATGTATGATAGAATATAGAAAAACGGCGAATGGAAAATAACTCTGCATAGGTGCACAATGCATTTACAATTGTATCTCTATAAAATTTAAAAATTAGCCAAACTGAAACAATTATTTTGGCTTAATTTTCTTAGTTATTGTAGCAACTAAACCCATGCATTTCTAAATATTTTGCTAGTATTACCAAACTTACCAGAGTTTCTTCCAGGCAAATCTCGGGGGGGGGGGGGGGGGGGAGACGACGACGACACACGAACGGGGACAGGCTAACTTGAGCACATGCTTACATCTAGATCTGACCTAGATCTTCAATTTTGATCAGTTTTATGAACCATTTTGATAAATAAAATTATTATTATGAGACTTCCAGCTCTCGATTGCGAGTAAAGTTACTGGACGTGGGGGTACCATATGCCGTACACTGTAGAGTACAGGACTTCAGACTTCAGGAGTGAGTGCCTAGACCTCTGTTAGTAGCAAGTAAATTGGCCACATGTATATATACACATCTAACACAAAGAGGTTAATTAAACCAAAGAAGCAGATTTTTTTTCTGCCCATTTATCTTCTTGCTCAAGAGCACTGTACTTTTTAGAGCACTGTTACCATTTAAATATAAATTTAATTTGATGCATCTGACTATTTAACAAAATAGTGTTGTAATTTCACCCCATAAAAATCTACACTGCATGAGGAATATAAAGCCCACTATTTCTAATTTTAATATTCGTCATGTAAAAAAAAGTACCAATACAATAAAAGTATACTACATAGCAAGCATTTATTTATATACATATAGTATTGTAGATAGTGTCTTTAACATATTTTTGAGTATCTTATAAAATAAAAATCCAACGTCCATTAACAAATAAAAAGTGATACAACTCAAACATTCCTCTTGCATAATCACACGTGCAGTATGTTAATTATTCCAGGTCTTCAACATTTGTGCATCCTCATTATCTGCCTTTCTGAAGCGGTATCGTAAAAACATAAATACACCAACAGCACCCACAATTATGCCTAAAACTAAGGTCCCAAATGCTATCCCTACTCTAGGACCTGAAATTAAAAAAAAAAAAAAAGTCAGTTAATTCATCATAACATCTATAAATAAGTAGCCTACTGATATCACTATTGTTTGAAGAGGAAATCTTGTTAACTGAGATCTGTTAAACAATAATGTCTGAGATAAACTTACCAGTGTCGTCTGGACTTCCATTTGACTGGGCAGAACAAGGGACGGTAACCACTGAAAATTGTAAAAATGTACTTATTAACCCACATATGCTAGGCAGTTATTACAAAAGTAATCATTCTTTAGTTATGGGAGGAGCTTACAAATGGTAAAAAAAAGGCTGAAATGTACAGTTTCTTATGGAATTAGATTTTAATCAAAATTATCTTTCCTGTATTCAGTATTAAAATTATATCACGTTTATTTTACTTTACAAAATGTTAACATCATGTTATACAAAATAATGATGTCTTTCTAAATTTATTGGGGCTTAAATAATGATCAAAACTCATTTAGCTAAGATCAGTAATGAATGATTGGATAGATCTGTGCCATGTTTTCTGCAACAAAATACATCATCATCATCTCCCGTTTGTGCCCAAGACACATGGGGCAGATGAAGAACAGTTCATCTGCTTCAGGGACCTCATCATATGAATTGATAGCATGGTCAGCACTATACCCAGCCACCTATTTTTCCCTAACGTGAGTTAGGTACCCATCAGAGCTGGGTGGACAGGGACATTCCACAGATTTGAACTCGAGACTCTGATGTTAGACGTACAAGTCATGTCTTTGAAAATGAGACAGCACTAGTTTTAACAATACACATATATAGCCTAGCTATTCATAAATACTGAAATAAATGAAGCTCAAAAACTATAATGGTTTTTGCATAAACCTGAATTACATGTCTTAATTGGTATTTAAAAGTTTTCAATAAACTCAATTTGACACTTCAATTAAATATCCCAGACATAAAATTAATAGTTACTCTTCATGACATAGTGTGAAAAATTGTAGAACAGCCACTATGTGACATGATCCTTACATACTAGGTAAAATAGCACTGCTGTAAACAGATTTTTATGCTTGCAGAATGGTAGGTAAACCATTTACAACCATTTACCTGATGATGTTACAGCACTTTTTGTGGTAGACGTGGTGGTGCTCTGTTTTGTGGTACTGGCTGTAGTGCTGGGAGTCTGAGTACTGGTACTACTTGTTACTGAAATTTTACAAGTGAAAATGAACATTTGTTTAAGAAATCAGCTTAAAAAAAGACTCGGTTTCACAAATTAAAGTATGATAAAAATTATTGAAATAATCATGCATGAAATTTAAATATACTGAAGATACATGTAGGCTCCCTATTCAAATAAGTGTAAAAAGTATTTTCTTTACCTAAAACCCTGCTTGTACTTGGGTTGGCAATAGGCATAGGGTTGGCTCCTGTTTTAAATATGATGGACATTAAAAGATATACTTATAATAATTATAATACTTATATAATACTTATATCTGAGGAGTGAATACAATAATTTTATAATAAATATTCTGTATACTAAAAAATAAAAAATTCAATTTCTATGCAATTGCCTATTAACTATTGAATTTTACTCATTAATAATATCGTTGTAATTTTATTTATTAATTATTGCAATTTTATTTAATATTTAGAAATACTTAAAGTAACTCTGTACTTTGCTTGTATGTGGTTAACTTACTTGTGTAAAGAGAACACACATCACTGCTTTGTATAACCCCAGGGTTTTGCGTTGGGTCCACTGTGGTGAAGGAGCATTGGGTATCCCCCCTTTGGCCCTGGCAAACTGTGAAGGCAGCACACAAGGGGAGACCAACACCTGTTGAACACAGCTGGGCGCATTCATCAACACTTTGTACATTGGCCACAGATTCAGCAGGTACTTGAAGTGTTTTGAACTGACGAGGTATGTAGTCAAATAAATAGTTACCTGAAAAAAACACATGGTAATGTAATGTAGGCTATTTTTTATATCTATAGAATTTATGTTTTAGATGGTATATAATATAATTTTTTTATCTTCTTTTGAATTTGCCTCAGACATGTAATTTACAAGTAATGTTTTTAATTTATAACAAAAGTAGTCATGTGATGTAAACAGTTACCCAAAGATGACAAAAGCTAATTTTATATAGTCCTAACAAAATGTATAAAAAATCATGTATTGATTACAATACAAATAAAATAAAGTATACATTTATTCATAAATTTAAAGCAGTTAATTTTTATGAAGTTGTTGTATTGTTTATTAGGCTAAAGTACATATTTCTTAAAATTTTGTGCCCAACAAAGAAGGGGAAGTAACTCGTACAAAAACTTTTTTTCCCAGTAAAATAAAAGTAATAAAACAGTGAAATTACGCAATCCTCTTAAAACTAAAAAAAAGGTAAGTATTTGTTAGGTAATCCCATCTTTAATGTTTATATCCAACAAAAAAACCAACTTACGAGAGTAATGTTGACAGTTTGAGCTCTGCTGCATGCCTGCAGCACCTGCGTCGTATCTGTGCAGCTTCCTCAGGAAACAGTTGCCATCTGTGCAGGTTTCAAAAGACTCGCAGGCAAAATCCAGGTTGGTGGTGCAGGCCCTGGCACACATTTCATCACCGTTGACATTTGGCAGAACCTTGTCAGCACTGGCTATAATAACTGTGGCGTCAAACTTTGTGTAGTCGTGTGTGTAGAGAACTGCAAGGATAATAAATAGATTTTCTGTTTAAAAAGTAGGGGTGGGTGTGGTCGATTCGGTAAAGCTCATGGTTGCTAAACTGAAAAGTCTTGAGTTCCAACCCTCGGGCAGATAAACCTCATCAGCTGTGGACAGCCACTCTTCTAGGAGAGACAACTTTAAAATCAAACAATGCTGCCTTGTAGTTGTAGTTTGTTCTTGGTTGGATACTCAAATTAAGAACGAAGAAGAAAGAAGTTGAAAAAGTTAAATTTTTTATTGGTTTGAAATAGCCTATCATACAATATAAAAGTTGACTCAATTTTCTTAAATTTTATAAGACAAAATAAAAACTCTTTTTCGATCTAACATCCAAATGGGGATAAATAAAATGAGTTATTTTTAAAAGTTTTAAGCAATTTATAAATTTGTTACAAAAATAAAGTAATGACAAGTATCAACTTGTCCCTCATGTTTGCCTAACCTTACTGGCCACACAATTATAGTGGAGATAAAAACATTGTCATGTGTGAAAACTTGTAATTTTACTAGACATCTGTATATTTATGTATAAAAAAATTGTGCTGACCCCATAATGTGCCTTAAAATACCAACTGTAGCTTTATAAAAAAACAATGGTTTGACCTACTGGAGTAGACACTGGTGTCCTGGGACCTGTTGAGCACAGTTTGAGGACTCCTTAAAATAACAACTTTAACTAAATAAAGAAACAATGGTTTGACCTACTGGAGTAGACACTGGTGTCCTGGGACCTGTTGAGCACAGTTTGAGGACTCCTTAAAATACCAACTATAACTAAATAAAAAAACAATGTTTTGACCTACTGGAGTAGACACTGGTGTCCTGGGACCTGTTGAGCACAGTTTGAGGACTCCTTAGAATACCAACTATAACTAAATAAAAAAACAATGTTTTGACCTACTGGAGTAGACACTGGTGTCCTGGGACCTGTTGAGCACAGTTTGAGGACTCCTTAAAATACCAACTATAGCTTTATAAAAAAAAACCAATGGTTTGACCTACTAGAGTAGACACTGGTGTCTTGGGACCTGTTGAGCACAGTTTGAGGACTCCTTAAAATACCAACTATAACTAAATAAAAAAACCAATGGTTTGACCTACTGGAGTAGACACTGGTGTCCTGGGACCTGTTGAGCACAGTTTGAGGACTCCTTAAAATACCAACTATAGCTTTATAAAAAAAAAACCAATGGTTTGACCTACTAGAGTAGACACTGGTGTCTTGGGACCTGTTGAGCACAGTTTGAGGACTCCTTAAAATACCAACTATAACTAAATAAAAAAACCAATGGTTTGACCTACTGGAGTAGACACTGGTGTCCTGGGACCTGTTGAGCACAGTTTGAGGACTCCTTAAAATACCAACTATAGCTTTATAAAAAAAAACCAATGGTTTGACCTACTAGAGTAGACACTGGTGTCTTGGGACCTGTTGAGCACAGTTTGAGGACTCCTTAAAATACCAACTATAACTAAATAAAAAAACCAATGGTTTGACCTACTGGAGTAGACACTGGTGTCCTGGGACCTGTTGAGCACAGTTTGAGGACTCCTTAAAATACCAACTATAGCTTTATAAAAAAAAAACCAATGGTTTGACCTACTAGAGTAGACACTGGTGTCTTGGGACCTGTTGAGCACAGTTTGAGGACTCCTTAAAATACCAACTATAACTAAATAAAAAAACCAATGGTTTGACCTACTGGAGTAGACACTGGTGTCCTGGGACCTGTTGAGCACAGTTTGAGGACTCCTTAAAATACCAACTATAACTAAATAAAGAAACAATGGTTTGACCTACTGGAGTAGACACTGGTGTCCTGGGACCTGTTGAGCACAGTTTGAGGACTCCTTAAAATACCAACTATAACTAAATAAAAAAACCAATGGTTTGACCTACTGGAGTAGACACTGGTGTCCTGGGACCTGTTGAGCACAGTTTGAGGACTCCTTAAAATACCAACTATAACTAAATAAAGAAACAATGGTTTGACCTACTGGAGTAGACACTGGTGTCTTGGGACCTGTTGAGCACAGTTTGAGGACTGCTGACCATGTCTAACCCCATGGTGTGCCTTAAAATACCAACTATAACTAAATAAAGAACCAATGGTTTGACCTACTGGAGTAGACACTGGTGTCCTGGGACCTGTTTAGCACAGTTTGAGGATTGCTGACCATGTCTGGGTGGTTGGAACTCTCCCTACACAGGCCTGTGGTGAACTGGTAGTCAAAGGACTCACAGGTGAAGGTGTTCTCCTGTAGAGGTAGGGCACAGGTTAAACAGGTGACACAGGGTCAGGTTAAACAAGTGACTCAAGCATCACTGGAGTCATGTTATACAAGTGATACAGGGTCATGTTATACAGGTGACACAGGGTCATGTTATACAGGTGATACAGGGTCATGTTATACAGGTGATACAGGGTCATGTTATACAGGTGATACAGGGTCATGTTATACAGGTGATACAGGGTCATGTTATACAGGTGATACAGGGTCATGTTATACAGGTGACACAGGGTCATGTTATACAGGTGATACAGGGTCATGTTATACAGGTGACACAGGGTCTTGTTATACAGGTGACACAGGGTCTTGTTATACAGGTGACACAGGGTCATGTTATACAGGTGATACAGGGTCATGTTATACAGGTGATACAGGGTCATGTTATACAGGTGACACAGGGTCATGTTATACAGGTGATACAGGGTCATGTTATACAGGTGATACAGGGTCATGTTATACAGGTGATACAGGGTCATGTTATACGGGTGACACAGGGTCATGTTATACAGGTGACACAGGGTCGTGTTCAACCAGTGACTCAAGCATCACTAGAGTCATGTTATACAGGTGATACAGGGGGGGGGGGGGGTCAGGTTATACAGGTGACTCATGCATCACAGGGGTCATGTTATACAGGTGCCCTCATCAATAAGGGTCATGTCATACAGGTGACTCAGGGTCATGTTAAACCTTCCTTCAACTTTAACATGTAAGGTAAGTTATCCTTGATCCCTATTGCAATGATGTTGGGTATGGCTAATAGATAACAACCATAAAATATAGGCCTATGTTTTGTCAAATAATTAAAAAAAATATTTGCATGTAATAATTTCTTAAATGATTTTGCATCAACCCCCAACAATAATAATCAGATCGATATTTGCGAGATAATTTGAGAATGTTACAAAAATGGCTTTTAATTACAAAAAAATGACAACTACCCCATGAGAAAAGACAAATCACAAGGTGCTCATATGTAAGCACGTGATAGACACATGACAAAGTGCTCACCTGTAAGCACATGACAAAGTGCTCACCTGTAAGCACATGATACACAAAGTGCTCGCCTGTAAGAACATGACAAAGTGCTCGCCTGTAAGCACATGACAAAGTGCTCATGTGTAAGCACATGATACACAAAGTGCTCACCTATAAGCACATGACAAAGTGCTCACCTGTAAGCACATGAGAAAGTGCTCACTTGTAAGCACATGACAAAGTGCTCACCTGTAAGCACATGATAGACACATTACAAAGTGCTCACCTGTAAGCACATGATACACAAAGTGCTCACCTATAAGCACATGACAAAGTGCTCACCTGTAAGCACATGAGAAAGTGCTCACTTGTAAGCATATGACAAAGTGCTCACCTGTAAGCACATGATAGACACATTACAAAGTGCTCACCTGTAAGCACATGACAGTGCTCACCTGTAAGCACATGATACACATAGTGCTCACCTGTAAGCACATGACAAAGTGCTCACCTGTAAGCACATGACAAAGTGCTCACCTGTAAGCACATGACAGACACACCACAAAGTGCTCACCTGTAAGCACATGATAGACACATGACAAAGTGCTCACCTGTAAGCACATGACAGAAACACCACAAAGTGCTCACCTGTAAGCACATGATAGACACATGACAAAGTGCTCACCTGTAAGCACATGACAGACACACCACAAAGTGCTCACCTGTAAGCACATGACTAAGTGCTCATCTGCAAGCACATGACAGACACATCACAAAGTGCTCACCTGTAAGCACATAATAGCACAGTCTGTCAGGCTGACCATGGTGTGTGTTGTATTCACAAAACTGTTCACAAATCTGGCATTGGGGGTGATGGCAAATTTCTTCAGGGAACTTCCTGTTTCACAAGTAAAACAACTTTGGTGGGGGAATAATTTAACATTTTTTTGTGTTAAAGATCCTATTTATAGTTTTTTAATTACATGTGTCAACATAGTGACGTAGTTTACCTGCGGCACTGTCTGGATCAGTTGACCTCAACAGGTCATCACGGATATCAGTGGCCGTGTAGGTTTTAGACATGTTCTGTTGGTTACAAAATAGCAATGTAATCAGTTGACACAGTATAAAGACTTTTGAAAAATATTATATAGAACTGCCTGTTCTAGAGGCATAGCAACACATCATAGATTTGTATATCTTTCTTCGGGACATTAGGCAAAGCACACAATTATTATAAAGGGGGAAAAGTAGGAAGGGGGGTGGGGAGGGTTTTGTGAAGTTACTTTGAGTTAAGAGCTGAAAATTATAGCTCTGGCTTTTTATGAAAATGAGAGTGGTTATACTATAGGCCCAGATGTAGAGCGCTAAACTGAAAACCCAAAAGTATGGAGTTCGAATCTGGGTTAAAGTCAATAGAATGTCCCTGAGTCCGCCCAACTATGATAGGAACCCAGTAGCGTAGCGAGGGGGGGGGACATATGTCCCCGGGCGCCGACCTTAGGGGGGGGCGCCAAATTGAAACTTTGAAGGGGGGGGGGGGGTGCAAATGAAAAGTTCAAGGGGGGGGGAGTGCAAATCGAAAGTTTGAGGGGGGGGGGGTGCAAATGAAAAGTTCGAGGGGGGGGGGGGGTGCAAATCGAAAATTTGCTCCCAAGGGGGCGCCAAATTGAAAGTATGTCCCCGGGCGCCGGGAAGGGTCGCTACGCCTCTGTAGGAACCTAACTCATGTTAGGAAAACAACGGCGGTTGGGCATAATGCTGACCACATTATCCCCTTTTGTATGTCGAGTTTATTGAAACAGATGAACTCTACTTCATCTGTCCTATGTGTCTTGGACACAAGAGGTCATCCCTAAATGACGTCACACTCGTAGGGGGAGGGGGTCCGTAATTTTGTGACGATCTGTGATGAGGGGGAGGGGGGGGGGGGTTCAGATGTTGCGACGTCACATTTTTGCATTATAAAAAAGCAATGTTAGAAAACGAATTTTAGACGTTATTTCGCGTTTTAGATAACTGTTTTAATAAATTGTAATAGTTTAGACAAGATTTTGGAAAAAATATCGATGTTTTAAAAAAATTCAACTGCAATTTTGAAGGGGGTTGTAGGTTGAGGTGTGACGTCATTTTAGGGGGGGGGGGGGTCTGGCTTTTTGTGACGACGTGTGACGGAGGGGAGGGGGGAGGTAAAAATCGTCAAAAAAGCGTGACGTCATTTATGGATGACCCCCAAACGGGAAAAGGTGATAATATTAGCGAGAGAAATCTAAAAGGCGAAAGAATTAAAATCCAGCAGCTTAAGCGATCACTCACTATAAAAACACACCATTACGACAAGAAACACAACGAGACAAGATGCCGGGCGGTTTCATAAAAGTTTAAAGGTCAAACAAATAAACGTGTTCATCTCATGTCGACATAAGCTGCATTAAAAAAAAAATAAAAACCCACGAATCTTGTGAAGATGCTGACATTATTTTAGGCGCGTCTAAATCAAACTGTCGGGGTAAGACTTGAACTGTGGTGTTGTTGTGCTCGTTTTTATTCCCACGTTTTCTTTAACTTGCTTTCGCCTCTGTTTGTTTGTTTTTCCAATCAAATCTTGCGATCGAAATTTCTGGCACTTCCCAGTTAGCTAGCGCGCTGAAATTTTCAGGGAAGCTTTCTTTTGGATGACCATAGAATATTCAATTGTTATTATTACTAAATTGATCAATGGAAACATTTTATTGAGCATTTTAGACCGCTATATAATCTATATATATAATTCTCCTCTGCGAGCCATTAGAAAAAAAACGAGCGACGCGTACCTCGCGCGCAGTGAAGCGAACGATCCCACGTCGCCACAGGCTTAGGGGCAGATAATTTAGTTTGAACAGAGTTTAAACTTACAGGAGGTAGGCCAGTTTGGCGGAGACGATATGGTCGAGTGGTTGGGCACACGATTGCTATCCCACTCGACTCGGGTTCAAATCTTTGTGTTCTAGTCAGTAACGTATTCACACAACGTGTTTTTTACGAGTTGTCTTTTTACGAGACTTTAATGCTATACAACTTTTACGAGATTTTAATGCAAACAAACAGACAAAGACTAAAAAGTAGAAAATAATAATCATTAAAAAAGTTTAAAAAAACCCACGTTTTCTGATTGAACTAAAAAGTAGAAAAATAAATGCTATACATCACAATAATGCAAGCGATCACTCTACTATAAGCGATCAAAAACGTGGGGCGCCGTGATTTTCTTACAGTTTCTAATACTGTTGACTCTCTACAAGCTCCCTAATAAAAGTCAATAGTATTATCTAATCAATAGTAATATAACTTTTACTTCGGCGCCCCACGTTTTTGATCGCTTATAGTAGAGTGATCGCTTGCATTATTGTGATGTATAGCATTTATTTTTCTACTTTTTAGTTCAATCAGAAAACGTGGGTTTTTAAAAACTTTTTTAATGATTATTATTACAGCTGTCGTCAGTTTAATGACGTCATTCACATAGCGGGAGGGAGTTTCTGACATTTGGGAATTAAATTTTAAGATATCTTGGGGGGGGGGGGGGGGGGGCTGCGTCAATTTTTTGCCTTAAAGAAATTGAATGATGAAACATGTCATTGTCATATGATGAAGAGGTGGGGGGGGGGGGGCGGAGGGTTGTTTTGGGCGTGTGGTGGAATATTGAGGCAATGTCAGGGAAAAGAGGGTCACTGTTTGTAATGACGTTTGACGTTGAAGGAGGGGGGGGGGGCTGCTATTTCAAACAGTCGGCGTGGCCTAAGCGGTAGGAGTTCGAATCCGGGTCCGTCAGTAGAACGTCCCAGAGTCCACCCACCTCTGGTGGGTACCTAACTCATGTTAGGGAAAGTAAAGGCGGCTGGTCAAGTGCTGTCCATGCCCTCCCTTCATATGTTGAGGTCAATGGATCACTAAGTCCAAAGATGATTCTTTATATAGTCTATAGGCAGTCCCACAAAACGCACAGTTTAGCTAACTGAGCAACATGATAACAGCAGCGATAGTCGATGTATTAACACAAAGCTTTTTATTTTTATTCTCTCTGACCAATTACTTGACCAGCTAATCAAACAAATTTTCATTCTTCAAAAAAAAATTTAAAAAAAAATAACGATCCTGAATAACGGTTGTCTCGCGAAACTACCACGTCTATCGTCTGCTAAAATTGCTCTAGTCTACCTGATCAGCTGTTTTATACTTATACAAACTAAGTTTATCAAAAACTCATGTTCTATATTTAGCTGACCCGGAATTTTCTGCACCAGCCAATCAGCGTTTTAAGCTATTTTTATCCGCTTTGCGGCTTGATATAAACTAGAAAAACTACGGGCACAGATACAAACCACACAGAACGGTCCAAAGAACAAGGTGTGCTAGAAGAGATTCTATATGCCTTACATTCACACACAGTACATTAAAAAAATGAAGAAATTCTTTTCATGTTTTTCACGGCAAGGTATGTACTCTTAATTTTTTAAAAAAATCAAAGTAGGTCGATCATCTTTAAGTCATTACAGGTCATATTCTGTTCATTTCCCAATTTTACTAACCCTCCCGCAGAGGCGTAGCGACCCCATCCGGCGCCCGGGGACAAACTTTCAATTAGGCGCCCCCCCCATATATTTTTTGATATTTATAATTCAAAATAGCAGCTAAAATGAGTTTATTTTGTCGCCCTTAGAGTCGGCGCCCGGGGACATATGCCACCCCCCCCCCCGCCACTACGCCTCTGCCCCCCGTCCTCTCTTTATCTCTTTCAACTAAATTAATAAGCCTCTACGAAAAATTCACATTTTTATTTCCCCCAACAGACGAGGACGAAGAAGGCCCGAGAAAACTACGCAGGAAGATGGTTATCGTGGGGGACGGCGCATGCGGCAAGACGTGTCTGGTGACCCGCATGACGACCAAAGACTTCGTGGACGTCGGCTACATCCCGACTGTCTTTGAGACGGACGTCATAGACGTCAACACGGGGAAGGAAAACGTCGAGCTTCTCATATTCGACACGGCAGGTAAACATTTCAAGCTTGGAACATTATTCCAGAAGTAATTTTTAAAAGAAGACCCTTTAAAATTATTTAAGGAATAATGATGTATCGTACACATCTGAAGATATTATACTGAAGGTTGTATTACAAGATGCATAAAGGGACATAGTTATTCCAGAAGTAATTTTTAAAAGAAGAAACATCTTCTAAGTATGTAGACAATAATGCTGTATCGTACAGATCTGAATAAATTATGCTGAACGTTGTATTACATGATGCATCAAAGGATATTGGTTATTAATGTTGTAATTATTTTTGCTAACTATTTTCCCTTCTTAAAATAACATGTTGGATTGTTTTTATCCTCAGGTCAAGAAGACTACGACCGCCTCCGCCCCTTCTCATACGACGATGTCAACGTTGTCCTCATCTGCTTCTCCCTAGCCGACCCGGACTCTCTGATGAACGTCCAGGTCAACTGGTCGCCGGAGATACGTCACTACTGCGGCAACGCGCCCATCATTTTAGTCGGCAACAAAAAAGACCTCCGCGACGCCGAGTCAAAATCGTCATCTACAAGAGCGTCCGTGTCATCGTTAGGGGACGCAACCAAACCAAACTCAGGTGATAAAAATAATTCAGCGGTTACCGCCCCTGAATCGCCATCTGACAGTTCGAAGCCAATCTTTAAAGTCAACGCCCCAGTGAAACACAGCGAAGGCGCGCTTGTGGCTATTAGAATAGGCGCTCTGGCCTACTTCGAGACGTCTGCTTTAACGGGGGACAATGTGGAAGAACTTCTGCTGGCCACAACCAAGGCCGCAGTGCTGGGAACACGTAAATCTAAAAAATTTAAACCTTTCGCAGAGACCCTCAAAAGTTGGAAGTCTCTCAATGCTTTAGTCAAAGCTGAAGAAAAGAATTAATTTTTTTTCCAACCTGACTGAAAAAAACGTTACCCTAAGATGGCAGCAAAGTGGCAGAAATGCCAGCAATAAATTAATTATCTACCAGGGTAATCACTCCATGAAAAAACTTCTAGTCAAGGCTGCAAAACCCAGGATCCTCCATCAGTTTTTGACTGTATTTACTTTACTTCAACTGGCTCAATTGGGTCTAATAGGGTACTTCACTTTTATTTTACTTAATTGATTGTATTTTTTAGAAATTAAAAATAAATGAAATTAAATAATAATACAAATCTTTTTGTGCTTAGAAAGGGGTGTAGCTGTTAAAAAGGTTAGGGGACATAGCATTGTAAGTATCCTTTAACATGAAGACAACTGTCCAAAGAAACTCATGTTCTAAATAATATTTTTTTTGTAACATATTTATCTGATGTTGCGACAGACAGTTGCTTTTTTTTTGACATATTTAGTTTGTTAATTACCACATGTCTTTCAAACTTATTATTGCTAGCTTTTAACGAACTTTTTTCAGAGAGTGTAGTTGTTCAATAACATTCTGAGAATGTTGTAAAAAAGTTTTATTGTTCTGCGATGTTCTGAGAATGTTATAAAAAAGTATTATTGTTCTGTGATGTTCTGAGAATGAAAGAAGTTGTGAGTAAAGAAGGTTTAAGTCTGTTTAATAGAAAAGAGAATTTTTAGTTGATGAATTATTTCATTAAATTAAATATTACTGTGATAATGTTTTGTGAAAAATTTGACCATTTATTTATGTGAAACATTGACAATTTTTTTTACAATAATAAAACAATTTTTAATAATACACTCTTTGTTTTTTTATTAGCAGAAGTTTTAAAATGTATTAACTGATAGCTATATTGAAGTTTAAAGCCATCTTAATATTTTTAAACTTATTTATACACTGCATGCCAAAATTAAAATATCAGGACAGTATAATATATTATGGTCCAAATAATATGTCCAAATTTTCAAAATAATTAAGTTTTTAAAGTAAAATTACACAATTATAATCCAGCCTTTATTTATGATAATACATCAATTGTTTTGTTCAATAAGTCCTCTGCATTGCATATCTCTATGAGCACAATCCATTGATGACCATAGAATAGCCAAGTTTCGCATATGGTGTGCATTTAGCCTTGAACTTTATTTTTAATGACTATTTAGATTCTATTAGTACCAGATTTGAATTTTTATAAGAATGGAACCAAAGATATAATTCTAATTGCATCAGATTCTGGATTGGTTAAAGTTTTTAAGAGAATAGAGACTTTATTCAGATTTTATTGATGTTATTCAGGTTTGGTGAAAATTTATTAATGAGTTTGAGACTTACCTGTGGCAGATCAATACGAACTTGGAAAAGATTGTCGTACACGCTGTCAGTAATCATCAGGTACATCGAAGCAACATCCACAGATGGGTAAGACACATTCTCTGAACCTGGAAAACACAATTTTTATTAAAAATTAAGTAAATATTATGGCTCCATAGTCCAAATAAACTTTTGGATGATTGTGCATTGGAAATCCAAGCATAAAGGTTGGGCCCTAAGATGAGAAGAGCCAGGTTTCACCCATGTATCAGGCCCCCCTCTCTTCACACAGCTGATGGACACAAGAAAAGTAAGTGATAAATTACATCAAAATAAAAAATAAAAAAGATGAATCTTTAAGATTCACCTAATATTAAACAACTTCATTTGCCTTATAATTTATAGCATATACAAGCTGTTTCAAATACACAATAATTTATATTAGGAGAAAAATAACTTTGTGAAAATGTTTAGGTGTGTTAATAATTATGTGGAGATATTTACAGAATTATTCTGTAGTTCTGCCTTACAGCATAATAGTCTGAGAGAATAAAAAACTGGATGCCACTCATGCTGGCCAAAGAACTAAGAGTAAAATGGGCAGCTGCTGCTTAAACTATCTGATAGGCACTTTACTGCATGTAATAGGCAACTTTTGAAAATATTAGCTACTTATGTAAACAAAAAAATGTGCACACAAATTTTAAGTAAATATACCCTTTCATAACACTATCTTTACAAAAGTAAATATTTTAATTCCTTGATAAAACTATCTTTACAAAAGTAAATTTAATCCTTTGATAAAACTATCTTAACAAAAGTAAATTTAATCCTTTGATAAAACTATCTTTACAAAAGTAAATTTAATCCTTTGATAAAACTATCTTTACAAAAGTAAATTTAATCCTTTGATAAAACTATCCTTACAAAAGTAAATTTACCTGTTTCACTACACTATCTTTACAAAAGAAAATTTAAAGAAATGAAAGAGAAAACACAACTAACGTGAGTAGTGCACACAGGGCTTGTCTATGTTTGAGTTCAAAGGGTTGCCTTCACTCTCCTTGTGCCTCTGTCCCAGCAGACATGCAGTTGTTATGATGTCATCGCACCAGTCGAAGCTGTTGCAGGGGGTGGGACTTGAAGCGCAGGCGGCTGCGCAGTCTTGTGGGTTGTCAGCGTAGAAGCTGGAGGCCGATGTGTTGTGGCCAACTTTCATTACAGGCCTGAACAGATCTTGGGGGGTAAGAATGATATTCAGAAAGTTAAAAAGTAGAATTGTAGATATCAAGACTAAGGAAATAATTCTTTTATAAATTAAATCATGTTTAAAATTATTCAAATAAACAAAATCAATATTTTCAATCTATTTAAAATTAAGTTAAATTAACATTTAGCTAGACTATTTTTCTAGATTTTGATTTTTAAATTTTAAAAACTGATATCTGAGAATCCTAAAAAAAAAAGCAAGGACACAATAATCATGCCAATATTTTGGTTTTAACATTGTATAGCTTGTGTTTTTACTTTGACTGTTTAACCATATACCTCGCTGAACCAACCAAGTTGCTGTATTTTGCTTAGCTATAAAATAATCAGTAATGAACAAATGGTGGTAAGTTATTTATTGGTGCAGTTACCAGTACTCACCAATAGGTGGTTTTTTCTTAACTGAGTAGCTACCAGTACTGACAAAAAGGTGGTATTTATCTTAACCTATTAACTACCAGTACTGACCAAATGTGGTATTTTTCTTAGCTGTGTAGCTACCAGTACTGACCAAAAGGAGGTACTTTGCCAAGGGCTGTAACTGTCAGGTAGACGCTGCTATCGTCATAGTCCACAGACGCTCGCTGAAACCTGATGGGGGATGTCATGGTCAGCTCTCCTAGCATGACCAGAGCAGTGTTGAGGAAACTGCTGGAGGCCTGGTCCAGTGTTGGGTGGTACGACTCTGGTTGGACAAACACAGTCACATGACATCAGTTAAGGTAACGATAAACACAGTCACATGACATCAGTTAGGGTAACGATAAACACAGTCACATGACATCAGTTAGGGTAACAATAAACACAATCACATGACATCAGTTAGGGTAATGATAAACACAATTACATGACATCAGTTAGGGTAACGATAAACACAATCACATGACATCAGTTAGGGTAACTTCTTATTCATTCTAAATTGTATTGTTGGAAGGGATTTCCTCCAACACAATTAAGTATTACGTGGCAAAATGTTATGCACCAAATAGGCAATTGACTCAGATTTCAGCTTGCTCTTTATAGCATTTGTTGATACAAGAACAAACTACAAGGCAGGAGTTCATTGATGTTGAAGTTTTCACTCTGAGATGGGTTGCTGTCCCCATCTATTGAGCTTCAAATGCCCAGAGATTCGAACACGGGACTTTTCGGTTTAGCAAACATGAGCTTTACCGACTTGACCACACTAACCCCAATTAGGATAGCAATAAACACAATCTCACTACATCAGTTACATTACAATAGCTGATACAGATATTAATAGATATTTCTAATAACAAGATCTGAATCAATATTTAAATTAAAAAAGTTACATCCTTGGAACTAGACTTAAAACAACCTACAATCCCATTTGGTACAAATCTTGCTGTTAAAGTCTAAATGGTGAACCTAAGTTCTAATTTTTTTTTAAATTCCACCCACACCGCTAGATCTTATAAAAGGTTTATTCTATCCCCCAAAAATAAATCTATTGAGTTGGAAATTTTTCTATTATGTTTTTTTTTTAAGAAATACAAAACTACACATTCTCAAAATCTCCAACTAACACACAATGACACAGTATAAAAAATGTCACCCCCCCCTCTTCTCTCACGCACATCCCCAAGTGAGCAACATTATGTGTACAAAAGCATCAACATTAAAAACAACTGCTTAGAATAAACAAATATCCAAGGAATGTGGGTTTTAGAAAAAGTTGTAAGTAAAACAATAGTCAATTCTTATTGAAAACCTTAAGATTTAAATTGCATTTCTTAAGAAAAATACTTACGATCTTTGAAAATAATCATAAAAGTGTGCCTTTGACTAGGCTCGTAGCAGCTGGAAGTATCAAAGTGGCTCAGGGTGTAGTGTTGATCATTGAAATCATAAAAGTTGAAAGCCATATACAAATTGGTCTGAAATTTGAGTTGTACAATCATAATTTATGCAACATCTTTTCTCCAACTTTATAAATAAGACAAAAGTACATTATTTTGAAAATGAATATGGGACTTTGCTTTTACTTAAGTCTGACACATGATCTAGTTCAAAGGTTTTAAAATTGAGACATGCATTTTCACAGTGATGTGAAATTTTAACAGAAATTTACAATACAAAAATATAACTACTTTTTCATTTAACTATAGCAACATTTCGTTTCAGAGTACTCAAAGTTTAAATTATTTTTAAAACTTTTAAATTATTTAACATGGGCTATTGAAAAATTATTTGTGAAAAGAGAATAAGAATAAAAAATAATACGAAACAAATAAAAAGCTATAAACTGAGATCAACTTACGGTCACATCTTCTATTTCTAGCATAACTGGTTTGCTCTTGGTGATATCAGTACTGTCTGGGGACACATAGTCCCAGTCATCCTAGAACATAACAACAGTATGTACTGCACATCAACGATTCAAAAAGTTGACACATTTAATTCTATATTTTCTGTCTCACTCAGGCATTCAGCATGTAAAGTTTAGTTTGGTAACTATTGTTACGGTCAGCCACTATTTTGGGGTAGAAAAATCAGACAATTTGAAACTATTTTTTGTTGTTCTGTAGTGAAAATGACATTTTAAATACATTTGATAATTATATTTTTTATGATGGGAAATAACCACTGAAGGTTTTTAGGGAAAGCAATAGAAACTGTGTTTTAACGAAAAGTGACATTTTAAATACAAGCATAGTGAGACCAAGTGGATAATATATTGTTTATGATGAGAAATAACCACTGAAGGTTTTTAAGGAAAGCAATAGAAACTGTGTTTTGTCAAGTTTTAAAATAAGACTTACAGCCTGGAAGTAGTACTTGAAAATACTGGTGTCAGTGATGTTGTAGGCATCAGCTTTGAAGTCCCCTCTCTTTGACTCAAACACATCACACACTATGCCCCTGACTGTTTTCTGTTGGAAGGAAATGTTTTCATTAGATGATTGTTTTCATTAGATGATTGTTTTCATTAGATGATTGTTTTCATTAGATGATTGTTTTCATTAGATGATTGTTTTCATTAGATGATTGTTTTCATTAGATGATTGTTTTCATTAGATGATTGTTTTCATTAGATGATTGTTTTCATTAGATGATTGTTTTCATTAGATGATTGTTTTCATTAGATGATTGTTTTCATTAGATGATTGTTTTCATTAGATGATTGTTTTCATTAGATGATTGTTTTCATTAGATGATTGTTTTCATTAGATGATTGTTTTCATTAGATGATTGTTTTCATTAGATGATTGTTTTCATTAGATGATTGTTTTCATTAGATGATTGTTTTCATTAGATGATTGTTTTCATTAGATGATTGTTTTCATTAGATGATTGTTTTCATTAGATGATTGTTTTCATTAGATGATTGTTTTCATTAGATGATTGTTTTCATTAGATGATTGTTTTCATTAGATGATTGTTTTCATTAGGTGATTGTTTTCATTAGATGATTGTTTTCATTAGATGATTGTTTTCATTAGATGATTGTTTTCAGACAATGAATATATCTGGTATGTAGACATTTGCAAGTTAATTTATTTACCTAAGTATAATTTTACAATTAATAGAATAAGTTAGTGTTAAAGGGTATTTAGAAAACTGGGTTTTTGAAATGGTTACATTGAAAATGTAATTATTTTACTGAGAATCTATATGGACGCAAAGTTTAGCAAGATATGAACAACTCACCTCACCAATATGTAGGTCGCTCACCTGACCAACATATAGGTCACTAACCTCATAAAATATAGGTCACTCCCCTCATCAACACATAGGACAGTCACCTCTCCACCATATAGGTCACTCACGCTCATGTGACCATTATGTCACTCACCTCATTAAATATAGGTCACTCACCTGACCAACATGTAGGATAGTCACCTCACTAGAATATGGATCACTCACCTCACTAACAGAGGTCATTCACCTGACCAACTTGTAGGTCATTCACCTCACTAACCTACAGGTGACTAATCTTACCAACATGTAAACTACTCATCTCATAAAATATAGGTCACTCACCTGACCCACATATCTGTAGCTATTGTCCAGGTAAAACATGCTCTGAGGTGACTTCATGGACACCACCTGGCTTCCATCAGTTGATGGTTTACCTGTGACCACATCGAAGGCACCCTGGCTTAGGGGTGAGATTTTACATTTTTTTGTAACGTCATTGATCTCATAGGCCACACCTGCAAGGATTATAATTAAAAACAAATTTTTTTTCCTGTTTTTCTAAACATACTAAAAAAATCATAAAAATTCTTTTTTATAAAAACATTATACAGTTTTATGAAAATAATTTTTATGTAAGAAATTTTTCTTTAATTTAAGTTTGAATTCACCCACAGCATTTTTATCTGAAGGAAGAAATTAATAAAACAGAATAAATTAATTAAAGAGATGAAAGAAATATTTCAAGTGGATTCTACGCCAGCTCACCAGTAGTGAAGTCATGAATGTATGTTGTCATGTAAGGATTATCTTGATCTGGGTCTCTGCTATCAAAGCGAACTATATCTAGGAGGCTGTCATACCATACCTAGTTCATGAAATTAAAAAATATGTCTATACACAGCTAGTATGTCTAAAAAACTTTAATATACGTTAAACCAAAAAAAATTGATTATAACTATCTTAAGAAAAAAATAGATCTACAAAGCATTATGTTTAAACTAAAAGGTTTCACTAGAACAAAGAATAAAACAAAATTAAAAAATTATTCAATTTATCTTGCAAACAATAAAGGGAGGTAACAGTATTTGTAAAAAAATTGAACTTATGTAATTTAGCTGCAGAGTATTATAAAAACATTAATTTTCAAATGAAACTGTAACTAACCTCAAAGTAAACTTATAAAAGTCCCACAATACATAAACCTAAATCTGAAACAACAAATATCACAATGTAGGCCTACCTAACCCCAACCCACATATATCTCTCAGTACATTACACCAGTCCTAACTTACAAATGTCTCCACAACCCTTGTGATTGCAGGCACCACATTCTCCACTCTATAGGAGAACTGTTGAGGCATTGAAGGCAAAGGCTTTGTTTTCATTGGTTGACCTAAAAATAAATTAAATATCATTGGCTGCCCCAACAATAATTTAAATAACATATCAACTATTTTTATCATTCTATTAAAATAAAATAAATGCTACATACTATACTAATTATTTTGATGTACATAAAAATATATTATATGAAAAGTAACATATAAGTACCTGATATTATGTCAACATCTATGGCTTTAAACATATCTGGGGACTGAAGGAAAACAATTCAGCAGAGGCAGAATAGAAAATGCTTCACCAAGTGTGAAGAAAATGATACAAAAAAGTGAAAAACAAATCAAAATATTAACCTGTGTGGCTGATTTGAGCATTTTATATTTTTTTCATTTTACTTGTACATTTTTTTTCTAGGGGGTAAGTGAATTAAAGTGGGAATTCTTTAAAACAGAAAACTTTGTTGACAATAAAATGTTGAACAGAAACATGCTTGTAGTGGCTTACGTTTGTTGATGGATTCATCACCTCAACCTGGAACAAGCCTGTGTTGATGGCGTCCACCAAATTAGCATAAGCGTCTTTGATTATAGGCTCCTGGGTAGCCTTGAAGTCAACAGTTCCTGCCAACAGTAAAAAATTGTATTAGAATAAATCATCTGGTTAAAGATTGATAATAGAATGGAGTACAATAAGCCAACAAACTGAAACAATAATATGTTTTGTGTTGCATATTGGCTGATGTATCATATACTGACCTAATATTTACATGTGATGGGTTGATTAGAAAACCAGACTAAACCATCTAAAACCATTTAAATTTAGACAATAATTATATGTTTATATGGTTCCAGCGTGATATTACTGAAACAAGTTTGATAATAGAATGGAATAAAATAGGCCTACAAGTTAAATCAATAACATGCTTTGTGTTGAAAATAGACTGATGTATCACAAACAAGTGATGGGCTAATCAGAAAACCAGACTGGCATAGTAACAGAGAGAATAATTTTCATCTTCTTCTTCTTTCTTAATTTTAGCGTTAGAAGGGAATCACTCCAACACAATAAAGTATTATGTGTCAACCTGTTATGCACCATATAGGTCGTTGACTCTGATTTCAGCCTGCTTTTCTTTTTAGATTTGCTTCAAAAGTCTTTATCCAACCAAGAACAAACTACAAGGCAGCAGTTGTTTGATTTTGGAGTTTTCTCTCCTAGAAGGGTTACTGTCCCCAGCTATCTAGCCTGAGGGTTCGAACTCAGGACTTTTTGGTTCAGCAACCATGAGCTTAACCAACCTGACCACGCTGACCTCTAGAATAATTTTATGTTTCTATGGTTCCAGCATGATGTCAACAAAACAGATTCACTCAACCGTGTCACTCACGTGTGAAAGCGTCACAGGCTGTGGCATTCTCTAAGACTGGAGTTGATGGCACTCTGTCTCTCAGCAGTCTAAAATGGTAAACATGTGCACATTTACATCAGTTCCAATACTAATTATGAGGAAGCAAGGTAATATTGTTTAATTAACAGTAAGTAAAGCTGACACTGGAATAAATCAATACATTTTAAATTATGGCAGTGGATGGTCAGATGGTAGTTGAGTTTTTATGTCCCTGAGTCCATCTGATGGGTAATCCACTCACATTAGGGAAAGTAAAGGTGGCTAGGCAAAATGCTGACCACACTATCCCTTCATATGCAGAGGTCACAGAAACAGATGAAAGGGTTATTTTACTTTTTACACATATTAAATGAATCTACATATTGTTCATGATCAGAGGAAAAAATCGATGTCACCTGCAAGCATAGCCATCACTTGGGCAGTACTGGTAGCCATTACATATGAAGTCTGTGTTGTTGATGCACAAGTTAGCACACTCATCTGGCATGGTGATACCTTTGTATACTTTGGAATCTGTACGCTCTATGCTTGGCCATTGGATTTTCTCAAACATTGCTGGGGAAATTTTTAAAAGTTTGAGCTTAAAATGTATGAAAAAATTATCATCAAGTGGTAAGTCTGTAATTTTAATATATCTGGGAAACAAAACAAACAAAAAAGCTTAAATTCTGAAACAATTATTAATGGCCAAGAATTATTTTATTATGACATGAGAACAGTTGTAATAACATAACTAATTAAATATTTAAATTAATTAAATATAAAAAAAGTATTCATCAAGAAAGTGCATGAGTAAAGATATAATAAACCACTTATGTATAAATAAAAGTAAATAAAGCATTCATTAAAGAAGTCCAAATATGTTAATTTTGTAGACTTAATTTTACCAGCGTTAGATGTCCCCAGTAGCATGGCACTGACATAGGTGTTAAAATCTGACGTCTCCACAGACAGACCGGTCACTCTGATAGGATTGACCTTCATGTGAATGGCTAGTGCATGATAGACAGCCTCCTTCCACTGTTCTGTTTGACCAGGCGCAGAATTACCTGGGAATTTGAAGAAAAGCATAACTTAGGTCATAGGTCATCAACTTTGGTGAGGCATTTTTGTTCACAGTTAATAAGACAGTGAACTGTAAAATACACTTCTATTTTGTTACGAAAGACTAAAAGAAACAGTTGCTAAATAAACAGTAGTGTTATTTTCTATATACATCTTCTCCTTTATGATCTTAATTGCAAGTTACTATGCGAAACTGATAGAAAACCCTAAAATATTTAATCAAGAATAATTATGGACTAGTTTGACCAGCTTATTACAAGAATAAGCTTTAAAACAGTGTAATTTTTATTCAATGGGGTTAGGTGTTGATTGTTTAGCAAGCAAAATTTCACTTTTCTACTCTTCTTCCCCAATATAAGTAGGTAACTAATTTATACTATACACTAAGTTTTGAAGGGTTGGCTCAAGATCACATGCGAATAAAATTTGATTTTGGAATGACCAGTATTTTAACTGACAACAATTTGCATAGCGATCAGATGCTCCATCCCATGACCACTCAACCACAGCTGCTAGAACCCTAACCCTAACTTAATCAGAGCATGCTAGCAAAAAAACAAATAAAGAACCAGCCATAAGAATAAAAAACAAGTTAATTAAAAAAGTCTAGTGACATTTGTGCGCAATTTCCTTATGTTATCTAAAAATAGCTCTGACGTATAATGTTGGGGTGCGTTCAAGCTAGAAGAACAATCGGTTTGTAGGTGTTTATGTAATTTTAAAATTTGTGACCGAACGAGAGAATATTTTTGAAAACTTTCTTCGGCAATATTGTTCTAAATTATGACAGGAATCGATTGGTACATGTTTCAAGTCGCTAAGTGGTCTGGTTGCCGAGATATGGGCCAAAAACTGCTTTTTTTCGAGATTTTTTTGGCTTTTCTGGGAAATCCATGAAAGAAACCCGGAATTTTTATGGCCTATGTTCATCCTCGTAACTTGCTTAACATAATTGCTTTTTGAACTAGTCATCGATATTGCTTCGTTGAGGAGGAGATACGACTTAAAGCTGCGGACACACATTCATCCATCCATCCATCCATCCATCCAGAAATGACGGGTTAATAAACGCAATTCTCCAGAATGGAAATTGCGCTAAAAACATAAAATTTGGAGCTTTCTTTAAGTTTAAGTGAGTGCACAATCTTGCAACTTTAAACCCACCTGGGAAGGTCAACTTAAACCTCAATCTTTGGTTCTCTTCAAAGCAAGGAGAGGCATCGAATGCAAGATTTAAAGGATAAACTTGAGCATAATCAAAGAAGTTGTAGATTCTGGTGTAGTAAACCTAAGGCACAACAAACCAAATATATTTCATTTCTAGAGGAATAACTTTAATATAAATTTAAAATATATCATTACAACTACACAAACCAGTCAGAAGCAAACATTTTTACATGTAGCACTATTTATAAGTGGATTGTAAGCTGGGTATAAAGTAACACAAATACAATCCACTAATACTTACAGATGGAGCTGTTATAACTAGTTGGACTGGATATGCTCTTGCATCTGTATCCATGCCATCCAGGGGTAGATCATTCCAATTACTCTAATACAAAATAATGCAAGTTTTGAAGCACTTTCACAACACTTTGCAACTAATACATAAATATTGTATTTATTGAAAAATCTTGCTTTTTACATTGGTCATGATATTATTAATGAGTAGGTCTATATGAAGCAATGGAAGCACAGTTTTTGGGCAAAATAATAATATTCTGCTGACATTGACAAGATCTTGGAGTTTTACTGTCTACATTATTATAGTATAACATTAATAGTATTCTTGATTAATATAGCTGAATAAGTAATACATAGTGTCAGTACTTTTTTTTTTACTTAAAATCTTTATTTATATGCAAAGATGAACAATTAAATAATAATAAATATATTTTTAAATTTAAAACTATTTCTGGTTTAAAATAGCTATATCTACTCACAGACATGAAATAATATTCCATTGTGGCATTCACTTTGCCTCCTAGTGCAGGGAAATCTGGTACAATATTGCTAAAAACATCACAAATTATTCCTCGGGCTGTTCGCTTAAAGAAATATATAACCAAAATTATAGCTTACATACTTTTTAATAACAAAATCTACATAAAAATGACTTGATTTAAAAAATAATTGTTTAAATAGAAGTTCTACTCATTCGATAATCTAAAACATTGAATAAAAGCCTTAGCAGTATAAAATTATGAGTGTCTGATTATGGCACAATAATATGATCTTCTAAAAAGGTTAGGTTATTCATTGTTAACTAAATACACATATGATTTGTTAATGTCAATACAAACCCTATCCTTAGAACCTAACCCCCATTCCAATCTTACCATAGACCTAAACCTACTTTCTAACTATAAAACTAAATATAAAATTAAAATACTACTAACAACCTAATTTTGAAAGAGTCCATTGTTGGACATCAATAACACAAATAATCTTAAATTAGTTATTCGAGAGTTTACCTGGCCAACAAATTTATAGTCATCATTGAAGCTGAAGAATCTCATGGGATCCCGAATATCAACAACAATAGATTTATTATAATTGTACAAGTCCATGTTCTCCTGTGTGTCCGAGGCCACCAAGTCCAAAGGGTGTATCTGGCAACCCCCAAGCTGGTCAATGACATACCTGATACCTGGCAATAAAACAAATTGATATTAGAGGCCAAACTTAATATTTTTAGAAAACACAGTTTGTTTACATTAATTTTAAATTATATTTAATTTTTTTATTTTCAAGCCTGTGGTTTTAAAACAGGAAAAAATAATTATTAACTGGGAAAAGTTTATATTTATTGTTTTGGCAATGTCTTTGTCTTCATATGCCAAGGTCACAGAAACAGGTGAACTCTACTTCACTTACCCATAGACCATCAGGTTCAAAAAGGGAACTTAACTTTATAATTGATGTCTTTGGCATTGGTGGTTCTAAAGGGTTAGATGAGGAGGAAGTGAGCCTTTAAAACTCCCTCAAATAATAGTTCTAGAGCTGCCAATGGAGTTTCTTAATTATCTGACAGCTTGCAAACATTTCAGATTTGCTACAAGTACTGCATGTATGAGTGACAACGCAAACAAATATTTAAATAGAATGGCTATCTATTGTTATTTTCATCAAAATGTTTACTAAAAAGATAATGGCCTACATAAAGAAAATGATTGTAATTATAAAATGTGTCAGAGCAGATTTTAAAAAATCAAAAAGTTGCAATGATATTAAAAGTGTTGCAAATATAGGATTAGGAATATATGACTTAGTAATACAACTTCTACAGGTTATCAAACAATTATTCAAGTCAATATATCCTGCTACTAATCCTGTATTTAATCCATTAACCTGTTTTAAAATCATGCAGTTCTGTAACAGCCTCTTTTGTGTTGATTGTTGAGTCAGGATTGGCTGGCCTTTTATCTTCTCTAACCAGCTTGGCATCCTCATTATACCAAACCTACAATCAGCATTACATTATGATCAATACATTGCTTATTATACCAAACTTACAATGATATTCATACAATCAGCATTACATTAAGATCAATAAATTCCTCATTATACCAAACCTACAATCAGCATTACATTATGAACAATACATTCCTCATTATGCCAAACCTACAATCAGCTTTACATTATGACTTATGAACAATACATTCCTAATTATATCTAAGTCTAAATCTAAATAACAGAATACTATTGAGGCTGTAAATAAATCTTACCATTAAAGTGTGATATTTTATCAATAAGTGGATACATATTTAATTAAAGGTTTACATGGAATATTATTACACTGATTAGTAAAAAGATTAAATACTAAATTATACATGAAATAAGCTGCAGTCGCGCGAATGTGTTTAAAGTTAAGTGTTAAAACAAGGGAAGTAATAAGCCGACCCCCCCCCCCCCCCCCCCCCCCCCCCAACAAATCAAAGAAGCCTTTAGCCTAGAAGGAAAAGGGAGAAAACTTATTATTATTTAGCCAATAAAATGTAATCATTTCATTCGAGAGAAATTACATGAGTTATGATTTACTTTAATTTTAACAGTGTGCTTTTGTATAGGCCCTATGTCATACCACATGTTAATACTTTTAAGACGACACATTTAAAAACACAAATTTAGTTTTCAAAACTATCAGTACCGCGTAGTGTGTGATGAGCGAACTGGTCGGGTCAACAATCTCTGCTCTGTACCGGAAGACACTGCTGAACTGTGGTAAGTTGCCAGTTTCCTCCCGCTTTGTACACACAACTTCAGGCGGCGTCTGGGGAGGCCAGATAAAACGTTTGTTTGTAAACAGTTCAGTTAGTTTAGCGGTAGGACTACCTCATAGGCTAACATTTTTACGGCAAGTTTGCAGTTTGGTTGTTTTAGGTTCAGAGTTTCTTCCAGGCATCTCTTCGGGGGGGGGGGGGGGGGGGGGCGAAGAAAGTCTACCGCCCCCCCCGAACGAAATGAAATTTATATAGAAAATATATACTTTTAACAGTTTCCGCCCCCCGAAGAAAGTCTACCGCCCCCCCCCCCCGAAAATTTCAAGTGCCCCCCGGAGAAAAAGTCTGGAAGAAACACTGTTTAGGTTGGGCTAGTGGACGACGTCACACTCCTAATAGGGAGAAGGTGGACATTATTTCTTCCAGACTTTTTCTCCGGGTGGGGGGTGGGGGGCACCTGAAATTTTCGGGGGGGGGGGGGAGGCGGACTAAAATTTGGGGGGGGGGGTGGAAGCGGACACTGTTAAAAGTATATAATTTTTAGTGGGTGTCGGAGTTTTTACAACTTTTGCTTTTTAAAAATAATGTAAGAAACTTGATTTATTTTGCGTTTTTTAAAACACATTTTCCCCCAAAATTTATTTTAAAAAAAACTCAACGTTGACTGAGCTTTGTAAATAGTAAAAATCACAGCAGATCATTAACAAAACTCAACGTTTTAAAACGTAATTGCAATTTTGACGTGGTAACAGTGTCAGATATGACTTCATTTAAATGGAAAAAAGGGGGGGGGGTGGGGGGGTGGGAGTAGTTTTTGTGTGACAATGAGTGATGATGGGGGGGGGGGGGGGGGGGGTGGGAGTAGTTTTTGTGTGACAATGAGTGATGATGGGGGGGGGGGGGGGGTTAAAATCGTTTATAAAAGCCATGAAGTCGTTTTTTGGATGACCCCTTGCTGCTAAATTGCATAACATTACAGGTGGAAAAGCATGATTAAGAACAATTTTATTATAATTCACTTTTTATATCAACGCCCAATTGTTTTAATTACTAAATACCAGATCTATATATAAAACATATTTTAATGAGAATGATAACCACACACACACAGCAAACATTTTCCATGATAGGGTCTTTTAAAAAAAATAAAAACAACTGTGTAAAAAATGTCATCTACCTCAAATATGGAGGGGTCGCAGCGATGAAGTCGTAGATGTGATGGAAGTGTCTCTTCGACCCAGGGGCCAGGGTCGTCCCGAGGGTGACGCCGTACTGGGCAACATCCGAGTCTCCCTCGACCTCAATCCTCAGTGGGACTTGTTGGATTGGCCCTGACACGTTCCACCCTGGGACTGAAATGTTGGGGGCATTAACCTTTGGGCACTTAACACTAACATGATGGGGAAGTTTTCGTTAGTTGTCATGGTAAGTCCCACGGCACTCAACCTCTATTCTTCAAGAGACGGCAGAATGGTCAAAGAACGTAACACCCTAGAGACACAGAGACCGAAGAATTCACCAACATAAAGATCAAAGAACACAACCTTAAAGACACAAAGACCATAGAACTCACGACCCTAAAGACACAAAGAACTCACCACCATAAAGACACAAAGAACTCACCACCCTAAAGACACAAATACCAAAAAACTCACCACCCTAAAGACACAAATACCAAAGAACTCACCACCCTAAAGACACAAAGAACTCATCACCCTAAAGACACAAAGACCAAAAAAACTCATCACCCTAAAGACACAAAGACCAAAAAACTCACCACCCTAAAGACACAAAGAACTCACCACCCTAAAGACACAAAGACAAATGAACTCACCTACCTAAAGACATAAAAAACTCACCACCCTAAAGACACAAAAAACTCATCATTAAAGACACTAAGAACTCACCACCCTAAAGACACGAAAATGAAAAGAAAAACTCACATGAGAAGACATGAGAATGAAACAACTCACCACTGAAGTAGAACGTCGCATTCACTTGACCCGACACTGAAGGCCAAGGCAGGCATGTCGTCCAGACGTCGGCGGGTATACCACGGACATTCTTGGTGCCCAGGTAAATCTGGGGTAAAGTGGGACAAGGGTAAAGTGGGACATTACTCAAGGGTAAAGTGGGACATTACTCAAGGGTAAAGTGGGACATTATTCAAGGGTAAAGTGGGACATTACTCAAGGGTAAAGTGGGACATTATTCAAGGGTAAAGTGGGACATTACTCAAGGGTAAAGTGGGACATTACTCAAGGGTACAGTGGGACATTACACAAGGGTAAAGTGGGACATTACTTAAGGGTAGTGGGACATTACACAAGGGTAAAGTGGGACATTACACAAGGGTAAAGTGGGACATTACTCAAGGGTACAGTGGGCCATTACACAAGGGTAAAGTGGGACATTACTCAAGGGTACAGTGGGCCATTACACAAGGGTACAGTGGGCCATTACTCAAGGGTAGTGGTACATTACACAAGGGTAAAGTTGGACATTACACAAGGGTAAAGTGGGACATTACTCAAGGGTAAAGTGGGACATTACTCAAGGGTACAGTGGGCCATTACTCAAGGGTAGTGGTACATTACACAAGGATAAAGTTGGACATTACACAAGGGTAAAGTGGGATATTACTCAAGGGTACAGTGGGCCATTACACAAGGGTAAAGTGGGACATTACTCAAGGGTAAAGTGGGACATTACTCAAGGGTAAAGTGGGACATTATTCAAGGGTAAAGTGGGACATTACTTAAGGGTAAAGTGGGACATTACTCAAGGGTAAAGTGGGACATTACACAAGGGTAAAGTGGGACATTACTCAAGGGTAAAGTGGGACATTACACAAGGGTAAAGTGGGACATTACTCAAGGGTAAAGTGGGACATTACGCAAGGGTAAAGTGGGACATTACTCAAGGGTAAAGTGGGACATTACACAAGGGTAAAATGGGACATTACACAAGGGTAAAGTGGGACATTACACAAGGGTAAAGTGGGACATTACTCAAGGGTAAAGTGGGACATTACACAAGGGTAAAGTGGGACATTACTCAAGGGTAAAGTGGGACATTACGCAAGGGTAAAGTGGGACATTACACAAGGGTAAAGTGGGACATTACACAAGGGTAAAATGGGACATTACTCAAGGGTAAAGTGGGACATTACTCAAGGGTAAAGTGGGACATTACTCAAGGGTAAAGTGGGACATTAGTCAAGGTAAAGTGGGACATTACTCAAGGGTAAAGTGGGACATTACCCACGGGTAAAAGGGGACAAGGGTAGTGGGACATTACTCAAGGGTAAAAGGGGACATTACTCAAGGATAAAGTGGGACATTACTTAAGGGTAGTGGGACATTACTCAAGGGTAAAATGGGACATTACACAACGGTAAAGTGGGAGATTACTCAAGGGTAAAGTGGGACATTACTCAAGGGTAAAGTGGGACATTAGTCAAGGTAAAGTGGGACATTACTCAAGGGTAAAGTGGGACATTACCCACGGGTAAAAGGGGACAAGGGTAGTGGGACATTACTCAAGGGTAAAAGGGGACATTACTCAAGGATAAAGTGGGACATTACTTAAGGGTAGTGGGACATTACTCAAGGGTAAAATGGGACATTACACAACGGTAAAGTGGGAGATTACTCAACGGGTCGACAACAAACACACACTGTACACGAGGAGATTTACAGTTAAAAATATATATGAATACTTTCTGCCTCACATCACTCAAACAGAAACATAAAACAAACACAGCCGAAACCTAGTTTCACGTCAGTACTCACGTCATTGGCGTTAGCAGCAAATTTCAAAGCCTGGGCGCTGCTAAAAATATGTTTTTGGGGATCCCCGGGGTTCCCCAAGCTAAACGGTCCAAAAATAAAACTGTTGGAGTCGTCACTGATGTTTTTGGTGACGCAGCTCTTGTCTGAGAAATAAATACGTCGGATAAAAGATGAAGGTTCTGGAAAAGGTTTTCGTCAAAAAACAAAATGGTATTCCTTTAAAATGTTTCAAATTTTCCATATATGCATGCTCTAAAAATGTTCAACTTAAAATTTTAAAATATAAACCATATTACTAGAGTTATGCCGAAGTCAACAAACATATACGACAATAAATTCAGTTTTAGTTAAAGATAAGAGTGATTTCCCGTTCTAATGAACTGTTAAAAGATCTACCGGGTAGTGATTTTTTTAAATGGGTCTTTGATACTGTATGTTTAACTATATGACTCATAAATTCTAAAGCTCAAACATAAAAGACAAAAACAACAGCAACAACAGCAACAACAGCAACAACAACATCAACAACAGCAACAACAACACTAGTTTTACAGATATTTACAATACAATACAATTTCAAGCTGTTAAACATAAGCCACCTACCTGCTAAATTAACGTGGAACACTTCACCAGTCACGTAAGAATACAGCACCATTTCCTTGACCCCCTGCCTGTACGCCACCAGCGCCCCCCTGTTCCCCGTGTAGTCCAGGTACTCATCCACCACCATGCTGTAGTTCTTGTCGAGGACATTGACCTCTATACGGGCCTGGAAGTCGTTCATCGATTCCAGGATAGAGGGCCTGGCTGGAGCTAGGGGGGGGGTATATGTACATTTTAGGCTGAGTTAAGGGAGGTAACATATGTACATGATTTAAGGCAGAGTTAAGAGAGGTAACATATGTACTTGATTGAAGGGAGACAACAAAATATTTAAAAAAATAATTCACTGTAGAATATATAGGGGAGGGGGGGGGGGGCGATTTATGAAAAAAAATATTTTTTAGACTAGTCCTAAAACATCAGACCAAACACAGAATCTGGAGAAATAAATGACACTAGCAACAAAATATGGAGAAATAAATGAATGACACTAACAACAGAATCTGAGAAAATAGACGTGACTAACAATAGAATATAAGGGGTTCTTTGTCTATTGTGATTAACGTTAGTACTCACAAACCCCTGCCCTTGTAGGTGGAGGAACACAGGTGAAGTCTGCCCACGTTATGCCAGCCAGAGTTGTCATAACAACCAACACCACACGGGACAAATAAAACACCATCTTTTGAAGTAGAAAAAATATTAATTTTTTTAAAAATCCAGATCGGCGTGTTTGTAATAATAGATCAACAAAAATGTTTATCAAGTTTACCACAAAAAAATTAGCTCAAAGCTGCCGAAAAGTAAATCTTTATATTATTTGGATAGGCTAGACTTGAAATAATTATTGACTTCGATACCACCAAAAAAAAAATCACTATCAAGTATCGAAGATGAAAAATTCCGAGGGCATTAACAATTTGAAAAAATATCGAATAGATTTTATGTTTATTTTATATACACATATATTGACGTGTTTTTTAAGGGTTGGTTCCTAAGCGGGGTAAAAGTAAAGTCCCTTTTCAAACCTGAGGATTCATGGGGCAAGTGAAGTAGAGTTCACCTGCTGTGATCAGCACATGAGTTAGGTACGCGTCAGAGCTGGGTGGACTCAGTGTCGTCCAACTGACTTGAACCCAGATTCATAAAAATTGATAATTTAGGGTTACCAGTCAAGCGCTCTACTGCTAGGCCACGCCATTTCATTAGTAGAGTACATGTAGCTTTTGTTATTTTTAATCGGATACGAAATCAATTTCTAATTATACAAAATACATGTCACGAGGCTTGTTTTTGTTACATCCGGAATTTTGTTTAACCAGAAGGACGTCTCTTACTAAAGATATCGACTTTTGAGCGGCTGGAGTTTGGTGACGGTACTTCACGTGCGGGCGTAGAACGGTTTCTTTATGTTAGGGTATCGTTCATAACAAACTTGACTTTTTAAAGTCAATTTTAAGCCCCGGGTTCAAGTCAGTAGAACATCACCTTGTCCAACCAGCTCTGATGGGTATCTAACTCACGTTAGGGAAACTAAAGGCGGCTGGGCATAGTGCCGAGGTCCCAGAAACAGGTGAACTCTACTTCCCTTGCCCCATTGATCGTCAGATTCTAAAAGAAAACTCTAAGCCCCGTAGCGTTATCTTTAGACGTCACAAAACATCAACACCCCCACATAAAGTGACGGCAAAATGTTATCCTTAATCGATGAAAAAAAATCACGTTTTTCATAGTGTTTTCACTTTTACACTACCTAAACAGCCCCCCCCCCCAAATCGTCACACATGGTCACTAATGTGATGTCACGTATGATCGACATCTCACCTTAGTTAGTTTTTGTTGTGGGTTTGAAAACACACCAGCCTCAGAATCAACCAACACACAAACGTTAAGACACATGTCTTTGTTAAGACACATGTCTTTGTTAAGGCACATGTCTTAATCATTCAAGACAAACCTGTCTAACAACGCCATTCCATAATAACACCAAAACACACTCTATTAATTTCCCACCCACCATTAAACTTTACACTGTATTCCAAATTAGTTAAGCTTAATTAATTAACATAACAATTATACAATCAATATATAAACTCACCTTTTAAATTTTGAATAACAGTAATTTTTTAACTCACGGTATTTGAAAATTTAAAAAATCTAATCACATTCCATGATTTTACATGCAACTTTAAAAAACAAAAACAACACAAAATTCGTAAGTTAAATAATAAATAAATCAACTATATTTCATTTTCATAGTAATTAGATGTGTTACTTTATCCCCGTGTTGTCTTTCCAGTACGGTATTTTTAAAAGTAGCCAGTTGATCAAGATAATGACAATGAACACACCTCCGATAAGTTGATTTACAACACAGATTCTTGAACTTATGTCTGTTTATCAACACACTTTATCACACGACCAAATCCGCTATAGAAAAGTTATCAAGCAGATAATATTTTAACTCACATTTTAAAAATAGAGCGTCGTACACAGCGCGATAAAAAAATGTAATCAGTAGATAAAGGCAACGCGAAAATGAGTTTTGAAATAGTTTCGAGAGCGATGAAAAGTTTTTGACAAGGGTTTCACAATCTGTGTGCTGGTGTCGGTGATGTTTCATCGGGGTGACACATTGTTTCATGATTTTGACCTGGGAGAGGATATGCCATCACGCCCCCCTATGGCGTCTTAGTCAACAACAGTCTGTTGATCAATTTGACTGAAACCAGTTGACTGAAGGAATTTGACTGAAGGCAGTTATTGAAGTCATTTGACTGAAGCTATTTGACTGAATCCAGTTGACTGAAGCAATTTTACTGAAGCCATTTAACTGAAGCTATTTGACTGAAGGTAGTTAATGAAGTCATTCGACTTAAGCACTTTGACTGAAGCCAGTTGACTGAAGCAATTTGACTGAAGCCAGTTGACTGAAGCAATTTGACTGAAGCCAGTTGACTGAAGCAATTTGACTGAAGCCAGTTGACTGAAGCAATTTGACTGAAGCCAGTTGACTTGAGCTATTTGGCGGAAGCCATTCTACTGAAGCCAATGAACTCTGACCACATGATTTCAGCTATTTGACTTCAGTCAATAGACCAATCATTTGACTCTAACATTTTCACCCCAATGATTAGATGATTTGCGCCTTATGACTTCAAATCTATATTTCCAATAATTTGACTTAAACTATTTGACTCCATCATTTAACAAAGATGTGACTAAGTTTAATAAATATACTGCTCTTTAAGTTCTCTCCCCTCTCTTACATCTCAAACACAACTCACTCACACGGACATGTGTACTAAGACTCGAACCAAAAACTTCGCATTGTATTTTACCCCTAAAGACTACTTCATACTTTTTGATAATGTTGTAAGAAAGTTTATCTGGCTATCGAGAACATTTTTCTCTATTAGCTACCCTATCACAATGACACACCCATGCAACAAAGCCGCCCCCCCCCACCTTCACTCTCCGACTACAAATCCGCCCCTGCCTATACCGGAAACACCGCTGTGTGTAGAGTCAGGATGTAGAGTAGGTGGGTACAGAACGTCCCACACATCTGGTGATATCTCTCTGTAGCCTTTCTCTGACCGTATCAATCGGGTTGATTGGAATGTAGACTAAGGTTTTAATGGTTCAGTACTTCTCGTAAACCTTTCGCAATTTAACAAATTCTAATTTTAATATATTTTGTACACATTTTGTGTGTGTTGAGAGCCAATGTTTGTTTAATTATCAATTCATCAAATACAAGGCTATTTGAGTTTAAAAATCTACACATAAAACTGGTGAAGTTTTTTAAATACCGAAAATTTCAAGAATCGCCGAAGCTCAAAACATTAGTGTAAGCTGGCCAAGGTTTTAAGTAATAAAACTTTTCAATGTACTAAGACAATCTTGAACACGATCGAGGCAGCACATCTGATGTACCCTAACACGATTTGTACTGCTTTTGGTGTTTATTAAAAATAATAACATTAAATCGTTAATAAAGATTCCTCTATAGACCTAAAGGCAGATTTGACAGATGAAGTAGAATTCATATTTTTCTTGACCTCTGAGTATGAAGGGATAACGTGGTCAGAATTATGCCCAGCCGCTTTACTTTCCCTAACTTGAGTTCCACTTACTTGAACCCTTATTCGAACAGGAGACTTTCGCGTTAACAGTCTGGTCATTAAATTGTCTATGGTCATGCATTTAAGTATTCGGAAGCCGCTTATGCTTTTTTTTCTCTCTAATAGATGACTGAGACATAGCTCCAACGTCTCTTGCGCGTCTATCCCGAAAATCTACAATACACTCACATCCATGTTTATATGTTGGCATCGAAAGTGCCTGCCAATTATAATTTTTACATTCAATAATGAGCCTGCTCTTTGTGAGAAATATAGCCCTACTGAAGTACTGACCTAACGCCTTTATTTTTTTCAAAGAAAAAAATCAAAAGTATAAATTCTTATACAATGTGTTTAAAATATTGTTTAAGTCTGGGGGCGTCCTAGAGAATACCCAGCTCTTTTGTGTACCTGACGATCTTTAGGGAAAGTAAAGACGGAAGGGCATAGAACTGACCATAACATCCTTATATATGTCAAGGTTAAATAAACAGATGAACTCTACTTCATCCGTCTTATGAAACGCTAGGTACAAACGGTTGTACTTAATATAACCAGTTTTGAGCGAGTTAGTTACAAAACACAATTGGACCAAACACGTAAAAGTATTGCTTTATTTTGAGCTGATTCGATATCTAAGATGTCAATGACAGAACACCATATCACAATGGAAGGGTGAAACACACCTCGTCTGTAGATAAAAACAACACAGTGTGTCGCGTGTGTGTTGCAGTGGGACGCCGTGTTAACACAGTAAGATCAAGTTGAACACACGTATAGATTTTATCGAGTGTAGATGATACTGTTTAGCTTATCTTTTAAATGTTGTTTGAATTCTTTGCCGATATGGAAAGTTGAAAAATAAATGTTTCTAATGTTAATCAATTTTTAAAAAATTGCATAGATCGATTTGGATATTATGTGTTTGTTTTCGGTACTAAACTTGTGTAAATAGTCAAGAACGATAATTTCCGTTGTACAGAAGGAGTTATTGTTCCTGATGTGATTTTGGAGATTGGTAATTTTAAAAGGCAAACGCACCTTTCACAACTGTCTTTGGAATATATTTTGCATCTTAAAGATTAGACTAATTATAAAAGTATTTTTAGAAAAAAAACTTTTTAAAAATTGTTTAACATGAAGAAATAAAATTATTCAGGATATTAAATCCAATAAAAGATAGAAGTGAACTCAACATAGAAAATGGTAAGATTTGTATTACTGTTTTTGCTTAAAGTGTTAAACTGATTGCTGGTGTTGAGGTAGGAAAGGGGGAAAGTGGATTGGCCAGGAAAGTTGTTGATGCATGTATCGCGTGACTCGTAGGTACAGTGGTTTAGCCTTGTTCATTTCTTTCATATTCTTTACTTTTTGAAACACCGGCATTTAGTTGATGGCTGTCACACACACGCACTCGCACACACACACACGCACACATCCACACGCACACATAAACAGACATATTCATACATACATATAGACGCACACACAAAAATACAAACATACACGCACAAACACACATACTCTCATACACACACACACATGCACACACGTGCACACACATACACGCACAAATAATATATACATATACACTCACTTAAACACACACACATAGTGGCGTCGCTAGGTAAATTTTGCAATTGGTGTCACCCCCCCCCTCTGTAAAAGCTTTAAAGTGTTTACTTTAATACTAATGATGTTTATCTATAGTCGGTTGTTAAAACAGCTGGAAGTAGCATCGTTTTCACTAAAATTTGCATGTTTACGTCATGGTGTCGTCCCCCCCCCCCCTTGTCGTGATCATTATTACGTACTTAAAATATGTGTATAACTCTAATTAACTATTCATTGAACCGTCCAAAAACATATTTATTCTGTATATCTTACAATTTTTTTTTGCCTTGGTGTCATCCCCCTAACTGGTGTCACCTGGTGCGATCCGCACCCCCAGTCCCGCTTCACGACGCCTCTGCACACACACAGACGCACAAACAGACACAAGCTGATTAAACAAAATAAAATGATTACGATTATGTCTCCATTTCTTTTTCTAATATGTGCAAGTATCCCCCCCCCCCACACACACACAAACATAAAACCCGATCACCGAGATCGCCTGGCTTAATTTCATGTTCAAACATCTATTGAATTTTATTTTTTTGCTTTTCGCTCTTCACAGATGAAATCTATTTATTTACTGCTGTTGGTGTGGTCTGGCCATGTGAATGGTGATTTTACCTGCACCCTTCCTACACCCGCCCCCAATGGTACGTGAGCAAATATTTAGATCTATTTGAGTTTTCACAACTTGAAGAACACACATTTTTTAAGTGTTTGGGGGGGGGGGGGGGGCGCTGCCCACAGGGAGACGAAGACAGGTCGTAGAATAGGCGCGAGATGTAGGCCTATATCAGAAAAAATATAACCTTAAAGTGTGTATTGAAATAGTAGCATTTTGTGTTCGGATATTTAAAAAATGTTTTCGATATATCGAATAACATAACATGCTATGTTTTCATTTCACTGACGACTTTTCTTAAAACTTTCTACTGACACACAGAGAGGTCTTTAAATAAAACATTATTTTGGACACAGTGGCGTAGCGAGGTCGGATGTCACCCGGTGCGGCACTTAATGGTGTCACCCCCCCCCCCCCCCCCAGAGGCGTTGCGACCCTTACCGGGGACAAACTTTCAAGTTTTCGATTTGCACCTCCCTCAAACTTTCGATTTGCACCCCCCCCCCCTCAAGTTTTCGATTTGCACCCCCCCTCAAACTTTCGATTTGCACCCCCCTCAAGTTTTCGATTTGCACCCCCCCCCCTCAAACTTTCGATTTGCACCCCCCCGTCAAGTTTTTCTCTCTATATTTTGCCATTTTTTGCCTTGGTGTCACCCCCCTAAATGGTGTCACCCGGTGCGGTCCGCACCCCCCGCCCCCCCCTCGCTACGCCCCTGTTTAGACAGAAGGTCTTTACATTAGACATTGTACTGGACAGAAGGTCTTTACATAAGACATTATACTAGACAGGCATGTCTTTACATAAGACATTATACTGGACAGGCATGTCTTTACATAAGACATTATACTGGACAGGCATGTCTTTACATAAGACATTATACTAGACAGGCATGTCTTTACATAAGACATTATACTAGACAGGCATGTCTTTACATAAGACATTATAGTAGACAGGCATGTCTTTACATAAGACATTATACTTGACAGTAATTTCGGCGCCACTCCCTACCGGAACTAAAGTAACTCAAAACAAGTTACGAAGTGACTACCCGGAAGAAGATTTTTCTCCCCAACGTCTCCACTTAGTCGGCAAAAGATAGCTCTGCGCTACGAAGTGACTACTCGGAAGAAGATTTTTCTCCCCAACGTTTCCACATAGTCGGCAAAAGATAGCTCTGCGCATGCGCAGTGACCTATGGCTAGGGTTAGGGCTAGAATTAGGGTTAGGGATAGGATTAGGGCTAGGGTTAGGGTTAGGGATATGGTTAGGGTTAGGGTTAGGGTTGGGGATAGGGATAGGGATAGGGATAGGGATAGGGATAGGATTAGGGCTAGGGTTAGGGTTAGGGTTAGGGATAGGGATAGGGTTAGGGATAGGGATAGGATTAGGGCTAGGGTTAGTGATAGGGTTAGGGATGGGATTAGGGCTACGGTTAGGGTTAGGGTTAGGGTCAGGGTTAGGAATAGGATTAGGGCTAGGGTTAGGGTTAGGGATAGGGTTAGGGATAGGATTAGGGTTGGCAGTGTTTCTTCCAGACTTTTTTTTCCGGGGGGGCACTTGAAATTTTCGGGGGGGCGGTAAACTTTCTTCGGGGGGGCGGACACTGTTAAAAGTATATATTTTCTATATAAATGATATAAATTTCATTTCGTTCGGGGGGGGGGCGGTAAAAAATTTTCGGGGGGGCTTCGCCCCCCCGAAGAGATGCCTGGAAGAAACTCTGAGGGTTGGTGTTAGGGTTCTGCGGTTGTAAACACACGCATGCGCAGTACTATCGAAAACATCGCCGCGATGGCAAGTCGTAGTTTCTCTCCATTGCGCATTCGTATCTTATTCCGGCTAGCATCGGCCAACAAGTTATCTACGGTCACGTGAACTAAGTCACAGACAGTGTGAGCACTCAATAAAATTGCAGCAGCGAGTAAAAGCAAGCAGCAACAAGGTTAACAGCCAGGTATGATGACCATTTGTCTTAGCAAGGGTATAAAGCCGGCAGGTAAACTTAATGAGCAGGTTCGATAACCACTTGTCTTAGCAAGGGTATAAAGCCGGTAGGTAAACTTAATGAGCAGGTTCGATGACCACTTGTCTTAGCAAGGGTATAAAGCCGGCAGGTAAACTTAATGAGCAGGTTCGATGACCACTTGTCTTAGCAAGGGTATAAAGCCGGCATGTAAACTTAATGAGCAGGTTCGATGACCACTTGTCTTAGCAAGGGTATAAAGCCGGCATGTAAACTTAATGAGCAGGTTCGATGACCACTTGTCTTAGCAAGGGTATAAAACCGGCAGGTAAACTTAACTGAGCAGGTTCGATGACCACTTGTCTTAGCAAGGGTATAAAACCGGCAGGTAAACTTAATGAGCAGGTTCGATGACCACTTGTCTTAGCAAGGGTATAAAGCCGGCAGGTAAACTTAATGAGCAGGTTCGATGACCACTTGTCTTAGCAAGGGTATAAAGCCGGCAGGTAAACTTAATGAGCAGGTTCGATGACTACTTGTCTTAGCAAGGTTATAAAGCCGACAGGTAAACTTAATGAGCAGGTTCGATGACTACGGAACTATTCAGTGTCCGCAGTTTACGGCGTGTGGTAACGTTGATAATTATTTTATGAGTTGCAAAATTTGTACAATGTACGTAACTTACATAATTCACATAACTAGCGCTAAGGGTGTTGGATAGAACAATGGGGTGGAGGTGACAGGTCAAATGATCTCAGACAAAATATCACAGACAAAATATCTCAGACAAAATATCTCAGACAAAATATCTCAGACAAAATATCACAGACAAAATATCTCAGGCAAAATATCTCAGACAAAATATCACAGACAAAATATCTCAGACAAAATATCTCAGACAAGATATCTCAGACAAAATATCACAAACAAAATATCACAGACAAAATATCACAGACAAAATATCACAGACAAAATATCACAGACAAAATATCTCACGGACAAATGATCTCAAGACAAATGATCTCTGGACAAAATATCCCGGACAAAATATCTCACGGACAAAATATATCAAGACAAATAATATCATGGACAAATGAACTCAGTCAAAATATTTCAGACATGGAACCGTAGTGGGATATAGTTATAAGAGAAAATAATTTAAAACAGCTCAAGTTGAGGCAAAATTAGAAGATTTTATGATTATTCAAGTAGCGTGGATAATAGTATGAATAGATCAAATGCTGATAACAAAGTGCAGATGACAATAAAAAGTTGATATAAATTTCTAATTTATTCACGTAATCACATATATTCTGTTAAGAATCGATATCTGCACGTGCTAGCTAAGTGATTAAAGGGAGACAATTTTTAAGAATGTTCCCCATAATCGTTATAATATAACAAAGTCAGTAGTTATTAAAAATCAACAATTAATATGGTGTATTATCCAATTCACATACATGATAAAACTTTTATGTGACATTTTATCTAACTTACATGTGATAATTATGCTTTCAAAATATCTTTAGTCTATAAAATTTAATATAGAAAAACATTACACGTGTTTATTGTCTAAGATGATAAGACCTGATGATCTTAATCGTCGTTGCATAGGCATGTTAAGGTTATACCACTTTTAGTTTTTCTAAAGGCTCTAACTTGAGAAGGCTAATATTTCAAAATGACAAACGAAATTTCATGTAGATCTAGATCTATTCGATCTTCCTTCTATCAAACTTTGAGTAATTTCCGTTGACCCTAAGTAGGAATTTATTAAGCTATTTCCGATTTCTCACAAAATAAACCGAGAGTGATCTCCCCTAAACTTTCTCGAATATTCTTATATAACTTGGAATATAGACATGATTTTTAATTACTTAAACTTTTAAAAATAGAATAGAATCTCATAGAAAAAAGAATTGTGCACCAAGCGAACGCCAAAACAAAATGTGCATAATAGTGCGCAATATTATTAGTACTTAATAAATTTACATGCGTTTTTTAAAAAAAAATCGGAAATAGCGTAAATTAGTACTTCCGGTCAACGGAAATTACTCAAAATTTGACAGAAGGTAGAGAATTCGATCTTTTACTTACATGTGAAATTTCATTTATCTATCTGAAATATTACTCAAGTTATAGGCTTTTGAAAAATTCAAAGTAGAAAAAGTACCACTTCCGGTTATCGGAAATCGCTATACGATTTTGATAAAATACTTATATATGAAATTTCATCAATCTAGCTGTAACGGTTCTCAAGTTATCGTGTTTACACACAGACAGACACACAGACAGACACACAGACAGACACACAGACATACGGACAAGATTGCAGTAAATATATATATATATATATATATATATATATATATATATATATATATATATATATATATATATATATATATATATATATATATATATATATATATATATATATATATATATATATATATATATATATATATATATATATATATATATATATATATATATATATATATATATATATATATATATATATATATATATATATATATATATATATATATATATATATATATATATATATATATATATATATATATATATATATATATATATATATATATATATATATATATATATATATATATATATATATATATATATATATATATATATATATATATATATATATGATACACATATGTCTTAAATGTGTATTTTTACCACCAGTCGCCCATTACCACACTATTTGGTCCCTCTACCCCTAGCACCTGCTATACCTCCATTGAAGGCCTATACCTCCCATCATGAAGGCCTCCAACTCTTAACCCCCAGCACCTTCTATAAATTCTATTATGAAGGACACTACCCTCTACCCCCATCACCTGCTATACCTCCCATCATGGCCACTACCCCTCTACTCCCAGCACCTGCTATACCTCCCATCATGGCCACTACCCCTCTACTCCCAGCACCTGCTATACCTCCCATCATGGCCACTACCCCTCTACTCCCAGCACCTGCTATACCTCCCATCATGGCCACTACCCCTCTACTCCCAGCACCTGCTATACCTCCCATCATGGCCACTTTCCCTCTACCCCCAGCACCTGCTATACCTCCCATCATGGCCACTTACCCTCTACCCCCATCACCTGCTATACCTCCCATCATGGCCACTTTCCCTCTACCCCCATCACCTGCTATACCTCCCATCATGGCCACTTTCCCTCTACCCCCAGCACCTGCTATACCTCCCATCATGGCCACTTTCCCTCTACCCCCAGCACCTGCTATACCTCCCATCATGGCCACTTTCCCTCTACCCCCATCACCTGCTATACCTCCCATCATGGCCACTTTCCCTCTACCCTCAGCTCCTGCTATACCTCCCATCATGAAGGCCTCCAACTCCTACGAGGCACGTGTAGAGGTCAACCTCTTAGACCGTAACGTTTCCATGGTGATGGACGAGTACCTGGACTACCAGAACAACAGGGGGGCGCTGTTTGTCTACCGCAACGGCCAGCGGATCCAGGAGATTTACTCCTTCTCCACTGATGAGATCTTTCGAGTCAACCTCGATGGTAAGGTGTTGGCGTCTCGCGGTGGGGTGGAGGGGTACTGAAAAAATATGAGTCCAATAACTAAATATTCGAGATAAGCTTAAAGTTAGGAATATTATCATCGTCTTGTCCCGTTTGTGCCTAAGATACATGGGGCAGGTGAAGTAGAGTTCATCTGTTTCTATGACCTCGGCATACAAGAAGATAACGTGGTCACCTTTATGTCCAGCCGCCTTTGTTTTTCTAACGTGAGGTACCCATCAAATCCGGGTGCACTTAGGTACGGTCTACTGATTTGAACCTGGATGCTAACTCGAGACTTTCGGGTTAGGAGTCTAGCTCTCTACCGCTAGGTCACTACGCTATATATATATATATATATATATATATATATATATATATATATATATATATATATATATATATATATATATATATATATATATATATATATATATATATATATATATATACAATTATATTTAAGATAAAACCTGCCTAGTGAAGAATTTATCCACCGATGCATCGACCGCCATTTTTGGACCGGTGAAGGCTGGTACTGAAAGGATCCACATTTTTGGTAGTGCTGCTGCTCTTAACTTCGCCGCTGATAGCAATGATGTAAGTATAGGCGGACTTACCCTATATATATATATATATATATATATATATATATATATATATATATATATATATATATTTATATATATATATATATGGTATTCACAGCTATACCTATTTTCTTATATATCAAAACATGGTTTTAAAATATTCTATTAACATTTCAAAAAAGTAAAATATGCTATTGCTGATAAGGTCACATTCCCCCCTAATTGTTCCCCAAATGTTTTTAGGTGTGGAGTGTTCTGACCCCGCTATTTACTCCCTAGATTAAATAAAAAAAGTATAGATTCCTCTTTAGACCTACCGATCTATTAAGCAGATGAAGTAGAGCTCATCTGTTTCTTGACCCCGGCATAGGAAGGGACGTTGTGCCCCCCTGGGATGGCCGCCTGACATCTCAGTTTATAAATCAAGTTTAAGTCTATTGCTGCTCTCAATACGTGACTCGGCTGGCACAGTCTGGGTTAGAGGGTCTTTGTTGATACATCACAAACATTCGACTTGTATAGATCTTGTTAAAGGTTTTTATCCCTTTCGCTGGGTATGTTTTGTGCTTAGCTAATCTTGGAATATTATATCTAGTCAGAGGTGGGCGAGGTACCATACATGTGCAATGTTTTTGATCCAGGTGTAAATAGTTACAATAAATATGCACTGGTTCTGATTCAGGTGCATGTAGGTACTATATATGTGTAATGTTTTTGATCTAGGTGCAAACAGCAACTATACACGTGTAATAATTTTTTATCCAGGTACTATATAAGTACTTTTATACATGTGAGTTGTATCTGATTCAGGTGTATGTAGGCACTAAGAAAATCCGTGGAGTAGATGCAGATATTTGGACAACGTGTCTGTCGTCACCAGAATTCAAAGGTCCCATGAAAGCAACATATTACTTTAGCAGTAAGTTTACTCGTTTATTCTTGCAATTATTCCCCCCCCCCCCCCAGTACACACACATTTGCATTATCTGTATCCCGTCAACATCAATATTAACGATGTATTTGTTCGTTATCACTTCAACTTCTCAGACTTCTACAACATGCGTCATGCCACCCCCACCCCCTCCCACCGCTGCCCAACCCACTACTCATTTATAACTAACATATAATAGAAATGCATATATAAAAAAAATCATTAATTTAGATTTAATAAGTATAAGTTTGTTGTCATGGTTACATCAACAGAGGTTAACATACTGAACATACCCCGTACTAAAGTGCAAAGTAGAAAACATTAAGTTTGACTAAGAATTTTGGTCACTTTTTGTTTGCTCTTTATAATGAAGCATTAGATTGAATTCCAGTTTAGTGTTTAAAACTCACGCCACATACCATATCACATTGCATGTCAAATTTCTCAGATTTCATGTTTTTCCTTTTCTAGTTGTTTTTTTTAACTTATAAAAATAATAATTTTTTACAACATACTGTTACTTAATTTCTTAAGAAACAAAGCGTGTTAATATTAAGACGGTATATTTAGACTATGTTACTTAAGAAATAAAACGTGTTAATATTTAGACTGTACAGGTACATGATCGATGTTAGTATACAATTTTTCTTCCTCCAGCGCAAGGTTGGGTCGTGTCGGCGCGACAGCAGCAGATGTTGCTGAGGATTGAAGTTGAGGGTCTGTCCCTGCGTCCATCATTTGCCTCTGTCGGTACCACCCTGCCCCCCGCCTCGGCCAGATACTTCCACCACATCTACGATTTTATAAACTACATACCTCGAGTTGACCCTGACCCTTCAGTATTCCAGGTAAGTGGATGACGCTAGTTTTATTTACTATTGGGCATAGTGCTGACCGTACTAACCCTTCATATGCAGTGGCGTAGCGAGGTTGGGCGGGGGGAAGACATATGTCCCCGGGCGCCGACCTTAGGGGGCGCCAAAATGGGTTGGAAAAATAAATTGAAAGCTTGAGGGGGGGGGGGGGGGGGGTGCAAATCGAAATCTTGAGGAGGGGGTGCAAATCAAAAGTTTAAGGGGGGTGGGGTGCAAATCGAAAGCTTGAGGGGGGGGGGTACAAATCGAAAGAATCTCCCCGGACGCCGGGAAGAGTCGCTACGCCTCTATTCATAAGCCGAGGTCGCAGAAACAGGTGAACTCTGCTTCAAGTGCCCCATTGACCATAAGGTTTAATTGGGAACTTTAATGTTTTTACTACATATTAATCACAATGGTAATACAGATATTGGTAAAGAGATAAATGTATTTAAAACGTGTTTAAACTACCAGTCCAATATTGGGACGGAGTGACCGAGAGGTAGAGCGCTAGACTGCTGACTAGAAAGTCTCGAGTTCGAACGTCCCTGACTCTACCCAGCTCTGATGGATGCCTAACTCACGTTAAGTAAAGTAAAGGCGGATGGACATAGTGCTGAGCACATTATCCCTTCATATGCCGAGGTAAAAAAAAACCCTACGAACTCTACTTCATCTGCCCAATGGAGCGCTATGTCTAAAGAGGAAACGACTTTAATAGTCTAATGCTGTTCATAAGAACATCAAGTTCCTTTTTTTGCCTCTTGAGAGACTGGATGCACCCAGGAAAACAAAACCTCCCCGGGGCCGTACATTGACATTAGATAAAGAAATTATGGGTTGCCCCGTGCGTCTGTTGGCACCACCCTACCCACAGACCTTGGCTGGTTTAATACAAACAGAAGCTAAACAATATATTTGGTACCAGCTTCTGTTGCAGAAGTTGCCCAAAGGAAATCAGAAATGGTGATCCTAGCGTTCAAGAAACTCTACTCATGTTTGATTTTTGAAAGCTTTCTCCAATGGGTTGCCGTCTTTGGCTAGCGAGGGGTCTGAACTCGGGACTTTACCTTTTAGCAATCTTGCGCTTCAACCCGACCATAGATAAAACAATTAAAACAACATCTGTTTACCACCAACAGACACCACCGGAAGTGGTCTGTACCAACAGGACATCCACTAGACCACTGCCCACCTTCCCGCGGACCTTCAGGTACAGGGCAGAGATTGTTGACCCCACAAGCTCAGTGATCACACATTACGCGGTAAACCATTTTTTTTAACATTTTAAAAAACTTTGCTATTTACAAAAAATACGGACATTGTGTTAAGTAGCTTAGTGAAGGCTACAGTCTAAAATGCATTTCAGGGGAGGAGGGGGGTGGGGGAGGAATAATGTAAAGTATAAATAAATGTGTATATATATATATATATATATATATATATATATATATATATATATATATATATATATATATATATATATATAATGTGTATATAAAAAGATCTGGTACAACGAAGACGCTAAACTGGTGAGAGAAGACAGAAGAGTTGTAGACCCTGATCCTCAGCTCAACACGAAAAATGCAGTGACGGAAATCCACGACTTCAGCATTGGTAGGTTACCAGACGATATTTGTAGGTTACCAGACGATATCTGTAGGTTACCAGACGATATCTGTAGGTTACAAGACGATATCTGTAGGTTAGCAGACGATATCTGTAGGTTACCAGACGATATCTGTAGGTTAGCAGACGATATCTGTAGGTTACCAGACGATATCTGTAAGTTACCAGACGATATCTGTAGGTTACCAGACGATATCTGTAGGTTACCGAACGATATCTGTAAGTTACCAGACGATATCTGTAGGTTACCAGACGATATCTGTAGGTTACCGAACGATATCTGTAAGTTACCAGACGATATCTGTAGGTTACCAGACCATATCTGTAGGTTACCAGACGATATCTGTATGTTACCAGACGATATCTGTAGTTTTACTTGGTAGGTTACCAGACGGTATCTGTAGATTACCAGACGATATCTAGTTTACCATACAATATCTGTAGGTTACCAGAGGATATATGTAGGTTACCAGACGATATCTGTAGGTTACCAGACGATATCTGTCTGTAGGTTACCAGACGATATCTGTAGGTTACCAGACGATATCTGTAGGTTACTAGACGATATCTGTACTGAACTCAAATGGACCATTAAAACTTAATTTAATTTAAAATCTGTATTCAGGTAATAGATTGGTTTCCAAAATTTCTTAGTAGATAATTAACATATTTTAACATTAATTAACTAATCAACAGGGGTACGACATGTCATCAAACAAGATGGCGGATGTTCCAATTACCCCATAGACCTCAACGCCCCCGATTCCAAAGAGGATATTGCCAGATTTAGGTACAACCACTCGATAATTGTGGACATTCGAGACCCGAACAGCTTTTTCCGGTTTAATGATCAGTATAAATTTTCCGGGCAAGTAAGTCGGACTTATTTAATTACTCTGTTTCTATTTTATTAAAGGTTGTTATTGAAGCGACGAGTTTTAATGAATCTGATTAGTTGATCATTAAAAGCATACTGTAAAATAGAGCCTACTTTTTATGGTCCAATTAATGTATATACACACGGTCAGCGGGAGTGAAGGATGCTGGTAAACTGTACTAGTCACAAAATCCCTTCAAAATACGGGGTAAGAGAAAATTGATCAGGTTCAAAACATGAATATTTAGAAAAAGAACATTAGTTTACAAACATATTTGTGATGGTATACACTTTCACACAACAGTATACTTTTTGTATATATGTTTACCTTCTAGTTATAATTTACGAGTCTTGTTTAAAAATACAAACATTATACTATGTAACGTATTTTTAAAAAAACAATTCTGTTTTTTAACAATGTAATATTTTTACAATTTTTGTTATAAAAAATGCTATATTTTGATTGTATATAACAGTCAACTGATAATTTATAAGAGTGTAAAAAAGAATTGATTTTAAAATGTATTGTTAACACCAACAGCAAACTGTACGTGGGGTCCTCTGTGATGTCTTCAGTGCTGTCGTTCAAAACTTTCCCGTGGAGGGAAGTCTAGTCAACGCTACATTTGAGTATTATTTTCTGACCGTAAGTAAACAATTCTTTTATGTTGGAATACAAATTTTGTATAGTTGTATGGTAAACAAAATTTCTAGGCACATGGTTGGTCCAAAAGTCTAAAACACGTGATAGGTTTAAGCATAACGAGAAAAAACAGGAAATATATGGAAAATAAAGATTAATTGAAGTGTTGATTTATTATTCAAGCTCAATAAACGGAATTTCGATATAAGTTCTTCAACATATAAAAAATAGCAATTAACAACAGGATGGAAATAAGTGTATTAAAATTCAAATCTACTAAACAAAATATAATTACAATTTGAAAATGCATTTGAAAGTGAGTTTTAATAAAAAAAATGTCCCCAATTTTTATTTAGACAACCTGGCAAGATTATCCCCTGGATGGAGCCGAAACTTCGGATTTAAATTATCCAGTCCAGCTAACAGTAACAGCGCCCACGGTAAAGTGCTAATTCTATATTCAGCAGAAATACCATTTCCAAATAATAACCCCCCCCCCTCCAAGACGTCGCTTTATTCATGCTTAAAAAAGTGGAATACACTGGTATAAGCTTCGTTGAACTTAGCCACATTTGTGCATTTTGTTGTAGGTGTCTTCCTGCATGATATAGTTTAAGAGTTAACTCACGGAAGTGAAGAATTAAACAAATAAATGCTATTGTATGCGATTAGTGTAGCTGTATGCTAGATAGTTACATGGTAAGTGATAAGCGAAACAAGATCGTTGGGGGAGGGGGGAGGGGGAGGGGGGAGGGGGGGGGAGGAAGGAGGGTAGTGATAACCCCCACAGAGCTTGATTCGATTTATCCTGAAATTTCCAGAGATTGACTTATCAAACCAGAATATAATAATTTAGTTTGGCTAGATGATGATTTATATAGGCCTACTTTAAAACCAGAATTTGATGTTTCAGGTCGGTTATATCAGGATTTACAACTTCTTTGATTTCGCTCAAAGTTTCATCATGGCCGACACTTTTGATCTGACTCCCTGTGCGAAAAGCGAAAGTAGAATCAGATTTATGTTAACCTTTCCAGGTCTGGTAAATTTTTGTATTCTGAAAGTTAATGCCGGTGTGTTAACGTCTTTACAAACTTATTTCTGTTTACTCATCTTAGTAGGCCGGGTCTCTTTGAGACGTTTTTCTCCGGGGGAGGGAGATGGGAGGGGGTTAGGGAAGGGACTGGATAGGGCTACATTATGAAGCTTCAGAGGAAGTTGGGGGTACGGGGGGAGGGGGGGGGGGGGAAAGGGAACACTAGTTGAAGTACATATTTTCTTTTAAAAAGTTGGGTACATTTTTTTTCTGATACGTCCCGGGAGGGGGTGAACGTGCTCTGGTGTGGAGGGGGTGGGGGGGATGACGACCTTTCCATCTACGGAGTGATGTCTGAAAAAAAAACCCACTGCTTTTTAGAGCGTTGAAACAACAATGTTTATGGATAGGGTTAGTACGGCGGTATAGAAATAACCAAATGTAAATTTTGATTGTAAACAAAGTGACGTGTATGCAAATAATTGAACCGTGTCAGGTGACTACAACCCTATGGCCATGGACGAGTGGAAGCAGGTTGTCTACTTCAAGCTTGTGGAGGTCATGAACGTCAGTCCCCTCAGGCTGAGCCGTGTCTTTGTGGAGAGCGACGGGAGCAACGTCTACGTCACTTCCTGGTTGCTAGGGACGCAGAACGACGGTATGTAACACGTAACACACGTGTTTATTGGTAGTGGTAAGATTTACACATGGAGGTTTTTCGCTTTGGAAGTTTAAAATTCAGGGCTAAAAGAAAATAAACAATTAAATTTACATGTCAGCAATCGAATATGGTACAATTACACAAATAAAAATACTAAAGTCTTTATTTCCAATATCTTAGCTCTAACACTCGAACCTTCAAACCTAGTCTCAAATGAGAATTATTGAAGAAATTAAACTTAAAACACGAATATGTTGATGTACATCAGATGAAAAAAAATGTTATTTCAATTTTCGATAAAAGTTAACCTTGTTCATAATTTAACTCATTATTATGACCGTGTCTTTATTACTCCAAGAGAAGTGGTACCCGCTTAATCAGACAGTACTAAGGTAAAAATGTCGCTTCCGTACACATCTAGCAGTTGCCCATAAAACGATGTGTATAATGTTTTGTTTACAACATAGGCGTATGAAACACTCATACATTAATACAACGTAAGACAACAGTAGTTTACATCTTTTCGCTCCAAAACAAATTTCTTGCATATAACTGTCAGCCGAAAAGTGTACAAACTATTACACGGCAATACACTTAGCACTCACAGCAATACTTACAGCAAAACAATATGCATTCACCGCAACATTCACTCAGTTTAACAGTAGTCACAGCATTACACTATTCTTTGACAGCAATACAATATGTACTCACAACAATAGACACTATTCACTCACAGTTATAAATCATTCACATACTGTCGTACACCAATCAAAAAGACTTTCATTCACTCTCCAGCTCAGTACTAAAACACAATTCAACCTACACACACGCACGCACACACACACGCACACACACAACCAAACCACACCACCAAACCTTTCATTCCCTCACCAGCTCAATTCTAAAACAAAAACCACAACACGACATACACACACACATAAAAACACACACACACACACACACACACAGAAACACTCTCACGCACACACACACACGCACACACTACCAAACCACACTACCAAACCACACCACCAAACCACACCACACCACCAAAACTTTCATTGACTCACCAGCCCAGTTCCAAGTAAGCGACACGACGACATATGAGCACGTGGACGACAAGGTCATCTTCAACGTGAGCACCAGCCAAGACTGTGCTGACCTCTGTGTGTTTAACGGCGACTTTACCTGCAACGCCTTCGAGTATTGCATGAACAACAACTTCGCGTGTCGGTGAGTAACCAAGGCAGGTCTTAATGTTTCCGGTGGGTTTTTTTTATAAGGGGGAGAGGCTAGATCTATATATCTATATTTAGGGACTCCAGACATATATCCAAATTATCCTTTATCTAAAGCATTAATTATCTCTGCCACATTTTTACAGATCTTCAAAACTAAAACTATGCACTAAATAAAAAAAAAATCATCCTTTACCTGACCCTATTCATAATTTCTATGGGACGGGTTTTAATCAGTGGAGCGTTTCTGAGACCACCCAGCTCTGTTGGGTATGCCTACCTATCTTACGTTAGGCTGGGCATAATGACCACATTATCCCTTCACATGCCGAGATCTTGAAGCAGATGAACTCTAATTCATCTGTCCCATGTGTATTGGGCACGAAAGGGAAATGATAATGATGATTCATAATTTCTACATCATCATACATTTTATTTAAAAACAACAACACAGGAATAATTCAAGTTTCAACGCTTGTCACACTACATAACCTTTGTCCCCAGATTGCTGAAGGACAAACTGCCGTCAACTCCACAGATAGCTAACCCCACTATTTGTGTTTTAAACACACGTAAGTCATACAATATACACGTTTGTTAAAACAGAAAATTTTTAGTCCTAGTGTAACTTTTTTTCCAATTTTGACAGTTATCACTTATAGGATGTTTGACTTTAAATTGCTCATCATTCATACAAACGACTATTTTAAGAAAAGAGCTATTGGAAGCATTTAGCTGTCAATGTTGTTTTAGAATCCGCGTTGAAAATTACATAATTAGTAATAAGTACTTTAGATTGGCTATTAATTTAAAACTAATTAGTGACCGCTACAGATAATTTTATCCAAGCTGCTGGTACGATTTGATGCAGATCGCCACCCTAACCTAACCATAACATCAACATTCCAAGACGAACGATGAATGCCAAATAACGATACCTACATTATAATTAATTAACACCTAATTTATTAGCTTCAATATATTGAGCATACATCTCAACTATAAAATAGTAAAGTTCACATGTTTTAACATAAAAAAGAACTGCATGTTCACTAAGACTTGCCGCCTTTACTTTCCATATCTTCGTGTTAGACATTGGTTTTCTCCAAACTTCAGTGTAATCAAGCCCGATAATCAAACTAAAATATTAGAGGTTAGCCATCGTGGGCTCTACCACTCGACCACCCCATCCTGTTACAGTTGACACATTGGTTTGAAATGTTTTATTTGCTGACCACACAGGGCCCGTCCCAGGCCAACCCATCCAGGAGCTGACGGTGGCCGCTGCGTTTGCCGTGCTGGAGAAGGCTGTGATGGGGAAACAAATGGTCGTCAATGTACACAATGCCAACAGCGTGAGTCGTGGGGGAGTCGGCGTATGTGGGGGTCGTATGGTAGTAAACTAGTAAACGGGGGGGGGGGGGGTCATCTGATGGTAAAGGGGGTCATCTGATGTTAAAGTGGGCGGGTCATCTGACAGTCAAGTGGACTATTCACGTCTTTTTAATTAGGGGTCATCTGATTTAGCAATTGGGGTAATGTGACAGTTAAATAAACTATTTACATCGTTTAAAGTGTAGATCGACTGATTTTAAAATAGGGGGTCATCTTATGGTAAAGATCTAAAAGATGGGGGTCATCTGACAGTCAAATGGTCTAATTACATCGTCTTAAGTGGGTTGGGTCATCTGATGTTTAAGGGGGGAATCATCTGCTTTTAAAGTGGGGTTGTCTGGTGTTAAAATGAGGCTTTTCTGAAAAGTGGTGTCATCTGACAATCAACTGGGCTTTAAGTAAGTGTGTGTGTGGGGGTGGGGGGGGGGGGGGTGGGGGTGTTCATCAGTATTAATTAACATTTTACACTTTCCAAAAGATCATTAGCATTTTTACATTAGAACTTAGCACATGAAAAATAGACGACCTTAGTCACCGATGCATAGTTACCGAAGTTTAATGTATTACTTTAATAATACGAAAAATAGGTGTCTTTTTTTTACACTTCATGCATTTCGACAAGAAACGTACCATTTGAAAACTCATCAACATTACATCGAAATAATTATCTATTAGGAGAGATTGTTCAACATTAAAAGAAACGTGTATATAATGCCTTTTTTAACTGCCTTCTATCAGGACATGAACTTATATACAGCCATCAACGTAGAAGTAATTTCAGGTAAAATTATTGTATTGTTTTTTTATTTGAAAATTCTCCACGTGTACAAACAATACTCTAGCCTTATTTCTTTAACATTTTTATAACTTAAATTATGAATTAAAATTAAATAGATTAAATATTTTCAAAGATGAAATTTAATATTTGAAAGTCAATTAAATATTATCTGTATCTATTTTTACTTATAAAAAAATCCCTTGATGATTTGAATGTGTTTAAGTGTTGAATAGCGTGCTACCACACACATGTGTACCCACAGGTCAAGCACCAGGAACGAAACCAACCCCATCCCTGCCCCTCCAGTTCTCATACAGGACAGAGATGGTCATCCCCCAGTTGACCAGGGTCACCGAGACCTTTGTAAGCGTTTGATGTATTGATTTCTGTCTGTAGCACCATATTCTGTAAGACCGTCGGGGTACGATAGGTGCCATGTTAATCAGTTGCCCCTCCCCCCCCCCCCCCCCATTCCTCTCTGCCCTGCTATCTTCTGTGTCTTACCTAGTGTTAGACCCGTCCACCTATTAATCTTATTCCTCTAGAGTTACTTTCACGTTACTCTCCTAGCAACCCTGATATGGTGGGGGGGGGGGGGGGGGGGAATCGTCCATAAATGACGTCACACTCCTATGGGGACGGGTGTTTCGTAATTTTAGGATGAAGTGTGACGAGGGGGGAGGGTTGTAGTCTGAGGCCTCACGTCATTTAAGGTGGTGGAGTCTGGCTTTTGTGACGATGTGTGACGGTGGGGAAGGGGGGTAAAAATCTTCACAAAGAAATCTTTATGGATGACCCCTGACCTTGTGACCTGACTGTGCAATATGTTTTCGTTTTTTAACAATCGTCAAGAGATACCCAATCGACAGTTTGATACTGGCACTCACTTCTTCATTGGAGATGTGTTTATTTATTTTCGTTTTAAGTGATGTTTCGGTGAAACGCATGCTTGTAACATCTCGACGATTTGAGTAGAGTTGGGTTTACCTTACTGCTGGGATGATACAGTTATGGTTCATGGGCGAGTAAAGCAAAATTATCGTTCCTAGGGTTTCCTAAGTAAGGGCGAGAAAAGTAATGCAGAGTTATGGTTCCTATACGAGTAGAGCAGAGTTACGGTTCTTAGGCGAGTACAGCAGAGTTATGGTTCCTAGGGTTCCCTAAGGTCTAGAAAAGTAATGCGGAGTTATAGTTCCTATACGTATACGAGTAGAGCAGTTACGGTTCTTATGCGAGTAGAGCAGAGTTATGGTTCCTAGGAACTGGATCAGTAAAGGAAAACTGCGGTTTCCAAACGCTAGAAAAGTAGAGCAGAGTCATGGTTTGTAGGTTCGACAAATAGAAAATTGTTCCTAATAGCTGAACCATAGTTATGGTTCCTAATAAATGTCTCAGTCAAACAACGACCAAGAATTTAATCACACTCTTTCCTTGTTAAAAGAAGTATTTTAGAATCTGCACACGAGTTAGCTGCTTTATGAGTCATCATTTTCCTAACTTAATCATTGATACAGAACTGTTCTTACATTCTTTAAAATGTCACAGCAGAAAGCACGAAGACACTTATTACAACAAATAAGTATCGATACTTTATATTCGCCAGGTTTGGTACGACGGTGTCTCTGATATCGTGCGATACGATACTCGCGACGCTACGAGCGACACCCCTTACATGAACACTTACATTCACGACTTCCAGAATGGTGAGTACACATTAGCGCACACACATTTTATGTAGACAGCAGAACTCTCTTTTATGGGGTATAGGCCTACTACGTGGACTAGCGTCACTCGCTTCTTAATACTATCGTCAGTTATCTGATTATAAAAGTAGAACAATCAGCATAGTTGTAGGCATACTATTAATACTATTTATTTTAATATTAATTATTACTATTAGCCTACTTGATTACCTTGTCTATGGGCATGTACTAAACATTTATAATATTTATAATGTAAGAAATAGTATGTAAACTGTAACAGTAAACATGATATCACATTATCAGTGAAACCAGAAATCGAGATAACTCACTATCACTATCAGCGAGCCATATTTAAAAAAAAACAATTAAAAAAAAAACCACAACAACAATTGGTCAGTGATAAAAATAAATACTTGAATGAATCGAAGCCTGTCAGAAAAAAAAATGGAAACAAATTTAAAATAAAAATTAATCAAAGGATACATGCAAGGTACATGCAACAGAACAAGAAATAACATTTCACAATAGAAACAAAAATACTTTACACATATTTGTGATGATAGAGTGAAAGACCTGCTAATCTGAGTTTGTGCACATTTTATGTAACACAAAAATATGAAGTTTTGTATCCTTATTTTAATATAAACATGAATACACATTAGACCTTCAATTTATGGCTTAATAAATAGGCACCAGTAATTTAAACGCTGTATATTTGTTTTTAAAAATTGCACATTTTGGTTATAGATAAATGTTAAATAAGTATCGTATCACTAATTATAATTACTTTTGTGTGGTCTGCATGTTTCAAATTTTAACTGAACCAAATCTGGCATGTTTAAAATTTTAACTGAACCAAATCTGGCATGTTTAAAAATAAGTGAACCAAATCTTGCATGTTTAAAATGTCAAGTGAACCAAATCTGGCTTGTTTAAAATTTTAAGTGAACCAAATCTGGCATGTTTAAAATTTTAAGTGAACCATATCTGGCATGTTTAAAAATAAGTGAACCAAGTCTTGCAATTTTAAAATTGTAAGTGAACCATATCTGGCATGTTTAAAAATAAGTGAACCAAGTCTTGCATGTTTAAAATGTCAAGTGAACCATATCTGGCATGTTTAACACTTTAAGTGAACCAAATCTGGCATGTTTAAAATTTGACCTGAACTAAACCTGGCATGTTTATACAGGTGTGTCCTACCAGATTGACCAGGTGAGAAAAACGTGCGACATGTCCCCCATTGGTCCAGGTGTGTTTGACGTGGTCACTGGCCAGCCCAGTAAAGATGGCAGCCAGGTGGTGTCCATGAAGTCACCACAGAGCCTGTTTTACCTGAACAACCGCTACAAGTACATTGGTCAGGTGAGATCTGTCAGACAGGCAGTGCTGACCATCACGCATGATCAGAGTTATTTTTTTTTTTACTTTTGTTTGTTGTCATTTTTTCCATCTACAAATGTCTAAACATTGACTAAACAACTTTTTTTTTCTTAATTTTTTTCTTTTAGTTCTTTTTTTAACCTAATAGATGTTATAAACTTATCAAAACTTGTATCTAAACAATTTACTTTTTCTTTTGTTTCTTGTCAACAATTTTTTTCTAAAAAGTCTGACATCATCTTGTGAAAGTTTTCCACCATTAATTTTTTTTTGTAATGTTTAAACTGAAATTAAACAACAATTCAGCTTTGCGTTAATTATTATAAGAATTTATCAAGCTCAGTATTGTAGAAAAGAATAGCTGTTTATGAAAAGAAAAAATTGCAATAGGGGGAATTGAGATAAATTGTGACTTCATTTTTCGGATCTGTCTTTTTGTGACAAATATTGAAGAAAAAAAGGGGGTAATTAATAAGACAGATTTATAAGTTTTATTATGTAAGAAGCTATTGTATTGGAGGTTAAACATTCAGGTTAATTATGAGAAAAAAATCACGCAAACATCAATTACTGAGCTTTAAAAATGTTTTTATAAAAAACAACATGGTGTAGTGAGGTTGTAGACAGCTCTTGCTAACAACTACAGGTCTACATCTTTTATTTTTAAATACAGGATCTTTTTTTAAAGTCATACCTGGTTATATTCTTTTGTTTTTTTATGGTTCTCTTCTGACAAAAACCAATGGTCAAAACCTTACTAGTTTTGTGTATTTTTCTAAACTGTCCAAGGCATGATTATCATAAAAAAAGTGTATCTTGTGACTTTGAAGTGAGCTAGTTTTTCATATTATTATTTATCAACTCAACTGTCTGAGGATGTGTTGTTATTCTGTGTTGTTTACCATTTGGTCATCTAGAAAAGTGTCAGAGGAATTAAGTGTGACGTGTACGAGGCCTCTAGGACAGACTTCAGCCTGGCTGTGTACAACATGAGTACACAGTACAGCGTCTTCAAGTACTACTTTCAGTCGGTGAGCTCAGCATTTTACAAGTACCAGGGCAGGGGTGGTGTGTAGTGGGGGAGTGTGGGAGTGGTTGTCAATCATTATAGATAATTTGTATTCATTTTTAAACATTTCACTTTCCCACAATATGCTGTTTTATGATAGACAATTATTTTAATATAGTTAAGTGTTTTCTTTTATTGTTCACTTATATTTTAGTCATGTGGTTAAATGTGGTACAGGTACATGTACATTATTTAGATCATGGGTTTAAATAGCTGTTAAAGCCACTCCTAAAGTAAAAGTAAAATTTCCCATCAGATCTGGCAACCCATGTGGCAGGTAAATTTTAGAGTTCACCTGTTTCTTTGACCTTGACATAGGAATGGATAATGTGGTCAGGAGTATGCTTTTACTTTCCCTAACGCTGGTCAGGTACATATTAGAGTTGGGTGGACTCAGGGATGTGTAGCAACTCTAGCCAGGGACTCGAACTTGAGACTTCTGGGTTAGCAGAACAACTCTCTATAATTGACCTTGCCACTCAAAAATAACTCCTAATACACAATTTATTATCTATGACTTCTTTTCATTATTTTTTTTGTGTTTCATTTTAGTGAACTGTAGTAAAAAAAATTTTTATTCTACCCAGGACGGCTGGGACTATGTGGTACCAGATGGGACGGACATCACCAACAGGAAACCAGTCATGCTGGAGATAGAAGATTCTTCGGTAAAACCTAATGTTTTGTTATTGGCTGATATGTTTTAAATAGTATACATTTGGTGATACACATACATCTAATGTGCATATTTTTATTTTGATAATATATGCACTCTATACAATAGATGAGACATGTTAAGTTTATAAATTGTACATATATATTTTTTAAATTGTCTTTAGTGAATTAACTGTGTTTGTGCTATGGAATAATATACACTACATAACTTATCACAAGATCCAGTCATAAGTTTTAAAATAATCTTTGGGTTAACTATTTTATGATATGATGTACTAATATTTCTGGCAGACCAACTCATTTTTCACGGTCAACTTTTTTGACTTTGATGACCAGTACCATCCGGCCAGCTACTTCGACACATCACTGTGCTATGCACCAGACCAGAAACACACCTTCATTTTGATTTTCAAAAATCGTAAGTCATAACGACTCTAATTTTATTTTATTAAATACATTTTAAAATAAATATTAAAAGCTTGTAATCTATTTTGAAAAATGAAAATAAATAATAAATAGTAAAATAATCTTGCTTCTCTAACTAAAAAAAAAAATGATGGAATTGAATAAAATAAAACAAAACAAAAGGGAGACAATACAAAAGGTAGATAATTTGATTGTAGAGAACATGCATTTAAAAAAAAAATTATATAAACTTTACTTTTCTAGGAAAACTTTTAATTATTTATTTATTTTGCAATTCCATTGTTGTTTGGGTCATATTAAAAATAAGCTCTGACTGAAGGTCTAAAATAAATTATTTTTAGAGCAGTACCACCCAGTACTAGACCAGGTGTCCAACAGTTTCATCAACCAATCGGTCAACCTGCTGGCCCAACAAACCAGGACATCCCCCCTACAGTTCCAGCAAGTTTCTCTCACCTATGATGCTGACAGTGTCTACCTGCAGGTGACTGCCCTGGGGAACGTGCCGCCATTCTGTGAGTACTCACATTACATGTTCCTCAAGCTAAGCGAGCAAGTCTGTCCTCTTATAAGTATCAAGACAGAATTATCTGTACATAAAGAAAAACTATTTTAGTTGTTTAAGCTTCAGGCAGATGAGGCTCGTTAGCTGGAGACAGCCACTCTTCTAGGAGAGACAACTCCAAAAATCAAACAACTGCTGCCTTGTAGTTTGTTCTTGGTTGGACAAAGCCTATGGAAGCAAACCCAAAAAGAAAAGCAGGCTGAAATCAGAGTCAAAGGCCTCAATGGCGCATAACCAGTTGACACGTATCCTTAATTGTGTTGGAGGCGTGGTTGAGTTGGCAAAGCTCATGTTTAATAAATTCGAAAAAGTATCGCGTTCAAACCCTCTGGCAGATAAAGCTTGATCCCTTCAAACACTAAAAATTAAGAAAAAAAAAATTAAGAACGAAGAAGTTCTTTAAGCTGTGCCAATAAATTGAACAGTAAAAAAGTAAAGTTACCCTTATGGACCTTACATTGAATAAGGTAACTGAAGTAGATTTCCTTAAGTTACCTTTTGGACCTCACGTTCAAAAGGGTAACTGAAGTAGAGTTCACCTTTTTCTGTAAACTTGGCATATAAATGGACATTGTGGTCAAGTCTATACTTTCCCTGATATGATTTATGCACCTTATTGAGATGGGTTGATGCAGGGATTTCTTATTGGATCTGAACTCAAGACTCTCAGATTATCAGTTATGTGCTCTACCACCTGAACATGCTGTCCCTTAAATTGAACAAAGTAGCTTTAAATAATTGCATAGCTCAGTGCTAAGTATAATTTAGTTAGATAAATATTGCTAGCTTAAAAAAAGCCGTTTAAAATTATGGATATGGCTGTGTTCAAACCCAAGCCTGGTTAACTCCCCTATCTACTCTTTTCTCTCATTTATGTAATGTATCAACTTAAACTTTTTTATAAGACAAAACTCTAATAATTACTTTTCAAAATACATTGACATGAGATTGCAAAGGGTTAGTTTCCTTGGCAACCATAATTTTGTAGTACTTTTAAGTGTTCTTAAATTACTTATTTAAAAAGGCTTAGGTTACATTAGCTAGGGATTTAGTGTTTTGGGATAATGTTAGTAAAAGGGTAATTTATGGTTAGAAATATTCATGAAGTATGATACACTACAAAAATGCCAAGTATAAAACATGCTACAGTATTTTAACAATTATAATTTTTTTCCATCATGGCATTGATTCCCCGTTTCCCTGACCTCCTTCCAGCATTGTTTGAACCTGCAGCGAAAACTTTCCTCAACACCTCGACTGACGCCATCTATGCCAGCACCCCGCAAGACTGCGCAGCTTCCTGCGTCTCCATCAGCAGCTTCATCTGCAACAGCTTTGACTGGTGTGGGGACCCCCAGTACCCCAGCTGCAAGCTGGGAGAAAAACACAGCGAGTCGGAGGGGGACATTATAACCACCAACCCCAACGCCGCTTGTACACATTATTCCAGTGAGTTATGTTGTACACTTGTACATAGGCCTGTACAGTGGTGCTACTAGGAAGGGTGTCACATGGTGTGGTAACTGAAGGTGTCACATGGTGTAGTAATTGAAGGTGTCACCTGGTGTGGTAAATGAGGGTGTCACCTGGTGTGGTAACTGAAGGTGTCACCTACTGAAGGTGTCACATGGTGTGGTAACTGAAGGTGTCACCTGGTGTGGTAACTGAAGGTGTCACCTACTGAAGGTGTCACATGGTGTGGTAACTGAAGGTGTCACCTGGTGTGGTAACTGAAGGTGTCACCTACTGAAGGTGTCACATGGTGTGGTAACTGAAGGTGTCACCTGGTGTGGTAACTGAAGGTGTCACCTACTGAAGGTGTCACCTGGTGTGGTAACTGAAGGTGTCACCTACTGAAGGTGTCACATGGTGTGGTAACTGAAGGTGTCACCTGGTGTGGTAACTGAAGGTGTCACCTACTGAAGGTGTCACATGGTGTGGTAACGGAAGGTGTCACATGGTGTGGTAACTGAAGGTGTCACCTACTGAAGGTGTCACCTGGTGTGGTAACTGAAGGTGTCACCTACTGAAGGTGTCACATGGTGTGGTAACTGAAGGTGTCACATGGTGTCGTAACTGAAGGTGTCACCTACTGAAGGTGTCACATGGTGTGGTAACTGATGGTGTCACATGGTGTGGTAACTGAAGGTGTCACCTACTGAAGGTGTCACATGGTGTGGTAACTGAAGGTGTCACATGGTGTGGTAACTGAAGGTGTTACATGGTGTGGTAACTGAAGGTGTCACCTGGTGTAGTAACTGAAAGTGTCACCTCACCCCCCCCCCTACTACAATACTGGATAAAACATTACTTTACCCTAAATGGTGTCACCCAGTGCAAACCCTTGACCCCTCCTTATGATGCATATGTGCCTACATAAATGTGATGACAACACATAAAGTGTTTGATTTACTTTTACTTTAAGCTTTAATTTTATATTGTCAATGTTACATAAGGTAGATTATATATCAAGATGTTTTTTTTTTAGAAATCCAGTCTAAACCTGAGATTACAAAATTCTGCTCTTGAATTCCCAATATCACGGGACTTCTTATATCTTGCCTAGAGAAACCACTTTACAAATTCTTATACTTTCAGGATCTGAAAATGGAACCTTCCCATCAGTTGATGTCACTACAATGTACAAAACAATCACTGATTATGTCTATGATAATTTTTTCAAGATCACAGTCACTCTCCCTGATGTAAGTTTAAATATAATCATATTTAATCTATGTGTAGCTCTTGTTCATTAAAAGATGATATTTATTAAATAAACATTAGAGTATTGTTGTGTAACTGAATGAAAAGTATGTAGCAATTTCTCTGAGTTTAAGAATTTAAGATCACTTTCATAAATCACAACATTAATGCTTAACTAACTTGTTTCATCAAAAACTAGCTATTATTCATAAATTTTAATTACAAAATTAAGTATCAGACCTATATAACAAATACATTTTTTACAAATAATGATCAGACAATTAATGTCAATGCAATGAGTCATTTTGTTGAAAGAGTAAAATTCCCCTTCCAAACCTGATGGTCTATGGGGCAAATGAAGTAGAGTTCACCTGTTTCTGTAATCCAAGCATATGAAGGGATAGTCTAGTCATCACTATGCCAAGCTGCTTTTACTTTCCCTTATGTGAGTTAGGTACCCATAAGAACTGGGTGGACTTACTTATGGGCGTCTACTGACTTTAACCTGATTTGAACTTGAGACTAAAGTGTTAGCAGTCTAGCTCTCAACAGCTAGGCCACTCCGTCCCTTAAGTTGTATAGCATTGGTAATTAAAGTGTGTTATAGTGTGTTACTGTTGTGTTTCAATAAACATGATCCACTTTTAGAAATCAACAAAGACCTACATCGCAACAGACATCAGAGATGACTTGCTCATTCCCAGAGATCCTGACACTGTTGAAGGTACGCAAACCTGTAACAGCTTTAACTCAACTAATAGTTTCATCTATACAGACAACAGTATAACATACAAACATGATTACATTATGATAAAGCCAACACTAACTTATTAGGGAGGTTCTAACATTCTACTAGTTGACGACAAGATGAGACATAATGGCTTTTTAAAACTTAGTCGTTATCACTTACATTATGGTATAGTCATACAAACACAATCACATTATGGTGAAGTCAACACTAACTAATTAAGGAGGTTCTTAAATTCTACTAATTGACACTAAAATGAGACAGAATGGCTTTTTAAAACTTAGTCGTTATCACTTACATTATGGTATAGTCATACAAACACAATCACATTATGGTGAAGTCAACACTAACTAATTAAGGAGGTTCTTAAATTCTACTAATTGACACTAAAATGAGACAGAATGGCTTTTTAAAACTTAGTCGTTATCACTTACATTATGATAAAGTCAACACTAACTAAATAAGGAGGTTATTAAATTCTACTAGTTGGCCACATGATGAGACATAATGGTTTATTTTTTAAATGTATCATAATCACTGATTGAGACTTAATATATTTTAACAGTGGATGTAAATTCATTAATTTGGCTTGGATGTATTCATTAGTTTGGCATGGATGTATTCATTAGTTTGGCATGAATGTATTCATTAGTTTGGCATGAATGTATTCATTAGTTTGGCATGAATGTATTCATTAGTTTGGCATGGATGTATTCATTAGTTTGGCATGAATGTATTCATTAGTTTGGCTTGGATGTATTCACTAGTTTGGTTTGGATGTATTCTGTGTTTTGTATACCTCTTGCAGGTAGTTTCTTGAGGAAGTTTGCCATCTACACCAACACAGCCTACAACAGTGACATGGTCAATGTGACACAAAGCATGGTCAGTGTTTCAGACTGTGCAGGTCTATGTTTGCAGGTAATGTTAGCTTACAGTACTTTCACTAAATATTTTATTTTCTTAATATCTTATGATAAGTTAGAAAAACAAAAAAATCAAAACAATGTAAAAATTTAAAAGAAGTTAACATTTGGTTTGCAAAAAAAGGTGTTCTATAGTTTAAAGACACAGGTAATATAAATTGTGGGATTGCCTAGCAGTATAGAGCTAGACTGCTAAGTCCTGAGTTTGCCAGGTTCAAGTCAGTAGAATGTCCCTCAGTCCATCCAGCTCTGATGAGTACCTAACTCACGTTATGGAGACAAAGGCTGGGCATAGTGCTGACCACATTATCCCTTCATATGCCGAGGTCTCTGAAACAGGTGAACTCTACTTCATCTGCCACCATTACCTTGGGCACGAACTGAAAAAGATGATGATGATGAAATAAAAATTGGTTCCCTTTCAGGAAAACACATTTGACTGCGCATCATTTGACTACAGTTTTCTAACCGGACAATGTCGGTTGAGCAGTTTGTACCCAGATCAGGCTGTCATCAATAAAGTTCCCAAGTACAACTACACAGCTAATGTCAATATTTACTCAAGTAAGGAACTTATATTGTGTGTATATATATCTGTCTATGTCTATATAAATGTAGGTATATCTATAGGTATATCTATAAATATGCGTATAAGTGTCAGTGGCATAGCGAGGTCGGGTGTCACCCAGTGCGGCACTTAATGGTGTCACCCCCCCCCCCCCCTGGGGACAAACTTTCAAATTTTCGATTTGCGCCCCCTCCACTCAAACTTTCACTTGCACCCCCCCCCCCCCCTCAAACTTTCAATTTGCACCCCCTCAAACTTTTGTTTTTCACCCCCCCCCCCCCGTCAAATTTTTAACTCTTTATTTTCCTATTTTTTGCCTTGGTGTCACCCCCCTAAATGGTGTTACCCGGTGCTGTCCGCACCCCCCGCCCCCCCCCCCCCCCTCGCTGTGCCTCTGATAAGTGTAGATATAAGTTTAGGTATAGTTATAGGTTTAGTTATAGGTGTGTGTCAGTAAGTATAGATAAGTATAAGTATATATATATATATATATATATATATATATATATATATATTTATATACATACATATATATATGTATATATATGCATAGGCCTATATATATATGTATATATAGACCTATATGTGAATATATATGTGTGTGTATAAATAATAGATAAAGCTCCATAACATAACATACACAATATCTCACAGATAAAATATCTCAGAATATATATTTTAAAATTTAATTTATATATGCATTCATAATTAAAAACTCAGTATTAAAGGTATTGGTTTCTTGCTTTCCATCTTTGAAGAGCTCTACACTATAGACTATACAGTATACCCTAGTGAAGTGTTCACCACTGTGGCAGACAAGATCCTGGCCAATGTCCAGTCAGATGAGTTGTGTGCGCGCCAGTGCACCAGTAGCACAGACTTCCGCTGTGAGTCGTTTGAATACTGCGAGGACGGGAGCTGTAAGCTAAGGAAAAGTCACATGATCCAGGCAAAACCACAGGATGTGACGAATTCTTCTGGGTGCACTCACTACTCAAGTTAGTATTTCATTCCTTTATAATTACTTAGTTTATTTGTTTTAGAAGATGTAAACTTCTTGTATGAACATAGGAATTACATTTATTTTTATGAAAACTTTAAAAATTCAGAGGTATTTTTAATTGTAAAAGGGGTCATCCATAAATGACGTCACGCTTTTTTTGACGATTTTTACCTCCCCCCCCTCCCCTCCGTCACACTTCGTCACAAAAAGCCAGACCCCCCCCCCCCCTAAAATGACGTCACACCTCAACCTACAACCCCCCTCAAAATTGCAGTTGAATTTTTTTAAAACATTGATATTTTTCCAAAATCTTGTCTAAACTATTACAATTTATTAAAACAGTTATCTAAAACGCGAAATAACGTCTAAAATTCGTTTTCTAACATTGCTTTTTTATAATGCAAAAATGTGACGTCGCAACATCTGACCCCCCCCTCCCCCTCATCACACATCGTCACAAAATTACGGACCCCCCCTCCCCCCTACGAGTGTGACGTCATTTATGGATGACCCCAAAGAAAACAAAAGAAGAAGAAAAAAAAGCAGGTTAATTATTTAAATAAGTAAAAAATATGCATTAATAATTTAATTAAGTAAAATATAGGCTTTAATTATCTAATTAGGTAAAATATAGGCTTTAATTATTTAATTAGGTAAAATACATGCTTTAATTATTTAATTAGGTAAAATATAGGCTTTAATAATTTAAATAGGTAAAATATAGGCTTTGATTATCTCATTAGGTAAAATATAGGCTTTAATTATTTAATTAGGTAAGATACATGCTTTAATTATTTAATTAGGTAAAATATAGGCTTTAATAATTTAAATAGGTAAAATATAGGCTTTGATTATCTAATTAGGTAAAATATAGGCTTTAATTATTTAATTAGGTAAAATACATGCTTTAATTATTTAATTAGGTAAAATATAGGCTTTAATAATTTAAATAGGTAAAATATAGGCTTTGATTATCTCATTTGGTAAAATATATGCTTTAATTATTTAATTAGGTAAAATTTATGCTTCACCTATTTAATTAGGTAAAATATAGGCTTTAATAATTTAAATAGGTAAAATATAGGCTTTGATTATCTCATTAGGTAAAATATATGCTTTAATTATTTAATTAGGTAAAATTTATGCTTCACCTATTTAATTAGGTAAAATATAGGCTTTAATTATGTATTTAAATAAATTATTTTCTTATGTAAGCTGTTAACATACACTGCAGGGGCCTACTTGTACGACTATGTACAAAGGAACTACAAGACATTTGGAGACCAGTCAGGAGCTGTGGTGCAGGCCAAGAGCACGTCAGAGTGCGCCAACCTCTGCTCCACTGGCCAGGGTCTCCTGGCCTGCGCCAGCTTCACCGTGTGTGGGGTGGACAGAGGCGCCGAGACCTGCACCTTGTCTACTCTGGACCCCACGGTCAACAAAAGTATAGCGGTCGTAGACTCTGAGCACTGTTCACTATTCACAAGTAAGGAATTGTGTAGGCTTAAATATATTTGATATAATAGGTCAAATATAGTGGGGTGCTTTATTATTTGCTGTGTTGTATGTAGGATGGAGGTTGGGTTAAGTAATGCTTCTTATATTCTTATATAATAAATGCTTCTTATATAATAAATGCTTTTTATATAAAAAATGCTTCCTATATTCTATTAAATGAGATTGGGTGTGTTATATAATTTGAATCACTGTGTAAATTAGGGTTGGGTTGGTTAAATATTTTTATGTTGTTTTAAGTGAAGCATTACTGTTAGAAAGCTTTTTAGATCTATATATCTAAGACTTGTAAATAGTTTTTCATTTAATTTTTTATTTTTGCACAATTTATTATTTTATATTGCCAGTTGAATTCTGAAATCACATATATTTATGCCATACACTAGATGTCCATATTTATAATATTTGAAATTACTCTTTGGTATAAATTAAAATTTTTATTTACAATATGTGTGGCAAAAAAAAATCTTTAATGCAAGTGAGCAGAGCCCATTATAAATATATTACACTTGTTTCATATAGTTTAATTCATCATGTTAGCACCAGACTGTAAGAATTCAAACATAAAAAGTACATTGAAATTTCAGTGATATACCAGGGGAAACAACTTAGTAATTAATTCTCAAAAGTTAATTAACAATAGAAAAGGCACATAAAAATAGTTTTAACATACATATACACAAAGTAATATAAATATCATAATAATCTTAATGATAATTGGTATATTATATAATTATTATGTTAATTATAATTAAAAAATTAATGGTTTCCAAAACCTAATCACTGGTCTCTTTTATTATTATCATTCATCCAAATAAAGGGTATCCTTAAGTTGAATTAATAAGTCGGTAGATTACAATCAATGGTAGATTAAAATCAATCAATTTTTCTAAATTTTGTTATTATTTCGGTTTCAAGAGGGTGGATCTAATAATTTTTTGTGTAATAAGCTTGCTTTTACAAATTGAGGAATACAAAAATATAGATGAAACTTTTATTATTTTTAGATATGGAACATGTTTAGTGTGGGTAATTTAGATGCTGCTATTAGCTGGAGTAAATACAAAATATAATATTGTCAGAAAAATGCTTTTAAAACAACGTTAAAATGTTTATTTTAGTGCAATTTGTATATTTGTTTTAGGAGCCAACCCATTGCCACTTATCATCCCAATTGTGACTGGTGGAACAGGTAAGAATATACATTAAATTACATTTAAATTATTTCCTGTAAATTAAGACTATGATTTTACTTAACATAAAATATTGTTTCTTAAATGGAAGTTATAATTTTGGATGTCTCCCCAAAAATGTTAGTATGGATTTGTGTGAAAGTTGAAACCAGCTGAAGATGTATGTTGATTTTTTTTCCAAGGCATGTACTATTTCCGTATCAGATAAAAAAATATATTCTTCAATATTGTACAATTTCCCAAATGAACCCAAAGATTTTTTTTAAATAGCTTATATCACCTACTTGACAAGAGAAAAATAAATTATAAATTATAAATTTCAGCAACAGCAACTTCTCCCCAACCTACAACATCAACCAGTACCAGACCAACCCAGCGTTCTGCAGCACAAGTTGCCACCAACTCCAATCCTTTCATACCACCACCCTCCGGTAACCAAGGTAACATTAATACTTTAATAGTCTGTCTTTTTTTTTCCATAAGAAAGATTTCTTTTAGTGTGATCTAATTGGTAGATGACATTTGGTGGTCTGCAATGTGTTTGGGAATAACAAGGTTCAATGACTTATCATACTTATGCTTCATATTCCCCACTTCACATTCAAAATCTAAAAATAAAAAAAAATATTAAAATACCTATCATCTTAGTTTAAGTTTTATTGATTTTAGCCTTCAAGTAAATGTATTATCTAGTAAAGGGAAGTCATTGTATTTAAATAGTACTTCAAGGGCACTAATCAATGTTATTTATTTTTATCTTTACACAGGCACCAGTGTAGCTTGTGTTGGGGCATCTACGGGTTCTTCTTCTGTGGACATCGGTTTGTTTTACCTTTCCTCATACTAATAAATCTGTAGAAAGAACTTTAAGAAGAAAATTACATTCTTTCTTAGTGCTATTTAAGTTCATTTTAAAAATGTTTATGTAAGTAGACAGCTAGGCATCTGCTGATCGTTAAAATTTTCATCCAATCAGGTGCAAGAATAGGAATAGCTTTTGGCACTTTGTTTCTTGGGCTGATTGTAGGTGGCCTAGCGTCCTTCCTTTTCTACAGATTCAAATTCACAAAAGATGAGATTGAGGCTCCGCACATGTTGAGATCCCTGAAAACCTAAAGTTGCAGTGGATTTTGTGTCCTGGCTTTTGAACATCACTGGTTGAATGTGGAAAGTTTGTTTTGTTTTGTGTCTATTGAACATCATTGGTTGAATGTGGAAAGTTTGTTTTGTGTCTATTGAACATCACTGGTTGAATGTGGAAAGTTTGTTTTGTTTTGTGTCTATTGAACATCACTGTTTGAATGTGGAAAGCTTGTTTTGTTTTGTGTCTATTGAACATCACTGGTTAAATGTGGAAAGTTTGTTTTGTTTTGTGTCTATTGAACATCACTGGTTAAATGTGGAAAGTTTGTTTTGTGTCTATTGAACATCACTGGTTGAATGTGGAAAGTTTGTTTTGTTTTGTGTCTATTGAACATCACTGGTTAAATGTGGAAAGTTTGTTTTGTGTCTATTGAACATCACTGGTTGAATGTGGAAAGTTTGTTTTGTTGATTACAATTGTTGTTTTACTTTGTTTAAGACAAACTTGTTGTTATGTTGAAAAAACACATTGAGATGCAATATATATGGTCAGTATTGTTAATTGTTAACATGTTAAATGCCATCAGAACCCACATTATAAATTTTAGCAGCTGTTTATAAGGAACCATTCTTAAATTTTTGATCAAACTAAATTTTGCATAGGGTTGTATTATGATTAATACATTTAAAAAGTATTTTTTTCAATCCATTGAATAAGAGTTATGGTTAAAGTTAAATAACACAATTGTTTATTTTATCTTTTTATTTATCTTGTAATGTACAATAACTCTCTAAGTTATATATCTATATATTACTATATTATTAAAATGACATTTAAAACAAATAGTATTTTGTTCTTTGTAAATAAGCCTTTAAAAACTGGTAAAAAAATCACAACTAGCCTTGATGTGGAATACAACAATCATTTTAATATATCTGTTTAAATTCAACAACATATGTAGAGCTGAAAAACTGTTGTATGTTAGACAATATATAAAGTAATTATATATAGTTGTAACAAGTAAATTTCCTTTCAACAATGTTTATTTTATTAAAAGAAGAGTTGTCTACATAATTGTAAGTTCATTACAATATCTCTATTTTAAAAATACATTTCATGACCAGTGTTTTATATTTCACCGCATTCAGATATTTTATTCTGAAAAGGCAATCGTGATAAATACATACATAGCACCAATTTGATATTTAAAAAACAACAAATTTAGAAATTTGAACCATGATAAGTTTAAGTCTCATAGTAAAGACCTTTAATAAATCTTTAACTTCAAAGAATTAAACAATTCAATGATAGTATCACAAAAGCAACATATTTCAAGGAAATCTTTTATCAGTAAAATCACCATCACATTAAAGTCTGAGATCATCACTATGTTTCTCTCAAAAGGTTGGGCACTGATGTATGGAATTTGTAGTATAAAAATGATGCCAGACCTCCAACAAGTAGTCCTAAAACTAAAGTCCCAAAGGCTATACCAATTCTGACACCTGCAATATAATTCAAATTAACAGATGATTTATTGTGTTTGTAATTAATATATTATGTGAAATATGAACCATGTAAGATAATTTAATCCAGTACAAAAATAACAAGGGCAGCATTTAATACTTAGTTGCTCTACTGTGTGACTAAATTCATTTATGATTACAAAAAAGGTTAATTTTGGAATGTTAAGTTTCACCAACCAGTACCCATCTTTGAAGATTAACATTTTTTACTAATAACTTGAACCACTTCAAAGAAAACAATTGAGATTTTATTATATAAATGAAAATTTACTCACTTGTGTCTGTTGCTGAACTAGAGGATGAGTGTAGACATGATTTGGTGTTCTCTACAAAAAGATACAGTTCATACAATTTTTAAAATAAAGTGGATTAAAAATATGAACTTGTTTAGACAGCAAAACAATATTCATGTTCATCATAAAATGTGACTTTCTTACCTTGAATAATAAGGTTTCTGGAGATCTTATTTGTTGCCATGTTAGACACTGTTGATTGTGTAGTACCAGGTGAGGTAGTGGTTGAAATGGGTTTAGATAATACTGATGAGCTTGCTATAATATTTTAAATGAAATATATATATATATATATATATATATATATATATATATATATATATATATATATATATATATATATATATATATATATATATATATATATATATATATATATATACATATATACATATATATACATATATACATATATATATATACATATATATACATATATATATATACTTATATATATATATCTGGAAAGTAATAGGTATTACTCTTTCCAGATAGTAAATAGTAATTTACTATAGGTAAAAGTAAGAAGGAAAAAAAATTTACTTATATTACCAGTTACATCACTGACAAAAGGATTGATCAGAGGCATCTGATTATTAATTTCTGAAAAATTTAAAGTTTTAATTCTGACACATACTTATTTTCCCCAAATCTCTATATTTATACATCCTTTCTGATATTACCCACACCAAAAAAGTTTTTTTTTTAAATTCAATAAACAAATAAAACAGTATTTTTAAAAAATTTCATTAAAAATCATTTGATTAAAAAATATTCTTTTTTAATTTAATTACAAAACCTTGTCAATTTTTAACGTTTTGTCTTAAGTACGATTGCTATTATGAAACATAAATATCTACTAACTGGTGTATAGCGTGCACTGTATGTCATCCAGAATGACCACAGACTTGTTGACTGTTGGGTCAAGTCTGGACAGGGTACACTTCTGGACACCCCGCTCATAGTTGCACACAGTGAAACTAGCACAGGCTGGCTGACCTTCACCTGTGGAGCAGAGGTCAGCACACTCTGTGACCCTGGTCACATCAGCCAATGATCCATCCGGGTCATCAATCGTTTTCTGTTGTCTTTCTACATAGTCATATAAATGGTTGCCTGAAGAGGAACAAGTAGGGTGACACCTAAGATTTTAAACTTCATTTTTGCTCAACTACATTAGTTACCTTTAATTTTATACCAATTTTAATTATCAATATTAATCAGTAACCTAGAAAATGATTTTTAAAAAAAAATGGTTGTTTTTAAATGGCTAGGATGATATGGTGGGTTAGTTTTTAAGGAGTGTTGTTGTGACGGCTGGCAAAATGGGCGGGATTAGTTGGTTCCATCAAGTTATATTTTAAATTTAAAGGTTTTTTAACCCTTATGAATTATTTAAATCAATGTTATTAAAAATGGACAAGACAGCTGATAATGTGTCCACACTTTTGATGGTTTAAGGCAGGGGTCGGCAACCTGCGGCTCGCGAGCCGCATGCGGCTCTTTTGATGTCAGGATGCGGCTCTTCTGCTCCATGCACAAATACTCTTAAAAATATTGTTCTGCAACATTCGGCGATGAACGATATAATAATAAATATAAACAATAAACACTCGCCATTCTGTTAGAATATTTAGTTACTTCCTATTTCAATGTACGTCCTATTAAATTGTCCATCCCACATCGAAATATTCAACTTCATGGTTGATATTACAAAGAAACTAAAAGAGCTAAATGTAAAACTTGCTTGAAAAAGTTGATTGTTTCGAAAAAAAAAACTTTTTTGTTGAAGTCACAGAGAGCGATAAATTACTTAATTTTGATAAATTTGAAAAAAAAATATCATGATGAAACCAATGCTACTTTAAACAGGAATTACTTAGGCATTCCAATAAACAAAATGAAGGATGGATTCCTGAGTGATCTGAGCAATCCGAAACAAATGCAAGTACTTTGACATACATAGTAGATCGTCTTATCACAAAAGCATTGAGCCAATTGGAATGGATGCTGGTTCGCTTCAATGAAATGGCTGGATTTGAAAGCCAAACATTTCACGGAACTCAAGAGAAAGTTAGAAGATCTGGAGGTCCAGAAAAACATGCATGTTTCGCTGCACAACTGGACAGCTCTAACTTAAATGCCTCGAGTTTAGGCACTATTATGTGACGCATGAAATATTCTCCAAAGATACTACAATGAGGTAAAGAAGTTAGTATTTGGAGTGCTGACGATCTTCGGGTCACTATATTAATGCGAGCAGGCGTTTTCTTGCATGAATAAAATAAAAAGTAAAGAAGCCAACCAGCATTTCCTCCGGGCATTTCCGCCCCCCCCCCCCCCCAAGGTCAAACTATAATTGTAAATATTATTCAATAATTATTGTCATATAATTTGATAACTGATTTGATTATTCTAGCAGAGCTAGTTAAAATACCTTAATATGTTTTGTGCTAATAAAATATTATTGTGCGAATAAATATTATTTCATATTAAAAGCTATTTATATTAAATTATATATATATACATATATATATATATATATATATATATATATATATATATATATATATATATATATATATATATTCCTAATAAAATATCATAATATTGAAACAAAAATGGCGGCTCTTTAAAAACTGGGAAATTTTGTAAATTGCGACTTTTGGCTCTTCCCTCTGAAAAGGTTGCCGACCCCTGGTTTAAGGACTAGTCAAAGTATTTTTATTTTTATTTTTATTATTAAATTAAAAAAAAAGTATTTTAAAACATTGCCTTTTTTGCAATACTATATAAGAGATAAAAAAATAAATTTTTGGTAGTGAAGATAATAATTTACTAAAGTTTTACATAATTTGTTTTTGTTAACTTTTATATCCAATTTTTTAAAAATATTGTCACTACATCTCTTAAATAAATTCTGTGTATTGTTTTGTTTCATCTTTAGATGTTTTAACTAAACAAGTCTCGTATGTTTGATGAATAGGCCTACAAAATCATTTTTTATCTGAATATTTTATTTTTTTCCCTTTATGTGCAGTTACCTCCCTTAATGCACAGTTATACAAAGGAGCACTCCTAATTCTTTTGGTTTTGTGAGTAACCAACATATCTTTTATATTTTAGAGTATCAAAAGAAACAAATATTTAAAAATTATGCCTCATTACAATATACAAAGGTTGTAGTTTCTAGTGTTAGATGGGTTTGGCTTCAAATTATATTCTTTTGAAATATTTTACAAATGACAAGCCAAAAAGTACTTTGTTTTGATAGTTTTCTAAGAGTTTCATAACATATATCTTCACAAAATTTGGTTGTAACTTAAAAATAAAGATTTGATTTAAATGATTGAAGCTGTAAACAGTAATAGAGCACATATGCCTCCAGTGAACTGCTAGCTACAGAGTACATAACATTCGTACTCACGTGAATAATGTGTACACCCAGAAGAGTTCATCACATCTTTTGGCTTTGTTTGTATCAGGTGTGTCTTCCTGATTTTACAAGTCCCATCATAACAAATTTCAAAAGATTCACATTGGAAGTTCAAGTTGCTCGTACATTCTCGTGCACAGGATTCATCAGTACGGACATTTGATAACACTTTGTCTGCCACTGTTGTAAATACTTCACCTGGGTACTTAGTATAGTCTTTGGTGTAGAGCTCTTTGTTTTAAAAGGTATAATAAAAATAAAAGAATAATTTTGTTTAAATTTAGCAGCTGTAAATTATTTAAATTACTTAACAAAGGAGATGAAGATGATGTTATGAAGTTTAGATAGAGAACTTAAATTAAAAAATTTTTTTTTTTTATATTATGGTTTGAAGCTCATGACATTTATACTATTTTTCTTTATTTTTATTATTTATGACTGAATTTATTTTATTATAAATTATTTTTTGAAATATTACAAAGTTACCCACTTGCATAAATGTTGACGTTTTTTGTTTTATTATAAACTGATCCATCACGTTTTTGGTCTGGGTAACCACTACTCAGGCGACACCTTTCAGTAGTGAAGCTAAACTCAAATGATGCACAGTCAAACACATTTTCCTTTATATAAAAACAACAATGTATTCAACAACAGCTTTAACATCTTACTTGTACAGACATTAAATATTAAAGAAACCAGTTAGTTGACAGATCATGTGAGCACAAACAAATAGACTCTACATTTCAAAGAGAATACCTGAAGATAGATTGAGTCTTATAACAGTTTTGAGGTAATATATGTAACCCATGATTCCCAGTCACTTAATCACCAATACTTAATCCCTTAGACTTTTAATCCCAGGGAAGTTATTCCTCAGCCACGAATCTCTACCCTAACCAACACTACATAATGCTTTATAAAGGATTAAGTGACAAGGGCTTCAGAGTTTCTTCCAGGCATCTCTTCAGGGGGGTAGAGCCCCCCCCGAAGAAAGTCTAAGGCCCCCCCTGAAAATTTCAAGTGCCCCCCCCCCCTGGAGAAGAAAGTCTGGAAGAAACACTGTAGGGCTTAAGTGCCTAGGGATTAAATGACTAGGGGATTATGTAAAAAAAGTAAAGTTTCCCTTTCAAACCTGACGGTCTATGGGGCAAGTGAAGTAGAGTTCACTTGTTTCTGTGACCTCGGCATATGAAGAGATAGTGTGGTCAGCATTATGCCCAGCCGCCTTTACTTTCCGTAACGTGAGTTAGATACCCATCTGAGTTGGGTGGACTCAGGGACGGTCTACTGACTTGAACCCGGATTTGAACTCAAGACTTATGGGTTAGCAGTCCAGCTCTCTACCGCTAGACCACTCCGTCCCCTAGGGGATTATGTGTCAAAGATTAATTTTCAGGGATTAAGTTCTGGGGATAAAGTGACCAGACACTGTAACCCATATAGGGTAGAAATAACAGTTTAGACAGATCACCTGAAGACATATAAAGATATACCTGAAGACACATGTAAGCACAGTCAGTCACGCTGAGTCCTGTGAAGGTCTCATTAACCAGCCAATCACTGTACACACTGTCAGTATAGGTGACAAACTTTTGTAGCACACTGTCTGTTGAATAAAGAACAAAGTAAACATAAATAAAGATAGACTATACATCTTAACTGTATTAGCCTATTTATAGGCAAGTTGATGATGAATAGCCTTACCCTCTATCAGAGAATTGTCTTTAAAAAATATAAATATGAAATGAACAAAGAATTAATTCAATAATTTTGATCTATTTTTAAAAATATGATGAGAAAAAAAAAACTGGATGAATTAACTTAACTCCTGCAGAGTCAGGGTCACTTGGGATAAAGAGATCATCTCTGATATCTGTAGCTAAAAAAGTTTGAGTTGTGTTCTGAAATTAAGTAAAATAAACGACAATATTATAATCTTAGGGAAAAATTGTGAACAATTTAATACTTCCTTATTACAGATTTAAAAAAAAACAGTAGAAATGTATGCATAAAACTATTTTTATTTACTTGGGATAAATTTCAACTTCTTTAACTTTACCAAAATAAGACAATTAAAAAAAAACAGTTTAAATTATTTTTTAGAGAAAAGTTATAATTAGATAAGTTTGAAAAAAATCAGAAACAATGTAATAACTGTAGCTAAACTTACATCCAAAAGAGTGACTTTGATCTTAAACTGGCCATTATAGACATTATTTGAAATTATATTGTATATAGCAGTGATATCAAGAGAGGGGAAAATATTATCGTCTGATCCTGCAGAAGAAAAAATAACATTAGTGTAAATGATTTTGTGTTGAATATCTCAAAATGTTAAAAATGAAAACAAAAATCTATCATATTGTTTGACTTTAATTTGAAAGAGCTTTAAAACTCATCTAAGATATACTTTATAACTCAAATGCTTCTTTATTTTTAATGATAGCTTACTGCCTAACTGGTATACTGTGTATAAACACAGTTAACGTACTAGCATAATGCCTACAGACACCTTTGATTTACTGGTATAATGTGTACAGACACAGTTGATTTACTGGTGTACTGTGTACAGACACAGTTGACTTGCCGGTATAATGTGTACAGAAACATTTGATTTACTTGTATGTGTACATACACATTTGATTTACTGGTATAATGTGTACAGACACAGTTGACTTACTGGTGTACTGTGTTCAGACACAGTTGACTTACTGGTATAGTGTGTACAAACACAGTAGACTTACTGGTATAGTGTGTACAAACACAGTTGACTTACTGGTATAGTGTGTACAAACACAGTTGACTTACTGGTATAGTGTGTACAAACACAGTTGACTTACTGGTATAGTGTGTACAAACACAGTTGACTTACTGGTGTAATGTGTACAGTTGCTGTTAGGATGTGCTGTCTGGGCATCAGGTTTGGCACCATCATACAGGCAGAATGTACCTGTAGGATCAACACACCAATCAAAACTGCGACATTGCGACATGGTCCCGACACACATGGCTGCACAGTCTTCTGGCCTCTCGTTGGTGATGGGAGGGTTGGGCTGGAGACTGGGGCCAGGTTCAAACAAGGCTGAATTAGAAGGACATGAGTGCTTCAAAACAAAACAAAAGAAACAAAAGAAATACTTCACTAAATGAAAAACTTGTTTTAATTGATAAAATATACTTGAGATTTTCATTTTGAATATTTTATAAAAAAATTTGTGTTAAAGCTTTTTTGGTAAACAATACTTGAGATTTTAATTTTGAATATTGTATCAAAAATTTAGTCTTAAAGCTTTTTTCGTACAGCCAGATATAAGTGATCTCTCTTTCTATTGCTGAGTGTATGTGTGTGCATGCTTGTCTTTGTTAGAGTTGAATTCATAAATTTATACTATTATTTTGAAGATCAAAATAAGTTTTTTACTTATGATTATACTACTAAAAATTGGCTATCTGTAGACTTTTAGAAGTTATATTTTTACTTGCAATATAATGATTTGAATAATAATAATTTTAAATATGTAAAGAACATTTGTCAATCCATAAATAGATTTTAAAAATATCTAACAAATGTAATGATGAAAAAAAAATTCAATGATATTTTGTTTAACCAACCAATAGGTGTAATAGTTCCTAATGCTGTCACCTTTAGATACACACTGGTCTCGTCGTAGGTCAGCGAGATTTGCTGGAACTGGAGTCTGGAAATATTGGTCAGGAGGGCTAACAGGTTGACAGACGAGTTGATGAAACTGTTGGCAGCCTGATCAAGCACTGGATGGTAGCTCTCTACAAGATGGAGATTACAATTGATAAGTTGGAGGAAAAGCTTAGATTGTTTCCCCTACTCTCAGTGTGTTTTACTTACGGTTTTTGAAGATAATTATAAATGTGTGCTTCTGTTGAGGGTCGTAACATAAGGATGTGTCGAAGTAACTGATTGGATGGAATTGGTCAGCAAAGTCAAAGAAGTTGAAGGTCAAGGAAGTTTGGGCCTGGTGTGCATTAATACCAAAATAATTAAATTCGTTTGTGTTTATTATTTGAAGTATAACAAAAGTGTATAAAATGCAGTTAATATTTTTAAATGAATGCAACAGTTTGAACAATTTGACTAATGCAGTAGACATTATGCAGAAGTGATGGTGCACCTGTTTCTACTTTTCTACCAAAGCTTTTGTATCCCTAAAGTATAAACATTTTTGTTGTCTATTTCAATGTCCTTGTCATTTTTTTTTATTTCCTTAAATGACACAAGTCTTTATCTTTATTTAAATATTTTACTAGTAATTATTCTTTTATCTCAAAGATGTGAGCCATTCATGTATATATATTTCATTTATGTTCAAAATTCTGATTAAAAATAGAACCAAATCTAAGTTTTGAAAAAAAGTCATTAATTAATAACCACTAAATGAATACTCACAGATTTATCTTCAACCTGCAGCATTACTGGCTTGTTATGTGTACTATCTGTTCCATCAGGCACAACATAATCCCAGCCATCCTTGAATTGAAATTATTTCATGATGTATTATGTGAATAGGTTTATTATAAAAATATATTTTCTTAAAGCCAAAACCAGTGTCATCTTGTCCATATGCACAAAAAAATTGGTCATGTTAGCCTTGGGGTTTGGTTTCATTTGATTTAAAAAGCAAAAGTTTAGAAAATTGTGTTTGGTCTTTTTATAGTTGGAATTATTATTTTTTAATATTGTTCTATACTTTTCTTAAAACTTTTAAAAACTTTATTACAGAAACAGATTAGATGATATCACTGTTTTAATTTAGTAAACTGATTTTGTTAAGTTCTACTTTTTACATGAAACATTTTCTGCAAATTATTACTATTGCTGCAATACAAAGGCTATAAAAATATCAATAGCAAAACTTAATACTAAAAAACATTATGACCAAAAAAAAAAATAATAAAATAGAGAATGGCACAAAAATTAATTAACATCTTAGTTATCAAATACCAGAGAACAACATACATTTTTTTAAAAATGTATCACTTATAGTTTTTTGAGATTACATTAAAAATATTTGGCTTATTACAAAAAATTACTAACTGACTGAAAGTAGTATCTAAAAATGCTTTCTTGTGAACTCATGTTGTAAGCCTCCAAATTAAAATCTGTCCTTGTTGATTCAAACAAATCACATAATATCCCACGAACATTTTTCTGATAAAGAAAAAGTAAATATTTAGATCTCAAAATCTAAATTTGTTAGAAAAATTCACAACATACATAAATTATATGACTTGTAATTGAACTTATGATTTTAGAGTCATTATGTTATATTTAATACAAATTTAAGATCCATGTTTTTAAGATTTTATATAAAAACAATGACCAAGAACTATGAGTATTGAAACCTGGCCATAATATCTGTAGGAATCATCTAAATACAGTAAACTTTGAGGTGACTTCATAAATAGGATCAAGCTGCCATCTTGTTGAGGTTTGCCACTGACAATGTCAAATGCGTTCAGACTAATAGGTGAAATGTCGCAGGTTTCTTGTTGTCTATCAATCTTATAGGACACACCTGCAATATAGAATAGGATGTGGTGAAGTGTTTTAGTACAAATTACATGATAAAGATATTTAACTGTCAGTGCTTGAGATAATTCCATTATAATCATGTTTAATTTATAAGTCTATTGTGTATCATATTCGACAGGAATAATTGCTCTTCTACTGCAAGTTAAGAAACACTCTGCTAGGGCAGTAAGTAAATTTGATAATTTTGACAATGCTATCATTGACAGGCTATCTACCATAAGTTTGTATGTGATCATGTATGGGTCTTTATAATTAGATTTAATTCATAAGTCTATTGTGTACCATATTCCACAGGAATAATTACTCTTCTACTGCAAGCTAAGAAACACTCTGCTAAGGCAGTATTTTAAATTTGATAATTTTGACAATGCTATCACTGACAGACAATCTTACCATATTTGAAGTCATGTATGTATGTGATCATGTATGGGTCTTGACTGGCAGGGTTTCTAGTATCATACCTGACTAGATCAGACACACCATCATACCATACCTGGTTAGTAAAAACACTTTTAAAAATTATCTCCCCTAGATATATACACATTTTAATTAGCTCGCATTTCTTAAGAAATTTTACAATTTGTAAAGAAATTAAGTTTAAAGGATATTCACTCTATTCTGGATTTATCTTGTATTTAAGAAAATTATATATGTTCATAATGATTTAAATTTCAATTGTCATTTTCAATAATTAAAAGTTACAATATTGGAATTAAAATTGGATTTATATTATGTCATATAAATTTAAAAAAAAACACTTAACACAACATGTAAATATAAAAGGAATTATGAAAATAAAATGAGTATAGTTCTTTTTTTTTCTTAAAACTACTTGTCAAATGCTTACAAAAGTCTCAGAAACTTTATTAAATTTTGACATCACAGTCTCTATCCTGTTTGAGAACTGAAGGGGTAATGATGGTAAGGGCTTTGATCCTATTGGCTTGCCTGTCAGGTAAAGTATTACAATCAAACACTGCATGCATATAACCAATGTTATAACTATCAATAAAACAAAGCAGATACATAACTACTGGTAGAACTATCAATAACAAATCTATGTTTAACCAGTGGTATAACTAGCAATCAAACTCTGCAAGTACAGAATCAATGTTGTTAGCTATAATCTAGCCTAAGCGGTGCTGATTTAAAAAATAATAATTTCCCTCAAGAAATAATTGTGAACAAGTAATTAACTATTTACATAGCCTTGATTTTTTTTTTGGGGCACAAAATCAATTTAAAAAATCATGGGTATTTTAAGTCTTAAAAATGATGATATAATTATTGAGTACATTTAAGTATTGTATATATATATATATAAATATATATATATATATATATATATATATATATATATATATATATATATATATATATATGTGTGTGTGTGTATATATGTATATATGTATGTATACATACATATATTACCTGATAGAATCTCGACACTAATTGCTGTATATGAGCTAATTTTCTGCAAAAGAAAATAACATCTGCATTAATGTTATAAATTTGGTTATTTTATATTAATTTGGTGTGTGTGTTGATGTCAGCCATGGATGACAGACAAAAATTACTTTTTTTTTTTTTTTTTTTTGTAGAATGACAATAAACTCTATTGTTGAGATTGTATAGCAGACTTAAAGTGTTATTTTCAGACCTCAATCGGACCTCTAATATAGGTTAAAGTTTATGACCAGGGTTTTTTAATATTGATTTCAAAGTTATTCCAGTGATTAGATCATTGTGAAGTATAATCAGAGAGAGCTATTTGTTCTATGTAGCTTATTCCAATAAAGAAAAAATAATTTTCAATTGAACAAAATATATATGTGTATAATTCTAAAGAGGAACATAAAATTACATCAGAGCTTAGTATGAGCTTACATTCTGATCATCAGGAATATCAACTGTAAATTTTTTCCCATGAACTGCCTGTTCTAAAGTAGAGTAAGCCACGCTGACTGTTGGCTCTTTGATTGCATTTCCTGCTATAGGACCTGTGACCAAATATTGGAAGTGATATTAGAATGCTTAGACATGGATGTTGGAAGTTCTAATTTTACACAGCATTATAGTAATTTTATTGCAGAATGCGAAACAAAATGTTTGTTGTTCAAGAATGGAAAATTAAAACATATTGATAATTTTTGCATGCTAATCACGGATTACATGATTTATTAAGCTAAAAATAGAATGAGGATGTGCAAGGTCTTAATTCAAGAATTATTTTAAAAGCATATATTAAAAGTGTCAAAATTAGATACTGAGTGTATATCAAGGTGTATAAAAATATATCCAAAAATGGCAGTTAAAGAAAGAAATATTTTAAAAGTCGTTTAACATACGCGTGCTAAAAACACATTCAGTGGCATTTGCAATCAAAGGTGTTGTGGGTAAATGGTCCTTCAACAGCCTGGTTAACCATGGAAGAAAAGTTACTCTTTTTTTTCTGAATGTTTATCAATTCCAACATAATACGTCAAAGAATAAAAGATAAAATCAATTGTTAAAAAAATAATTAGAATATTAGAACTAACAGATTATAGAAATTGTAAATATATGTAGTTAAAGAGATTTTAAAAATTCAGAGTTCACATGTTGAAATACTGAAATATCTGTCCTTAATTGTATGAGTTATTTGCCAGAGTTGAATTAATCCTAAAAGGTATACATTTCTTACAAAATTATTTACATTAGAGCTGTTCAAGGGCATAGCAACACAAATTAGTGCCCAGTGTAGTTTACTAGTTTTGCTATCACAACTTTTATAATTTATTGCATACAACAATAAATTATAACCCAGATCTAAGCTAAGCTCTCTCCCTGCATTCCCAACCCAAGATTAACACTACACTACAATCTATTGGATTGTGGGACTGAAAATTGTAACCTAACTTAAAAATTATTTTAAACTAGGTTTCCATAGATTCATTCTTACCTGCAGGCATATCTATTATAAATGCAGTACTCAAAAGCATTACACTGGAACTCTTCATTGTTGACACATAAGTCAGCACAGTCCAAAGGTGAAGTCACCTGAAAGATGACTTTATCATCCTGGTGTTCAAAGGTTGATTTATCACTCTGCTGAAACTGGGCTAGGGAAGTTTTTAAAATATTAATACAAACCATGAAGAGTTGTAAAACTCAGTTTAGTAGTAGTTAAAGGAAGGTTAAATTTGCATTGTATGAGTGTATAATTACTTAGTATAAAGGATTGTACAACAGTAACTAACCATCAATGCTTTACATAATTAAAAACATTTTTTTTAATTCCAAGAAACCTTCTTCTTCTTCTACATCTTTGATTTTAATGATAGTGTGATTTCCTACAACATAATTAAGTATTGCGTGTCCATATGTTATGTGTCATATGGCCTGTTGACTCTGAATTTTCTTCCATAGCATTATTCCACCAAAGAACAATCTGCAAGGCGACAGTTGTTTGATTTTGGAGTTCTCTCTCCTAGATGGGTTGCTGTACCCGGGTAACGAGCCTCATCAGCCTGGGGGTTCGAACTCAGGATGTTTGGGTTAGCAATTATGCCTTCTCCCTACTACCCATGCCATTCCCTATCTACTTTTAATATTATGTATTTGTTTCATTATATAATATGCTTTCTATAACCAAGCACTAAAACAAAAACTAACAGAGATAACAGACTAAAGTCACCATAGTTCTGAGTGTCCAGTAACCAAAAACTGACGTAAACATTGTTGCCATCACTCTCTATGAAGATGCGGCTCAACCGTAGTGGACTGACATGCATCACTTCAGCCAGCTCATAGTAAACAATCTGTTTCCATTGTTCCATATTAGCAGGGTTAAAATCACCTTTCAAAATTTTTAAAATACATTTTTATTTATTTACAATTATTTTTTGTGTTATAAAATTACAATCATAAAAATAAAAGCAATTTGTTGTAGAAAAGACAATAAATAAAAATATATATCTCAGATATTTAACATGAGCGTTAAAATAACTGGTTAATTTCTAAGAATTTAAAATATTTTTCTTAAATTTGTAACTAAATAATGTTTTAAAAATTACTATATTAAATTCAAAAACAATTTAGTGTAGAAAAGTTGAACATTTCAACACCATTGTTTCAGTTACTTAACATTTAATTTACTTTTAATTTATTATGTTGTATGATTTTTTATTTTTATTTAATATCAAACCTGGAAAAGTCAGCTGGATTCTAATTCTGTTTTCATACTTTGAGCAAGGTGTAGCATCAAATATGTCAGCCATTATAAAATTTTCAGCAAAGTCAAAAAAATTATAGACCCTGGTGTAATCAACCTAAATAAATAATTTTGTCCCCAATTTTATTATACAGTATTTGCTCAAACCTACTTTTTTTAATAAAAGGGGAAAAAAAACACCTTAGTCAATTACTTCATCTTAGCTTGATTTAAAAACTAAGTTAATTAGCTGTTTTTTTTTTCTATGTCACTGGCCAATTTACTAAATATAGCATACATGGCAGAGGACCATAAAATGTATGTGATATACACACAATTATTTTATTGGAGGTTTAGTTTTTTAAAAGGATAGGCATTAAGTAATAAACAAGAAAAGGTAAAGGCCTAACAGTAAATAAAAGTAGATTAAGTTTTGAAATTCTAATAGTATTATCTAAACAATAACAACAAATAGTTTTTTTAAATAAAAATTTAAACAGAACTTAAAACATAATATATGATTCTTTACATTCTTTAAATAATTAGAAAAAATAAATTCTAAAGCTGAGAAATTTTTACCACTGGTGCATATACAACAAGTTGAACAGGGTAATCTCTGTTTGAAGTCTCAAGGCCATTCAATGGAACATCTTTCCAAGAATCCTGTTGATGATATCCTTTAGATTTAAAACACAACAACTAAAGCTTTTAACCCTCCACCATCCACTATATTTTAACAATAAATTTTGTTTCTATCTTATTATTCATTATTATTTTGTTGCTATTAATCGATTTGAATAGTTTTTCAATCCAGGTGTAACCAACTTTAATTAGGTCTATTTATTTAGTACCAGTTTCCCTAAACAAAATAATTATCTGTTATATACATATTTGCGCAATTTAAAGTAACTATTTAGGCTACCTGCAAGTTTTATAAACAATAATTTGTTGTATATTTTACTAGCTAAAAATATAAAACATGGCATAATTTTAAAAAAATTATTGAAGTAGGTTACTCAAAATACATATCGCATAAGTAGGGCATATAACAATAGCTTCCAAAGAATAACATAACTTTATGTGCTTGAATATTATTTATAATTACAATAGCCTAATTCAATAAGCATGAATAAAAAGGAAAATAATGATTGACCATACACTCAAAAAGTAAAATTCAAACTTGGCATCAACTTTTTGTCCATCCACCTTAAAGCCTGGTATAATGGCACTGAATGCATCACAGAGAAATCCTCTCACCATTTTCTGGGGAAGAACAACAATTAACATAATATAACCTTTCCTAATAGGCCAACAGCTATCTCATTTAAAATGTTATGATAACAACAATTAACATGTAACCTTTCCTTATAGGCCAACAGCTATCTCATTTAAAATGTTATGAGAATAACAATTCACATGTAGCCCTTCCTAATAGGTCAACAGCTATAACAATCAACATGTAGGCCTAACCCTTATTTAATGTTTTAGAGAAAGTTTCAAATGTAACAATTTACATATTTTGTATTTTATTTCATTACATTTTATAGCCAAGTTTAGCAATAATACAATTAAGTAATTTAAGTTGAATAATCAATACAAAAAGTATCAATACTATGGTTTACATGCTTTCTTTTAACAAAAAGGGATTCATTTTATAAAGATATTAAAATACAAACTTGACCAGCGTATTTGTAATTATCATTGAACTGGAAGAAGCTGCTTGGATCTCTGATGTCAACAACAATGGATTTATTATACTGAAATCTGGCAATGTCTTCCTTAGAATCTGCTGCGTTAAGGTCAATTGGAAAGCTGGAACAGCCTCCATTTTGATCCATTACATGGCGGACAGCTGGTAAAATTAAAGAATGTAAGAAATAAAACAATATAATTTTCTTTTCATTTATTGGTTCAAAGACCATATATAGCATACAGTCTTTTGTGATTATATTTTTTAAGGTGCCAGTTTTTTCCACCTTGTCAGGTCATTACAGCTCTGTCATTTGTTTTTGTTTTTAATTTTACCTAATTTATTTCTTTTGTCTTTTTTCGTATAGGACTTGTCTGTCTTAAGTATATTTTACTTAATAAACTGGAGGCTCTTTAAAAAACTAATCTCTTATATGGGATACACCTAATAAAAATATGGGAATTTATGGGCAATAGGTCTGGTAAGTAGCTCACCAACCAGTTCTATGGCTCATGCAGGTTTTATTGAGCCGTAAAATTGGTTTGTGATTTACTTACCAGCCCTATTATAAAAACGTTTAGCCAGAGACAAGTGGTAAGTAAAGTGTTAATGAAAGCAGTTTTCAAAAATTCCTGGTAAGTAAAGTGTTAATGCTACTGACACTAGAAGTTTTCAAGTTTTCCTACCAGTGTTAAAGTCATGGATCTCAGTAACTGGATCTTTGGTGTTGACATGAGGACCAGGGTTGGAAGTTCTAGAATCTTCTCTGACAAGCTTAGAATCCTGGTTGTACCAAATCTTTCAAGCAAAAAAAATGTTCAATAAGTTTAGTATTTTAAAAAAAAAAATAGGATTTATGCTTGTTCAATTAAGATACAAATGAAGATATTTAAAATATTATCAACAGCAAAGTAATAGTGTGGTTACATTTTAAAATCTAAAATGTGAGTTTTACAATCATAAACTTAGTTATTATTAGTTTATAATTAATAGTCTACATTTCTTCCAGCCTACTCTTAATCTTATTTTAAATCATATATTATTATATGTAGTTATGCCTAAGTAACATAATTTTGTACATAAAATCAGTAACATAATTTTCATTTTTTAAAAATGATGATAAAATTAATTATAACAATAATTTTGTTTTTATATCTGAACATTAGAATCTAGTGTTATTCATATTGACGATTTTTCAATACTATCTTATAATTATTATAATTAATATAATATATTCTACAGAGAATAAGTAGTTTTACTATAAAAAATTTTTTTAAAAGATATAGAGGAAAAATGAAATATGTATTTGCGCAACGTAGTTGCCTCAATGATAAATTCAGACAGTGCACAAGTCCTCAATAATAAATTCAGACAGTGCACAATGTTGATATCAAATTTTGTAACTTGAGATTTTTTGTTTATCAAGGGGAGTGAACTCACGGAGTAGTGTGTCACCAAACTACTTCCTGGATGAATGATCTCAGCCCTATACGTGAACACCCCTGGAAATTTTGGCAGCGTTCTGGTGTTGGTTCTGTTGACACAGATTACCTCTTCTGGTACCTAATGAAGGAAACATGGTTAATTAAGTGAAACTTAATTAGACAAAATAACAGACTTTATGTGTGGTTATAAGGATGTCCAGTTGTCTTAACTTTCTCTTATAAACCCTTGTTTTAGTTGGATTCAAACCCAGACCTACTGGTTTATTGATGACATGCCACACGAATCAGCCCATAATATACAAATATAGTGGTATAAGGGACTTGCGAGGGGACGGCGGTAGAGTTAGATTGCACACCAGAAAGTCTTGAGTTCGAATCCGTCAGGAGTCAGTAGAACGTCCCTGAGTTTATTCAGCTCTGGTGGGTATCTAACGCACGTTAGGGAGGGAACAGGACATTATCCCCCCTTCCCAGTCAATTACCCCCCCCCCCCCCGGACATCCCCCATCATTAGCCCCCAGGAGTAATTACCCCCCCCCCCCCCTGTCAATTACCCCCGCCCAGTCAGTTCGACATTACCCCCCCCCCCCCCCGTCATAGCTTAAGGTTCAGCTAGGGTTAGAGCTGGGGTTTAAGTTTAGGCTAGGGTTTGGGCTAGGGTTTGGGTTAGGCTTAGGGTTAGGGTTAGGGTTGGTGTTAGGATCAAGGTTAGGCTTAAATCATTGTCTAGTTGGGTTAAGTTTTGGGTTTATTTTAGGGTGATGTGAATTCTTAGGTTTTTCGTCTTTATCTTTAGGTTAGGATTAAGGTAATATACTGGTATAGAGTTGGAGTTAGAATCAGGGTTATATCTTGGTGGATGGGAAGGAGGGGGGGGTAACTTGGGTTAACTTGCCCCATGGACCGTCATGTTCGAAAAGGGAAATTTACCAGGGACCTGCGAAAAGGGAAATTTACCAGAGACCTGCGAGTTACTGACCAAGTACTCAGGCCTGATAGGGAAAACAATGACCGGTTGAGTCCAAATGCTAGGCCTGTTTATTAGGGTCGTGAGCCCGTGTAGGGACAAGTCCGTGAGTGAATAACTCGAATGGGTTGGAAAAGGTTTTACTAGACCTTGTATCTGATCAGAGTTGTCTTGAATATGAACTAAACTTTCTTATATAACTGAGAGTTATATGGTCGTCCATCAACGATGTCACGTTAGTAGGAGAGAGAGGGAGTACGGATTTTTGTGACGCTTAGCCACTAGAGGCTTAGCGTCACCAATATAAATACACCAAACAAAATACATTTTGGTTATTTAAATTTTTGATGGGGTGGGGGGATTTTGATAGCATTTTTTATTTTTTTTATGTGCGGAATTAGTTCTTGTTGTGATATTGTGATGATCTAAGAACATTGCAGTGGTTAAGCCGATTGGGTAACTTAAAGTGTCACCCCTCCCCTCCCCTCCCCCCTCCAATAATTGAGCCTTTTCGGTTTGGTGTCACCCCTCTCTCACAGTTATTTTGTTATTTTAGCTGGGTAAAAAATTGCTTTGACAGTCAGTTTTATGATTTTTTTTTGTCACGGTGTCTACCCCTAAATGGAGTCACCCGGTGAGGACCGCACCCCACACCCACGTTTTGATGCCAATGTTTAAGCGTATAGAAACGATGTGTGAGTGTGTGTACGTGCATGAGCGTATGAGTGGAGAGGATGTAACATCATTTATCTACGACCCCCCCCGCCCTCCTTCCCTATAATAAAACAATAAAGTGACCGTGACCTTTCGTGACCTTTCACCAGACCTACCTGGAACACTAACCAATCGTCCCCAACTGTAGGCTGGAAATTGATGAACTGGTAAACATGGTGAAAATACCAGCCGGTAGATGGCGCTGGTGGTGAGGTGGGCGTGGCAGTGAGTGGCAGCAAGGACAGACCTTCAACTTCGAGTTTGAGCGGTGCCAGCAGTGTGGCAGACGGCATGGACCAGCCAGGACCTGAGATCATGGCGTACAATAATTACGACCAGGTGTAAATTACACGGATCATTAATGCTAGACAGTGGCGTAACAAGGGGAGGGCGGGGTGGGGCGGCTGCCCCAGGCGCCGACCCTAAAGGAGTGACAAAATGAGTTTTTAAAAATACTTTAAAAGCTGATTTTAAGCTGAAGTTTTGAATTATACACAATCTAAGTTACGAAAATAAACTACTACAAGGCTTTGCACGCTGATTTAACTGTTTTCTATATCGATTTTGTTGCGCCGAAATTGAAAACGTTACGAGTAAGAAGCGCCACAAATTTTTCCAACTTGAGGGGGGGGGGGGGGCGCTTTTGCACAAACAGGAATAACTATTTATAGAAATGGAAGGAATGGGTCAAAATTGATATTCCGCCCCCGGGCGCCGGAAAGGGTCGCCACGCCTCTGATGCCAGATCAGTGTATTAATTACTACCTGAGTACATTAATTACTACTATAATGTAGAGTTATCCCCAGTGTGTAGCCTATTTATTACCCCAAATCTAATAATAGAAGCCACTGAATGTAGTTTTACCACCAAAACTTAAAATTATCACTATACTGTTTTAAATACTACCGAATGTACAATAATTACCACTATACTCTTTTAATTACCACCAAAACTATCAATTACCACTATGCTGAATTGTTTATTATCACTATTTAAAACAACTACCAGAGTGTATTATTTAGCACCAAAATCTATAGTCAGAACTACCATCAGTTCTATAACAAAACTTTTGTACAGACTCTTAATATTAAGTCGAAAGTAAAACAAAGAAACACATCTCTTTAAAAAAAAAAACAACTCACGGCTAAAATAATAGGTGACCTTGACCTTGCCTCTGGCGTTAGGTGAGTCGATGCACCCTGCCCAGACATTTGCTGGGACGCCCCGGGCTGTACGGGTGCCAACGTATACCTGCCAAGCCAATAGTGGAGCATGCAGTCTAGTCTATGTAATATTTCTTTTGTTTTTTTCTACCGGGAGGGGGGGGGGGGGGACGGGGGGATACGATGACTTGTAAATTAGTGTTATTGTAAGGTGGTGGAGGGTGATGGGTTTCTAGATAAAATCGTTACGGTAGAGGTAGTAATGGTGGCGACAGCTACCCGATTGTTTACATTCTGGTCAATGTGACCGAGGTGTAGAAGCCACGGTCAGCAAAAAAAGGGGACTTTTGGCATGTGGGAAATACAGAAGATGAATGAACAGCTTGAAAACATAAATAGACAGCTATAAAGCATGAATAATCAGCTATAAAACATGAACAAACAGAATATAAAACATAAATAGACTGCTATAATACATGAGTAAGCAGCCATAAAACAAGAATTAACAACTGCAGAACATGACACGGTAGTTCTTCCCCCTGATACGCAGCTACAAAACATGAATGAAGTTAACTTCCCTTTTGAACCTAACGACGGTCCATGGGCAAGTGAAGTAGAGTTCAATTGTTTTTGTGACCTTGGCATATGAAGGTCAGCACTCCGATAATTTTTTACCGCCCCCCCCCCCCGAACGAAATGAAACTTACATAATTTTTATAGAAAATATATACTTTTAACAGTGTCCGCCCCCCCCCCCCCCCCCCGAAGAAAGTTTACCGCCCCCCCCCCCCCCCCGAAAATTTCAAGTGCCCCCCCCCCCGGAGAAAAAAGTCTGGAAGAAACACTGATGCCCAGCCTCCTTTACTTTCCCTAAAGTGAGTTAGATACCCATCGGAGCTGGGTGGACTCAGGGACGTTCTACAGACTTGAACCCGAATTAGAACTCGAAAACTTCGAGTTAGCTATACCGCCGTTCTTACAAAACATAAATAAGCAGCTATAAAACATAAACGGACGAATAAACAGTTACAAAGCAAGAATAAACAACTGCAAAACATGAATAATTAGTAGACATCTACATAAAGCTTATTATTAAAAGCTTTATACAAATACCTACTAAATTATAAAAATAACTAAAGCAAAAAGAATAGCCAAATGTTTAATTATGTGTTTGTTAAATTAAGGAAAATTGTAGCATCATGTTTAAATTTAGTGTCCACAACTTTGTTTCTTGAAGAAGTGTACACAGTTTAAAAAAATTAAATTAATATCACCTTAAAGAATTTTTTAAAAAAGATTTTCAGTACAAGCAGTAGAATAACAACTTCTCTATTAAAATAAAAAAATCCACGGAGAAAGATGCGTTAAAACTATTGACTCATTCTCAACGTTTAAAAATGATATTTCTCTAGGATGACTTTGACTGTGAACAATTCATTCAAGGTTAGGGGTCATCCATAAATGACGTCACGCGCTTTTTTTTTACGATTTTTACCTTCGCCCTCCCTCCCGTCACACGTCGTCACAAAAATACAGCCCCCCCCCCCTAAAATGACGTCACACCCCAGCCTACAACTCCCCCCCCCCCTCAAAATTGCAGATGAATTTTTTTTAAAACATCGATATTTTTCTAAAATCTTCTGAACTCTGTTAAAATAGAGTCTTTTAATCAATTCCTAATACAATTTATTAAAACAGTTTTCTAAAACTGGAAATAACAACCAAAAATTCGTTTTCTAACATTGCTTTTTTATGATGCAAAAGTGTGACGTCGCACCAGCTGAACCCTCCCCCCCCCTACCCCTCATCACACACCGTCACAAAATTACGGAACCCCCCCCCCCTACGAGTGTGACGTCATTTATGGACGACCCCTTAGAACTGGTTATATTTCCTTCGTAAAAAAATAAATAAATAAATAAAGAGACATTGCCAAACTTACAATATTACTGTCAGCAGCGAATCTAAGGGCAGCAGCGCTACCAAACAAACGTTTCTTATCTGCCCCTGGTTGTATCGATCCAAATATGCTAGTCGATACTTCAGCTGACAAGTTTGTGACGAGGCACGATTTTGCTGCAGGATATAAAAAAATATTTAGAATGTTAAGATAGCAAAAGTACATTCATATTCCTGGCAATATTTTAAATACATTGTAGGGCGTCCAGTCAAATAACTGTCAGTCTATAAATAGCACATGTCATCGCCATAACTACAGGCACAGGCGTAGGCATAAGCATAGTCATAAGGGGGGGGGGGGGGGTCATCCATAAGTGACGTCACGCTTTTTGACGATTTTTACTCCCCCCCCCCCCTCTCCATCACACATCGTCACAAAAAGCCAGACCCCCCTAAAATGACGTCACACCTCAGCCTACAACCTACCTCAAAATTGCAGTTGAATTTTTATTGAAATATCGATATTTTTCTAAAAACTCTGTCAACATTGAGTATTTTAATAAATTCCTATTACAATTTATTAAAACCGTTTTCTAAAACGCGAAATAACGGCTAAAACTCGTTTTCTATCATTGCTTTTTTTAAAACTCAAAAGTGTGACGTCAAAGCATCTGAACTCCACCCCCCACCTATCACACACCGTCACAAAATAACGGACCCCCCCCCCTGCCCCCTTTGAGTGTGATGTCATTTACAGTGTTTCTTCCAGACTTTTTTTCTCCGGGGGGGCACTTGAAATCTTCGGGGGGGCGGTAAAACTTTCTTCGGGGGGGCGGACACTGTTAAAAGTATATATTTTCTATATAAAATATATAAATTTCATTTCGTTCGGGGGGGCGGTAAAAATTTTTCGGGGGGGGCTTCGCCCCCCCGAAGAGATGCCTGGAAGAAACTCTGGTCATTTATGGTCGACCCCTAACCATAGCCATAGACGTTGGCATAGGTATGGACACCACCACAAACAGCCTTTATATAAGTCATACCGTTGACGGACGGCGGACGGACGGGGGGGGGGGGGGGGGGGGGAAGAGAATACCGATCTTCTTTTTTTTAATCATTGAATTTCTTTCTTTATCGGAGGAATCAGCCAACAACACCAACGGCCTGGACGAACTGCTCGGCCGTCTCCAGATTTGTGCAAAAATATTCAAGATCAATGATTTTATTAAAAGAATTCTGACCAATTAATTTCAGTTAAATACATTTAGTCGAAAATATCCCACTTCCAAAAAATTTCTTTCATTGTACATTGTTATTAAATTTCAGACTCGCAGTTTTATATGGTAGGTGAAGTAGAGTTTATCTGTTTTCAGACCTCGGCAAATACGAAATAGTGAGATAAAATCTATGTCCAGCCGCCTTTGTTTTTTCTAACGAAAGATATATAGGGCTACCCATCTGTACTCGTGGATGTTATACAGACTATCATTTGGGATCCGAACTTGAGACTATTGGGATAGCAGTCGTAATCTCTACTCCCCCCCCCCCCCCCCCACCACCAAGCCATCTTACCGACATGAATCGGTTAGGTAATCAAGTAACTGATACAGAGAGAAGGCTCTTGTTTTTGATGACTAAAATGTTAATTTTACATAATAAAGGTTGGAGATAAATTAGCAATAGTCTAAAGTTTAACATTAATATTGGAGTTATGATAAGGGTTAGAGTTTAACCACATTTATTCGAAAAAACCTATGCAAAGCCACACACCCAACCCATATATATAAATATATATATATATATATATATATATATATATATATATATATATATATATATATATATATATATATATATGTGTGTGTGTGTGTGTGTTTGTGTGTGTGTTGTAAGTGCGTGTAATTATGAATATTCTGTAATATTGAAAATTATTTTAAATAGAATATCAATGCGTAATTGTAGCCTATTACTTCCCATTTGTAATCCACAAATAACAAAGGGATATAACCAATTTTCATCTTTCAAAGAATACAAGAAAATGTATTTGCGATAGACTAGAAAATTTAATGTTTTATTTATTTCGTTTAACGTGAGTTATAAAATTTTATAAGAGGTTTTGTCTTTTTGTCATAGTTAAAAAACATTTGAATTATCTAGCGAATAAAATCTAAATAGCGGGACAATAATTATGTAATATACAAATCGTGGCAAGATGTGTAGTTTTATATAATTAATGATTTTGTCTTCATGCCACTGAACTCTATGAAGAGTAATATTTATTTTGCTACGACGCTGCATTACAATCATCTTTGCTAGAATTACACTAATAAAAAAAAAGGAAAAATGTATTAAACTACTTTGAAACTTCCGGTGCGGACTTTAATCTCCGGGGGGGGGGGGGGGGGGGGGGGGGGAGACGTAGGTTTAAGTTTATATTTTCAATATAGATAATATAATTTTTTTTCTATTTCGTTGAGGGGATGGGGGAAGAAAGGGCGATGGGTGTGTTTCGGGAGGAAGCGCCCCCACCACCCCCTTTCAGATAAGATGCCTGAAAGAAACTCAGTACTGATGCGTCAACATTTGTCAGTTAATCAATCCGTTAGCCGTTAGGTGGATCTAAGAGGAAACAACTCCCGCCCCTTACCGTCCGGGTCGACTCGTAGAATCTCGTCTGTCGCGAACGAGAAAATCTCCTGGATCTTTTTGTGCTGGCGGTAAGTGAACACGACCCCTCGGTTGCTGGTGCCATCCAGGTACTCCTCCGTTACCATGGTGATGTTTTTCTCCTGTAGGGTAATCTCCACCTGCGCCTGATAGGATTGGATGCCGGCCATTACTGTAGGTAAAGGGGGCGCTGAAACAGAGAGATTCATTTACGGATTTATCTAATCAACGCAGGTTAAAAACTCGGAATAAATATACATATATCACCCCCAAAACATTAAATTCTAGCATTCGATTCGGTTTTAGGCGTAATGATCAGTGTTTCTTCCAGACTTTTTTTTCTGCGGGGGTGCACTTAAAATATTCGGGGGGGGGGGGGGGCGGACAACAATTGTGGTGGGGGGGGGGGGCGGACACTGTCAAAAGTATATATTTTCTATATAAATTCCAGTGCCCTCCGAAGAGATGCCTGGAAGAAACTCTGGTAATGATAATATGTACGCATATAGTAGCAGTAGATTTTATCTGTTTTTTTTTTTACTCGAGATACGAACAGCTTGTATTGTTAATGTAGTCTAGCCGCCTTTACTTTCTCCGATTTAGCCAGATATTTACAATAACTGTGTGTTTTACGGGTGGGGGGCTGGAGGCGCACTTAAATTTTCGAGGGTGAGGAGTGAAGCACAGGTTTTAAAAATATATTTTCTATATCATCATATATTTACATATTTTCCAATTTCAACCGGCGTGTGTGTAGGGGGGGGGGGGGAGAGAAATGGACGGTGGACTTTACTCAGGGGGAGGGAAGCGGGATAAAAAGATGCCTGAAAGAAACTCAAGTGGGCTCGCAGACAAGAATGACCTTAAAACAGCTAAGTTACTAGTAAAAGATTTCCATTGTGTTTAAGGAGAAGTAGAGTTTACGTGCGCTTACCATTAGGAAAAGCCGCGGGGACTGTACAGCTGAAGTCAACAGCCTGTCCAAAGTGTAACCACATCGCCACCACAGCCACAACCGTCCTCCCTAGAGATGGCATCTTGTAACTAAAATGTGGTAGAATTCATGAGTAGCCAAATTTTTCACTTAAGAGAGTTTTATATTTTTATTTTAAAGTGCTCGTATAAGCTTGAAATCATAATGGTTTTTATATTGGTTTTATTTTGTACCTTTTAGTTATTAGGAATATACAAATATAGTAAGTCGATATTAAAGATTTTAAAATATTAGTACCATATTTATTCTAGTCAGTCATGGCATCCTTAAAACTAAAGAGATACTAGCTTTAAAACATAACCAGTTGCTTGTGATCTTAACACTAGATAACAACCCTCGTCTTTTCCCCTTCTACGCGAGACAGCTGAGGTAGATTCATCCTTTTTTTAATGACTTCGACATAGGAGGGATGGTGCGGTCAATACTATGCCCAGAAGCCTTTATTTCCATAACGTGAGTCAGGTACCCGTTAGAGCTGGGTGGACTCCGTGACATCTTACAGACTCATGTCCGAGATCCAAACTGGAGACTTCGAGTTAGCAATCGTAAGCTCTATCTCCCGACCACGTCATGCATTCAACGAAAACACCAGTGAACACATCTCACCTCGGCCATCTGGCTGATGAAGTGACAGCTAGTACTTCATTGCGTTAGTCACCCTTTAGTAATGGACACCAGCGAGAAAAGTCTCAAAGGTATTTGAGAGGTGTATAAATTCATTTAAAAATCATGCACAGCGTAGTTACAATTAATATGGTTATAAAATCCTGCCTGTCTGGTTTTTTTCGGACTTTACTAAAGATTGGATGTATTTGATGTTTATAATATTTTCGGTAACTAAATAAAAATTTAAAAAAAAGCAAAAACAATTTGGTTTTCACGTGTAATGGCGACATAAACAATGGCATCCTGCTATTGGATAGGCCGACATTAATTTTATTGTACACATTGTAAGCTAAAAATAGAAAACTAAGTCATGGGGTTTTAAATTTGCATTGTTATTTAAAAACTTGATCTGCAAAGTTTTGTAAACAAATAGTTATCGATCACTAAGTTACTGTACAGCCAATCAATATTTGTTTTACGAAAGTGAAACATCCGGTTATAACTTAGGCTTGATGAAAATAAATAGAAATGTAGCCTTAAACTCAACAAATTATTTTCAAGTTCTCTGGATTTACAACTTTTATAGCATTTATTCTAAAAATATAAAATTTCTAAATTAATTTTAGGCTTAAGTTTTTTTTTTAATTTTTTTTTTTACGGTCTAAATCTAAAAAGCACGTTTTTATTCCATGTCAACAATACTATGGAAGGAATCTCGTCAACTCGCTTGTCTCCATTGAATATAGATCTAGAAATACGAGTTTATTTTTAAATGACTAACTTAATGTCTAATTTGGTTGAAAATTAAATATTTTTGCGTTGTTATTTGAAATTAATTTATCTGGAAAAAATTCGGTAGAAGTGGGAAGTAAAAATTAGGTTAAGTGATTTGATCACAAACACGCAAACGCGACAGGCAGATACACATTGTAACTTAATAAAAGATTGTGATAAAATACCTTCGGTCTTCTGTGTTATCGAAGGGTAGGAAAATCAAAATAAATAAAAAATTCTTGAAATATCTTCTAGAACCGTCCTAGTCCTCTAACTAGAACTAACCGAATACACAGACAGACACTCCCATTCAACACACAACAACATTGTCGCAGAATGGTAAGTCACTGTTACTTTTTCATGGAGTTACCGATAGTTTGTTGTTAACGATAGTAGAGTGGTTGATTAAAAAAGCCTGTATCAATAAAAAAAAACGTGTGTGTGCCTGTGTGTATGTGTGTGTGTTTGTTTATCAGTCTGAGCACGGTGATTAAAGCACATTGATGTCATAGGCTAATGATAAGGGTAACACAGACGTATCAACAATAGTATGATAGCTCAGTGACTATATAATATATATGTGTGTGTGTGTGTGTGTGTGTGTGTGTGTGTGTTTGTGTGTGTGTGTGTGTGTGTGTGTGTGTGTACACAGATAGATAGATAGATAGATAGAAATTGCATTTTTTGCATGCTTAAATCTTTTTAATATCAACTTCCAAACGGACATATAAGGAACATATTTTCCTCTTTTAATAATATTTGTTCTTCAAAAATTGAAATCCTCAATTTTCTGGCAGTAACAGGAAACTCAGTAATCTTACACCGATCAAGTCACGTAGAAATTTCCACCATTTTCTGACAAAAATTCAACACTGAATGTGTGAGCGTTTTTTTTCAAGACCACAAAGGTTACATACTATGTCTTCATAGGTGTTAAATAGCAGATCAAACAAAAGAATCGGCTCCTGATTAAAATAAAATTAGTAGGCCGTATCAAACTGTATGTACCCTAAACTTGAACATTTTAAAAATGTGTTTAAAAAAACCTTTTTAAAAAAGCTTTTAAATGCACCGAAAATAAGAAAACTAAACAAACTTGCTTTCTTTAATAAAAGCTATGGTCATTTATGAAATCTTTGACATATTTAAATTATATTTTTAAAAATCAGATACCCTTGCATTTTCATTGAGAAAAATTTGAACACAATGGCAGCATTAGGAGTGGGTTAAAATTACAAGAATTTGTCACAAACCATAAACGGACACTGCACGCTAATTAAAATTTTATTTAAAAAAGCATTCATGTACCTAAAACATCAAACCAGACATTTTTTCTACCCCGGACACTAAACGCATTCCTCTACCGGAAACAGCGATACTGGCGGGTGGAAACTTCGTTCCGATACTCCATGTGACTCAATCAGTGTTTCTTCCAGACTTTTTTCTCCGGGGGTGCACTTGAAATTTTCGGGGGGCGGTCAACATTTTTCGGGTGGGGGGGGGGGACACTAGTAAAAGTGTATGTATACTATAAAAAATCCATCTCGTTCTGAAGAGATGCCTGGAAGAAACTCTGGACTCAATACCTTAACGTTATTTTTACAGAGTCTTGTTACCGGTTTCATATTAAAAATCTAATTAATTAATTAACTAGCTTCCCAGTATGCTAATTAATTTTTTAGCAGTTTATAATTGCTAATTAATTAGATGCTTTAATTATTAAAAAGAGTCAAGTTTAATGTAAGAAAAATGACGTCATATTATTCTACTTAGGCCTAATATAAAGCTTTGTTAGAAATGGATACATTTCAGAAGAACTGTGTTAAAAACACAATCTAAAGTAAGCCATTTGAGATTTCAAAATATAGTAGTTTTTTTAATTAAATTTAATCATAACATATTTCTAATTTGAGGATAATGACTAACCTACATCATCTAATTGTTGTTGTTTTGTTTACTTTGGGTAACGTTCAAAATATTAACTGTAAAAACGATACAGATGGTGAACATGAATTTTCTAAGAAAAATATTTCAGAGAATTGGGAATTTCCGGTGGAAATTTTCGTCAATGAGTCGGAATCCGTCTCCAATGTAACTTCCTGTGTGGGAAAATGTGGGCAGTTGCAGCAGATGCCGTGTGCGTATGATGTCCGGTGCAGTGTTCATAAAAACTGTTGTGAAGACATGGTGGACGCCTGCCCGGACGTACTAGAAGAGAGCCGGACATTGTACACGGCACTGCACGGATCTGTTGTTCTATGCTCCAGTGATGGAATTTTTCAAATCTCAAGATGTCCGCCGCGTCAAAATCGAATGGATTTGAATAGACCTAGAATAATGAGTAATGTCTATACGGAGAGCGTTGGTTAAGAATCGTTATAAATTACTTTTTATTGTAAAGCGTCCGTATGTAACTTCTAGTGAATGTAAATAAATGTGTTGTACTGTATGTTAACACTTTTTTTAATGTTTAGCACCAGTGTTGTCTAAAGTGTGTGATTGGTTTGCTCAGGCTTTATTTAACCTTCTTGTCCCAATGTGGATGCACACGTGAGCGAACATTTCAGTCCCCTTATAAATAGTTACAAGGAAGGGCAGCTTGTTTATTCTGGCCAATGTGACTAGACCCCGCTCATATATACAAGACTTTGAGACCACGGGCGTAGCGACTCTTTCCGGCGCCCGGGGCGGACTATTAATTTTGACCCCTTCCTTCTATTTCAATATATAGTTATTCCTGTTTGTGAAAAAGTGCCCCTTCAAGATGGAAAGTTTGTGGCGATTCTTAAATCAGTTAAACCAGTGTGTAAAGCCTTGCAGTCGTTTATTTTGAATATAATTAAAAACTTCGGATTAAAATGAGCTTTTTAATTATTTTTTTTTACTTCCGGGGCGGATCCACCCAACCGACCTCCCCTAGCTACGCCACTGTATTAGACACTATTTTAAGTTGTAATACTTGGACAAAATTATTATTCTACCCTGTTTATTGTTTGAATTAACACAATACTTTATTACTTTCAACAAGTGGTGTGTGGGATATCCCACAGGGATTCAGCTGTCTGAGCACTGTAAAGAGAAGAGAAAAAAACACAATCACGACATGGGTTCTGAACCCGCAAACAACTGGATAGATCATGAATATTCTCTACTCGGCCACGTCGTCACATACCATTAGTCAAAATGTGGTATTTTATAATACATGAGACTCTCGGGGGGGGGGGGGGGGGGGGCTAGTCTAGTCCATCCTATCCGAGTATAGCACGCCACTGATTTCAATCATGTTTTACCAGCACTAGCTCTGATTCGTGTTTGGTTTTCCGTAATTTTCACAGCTCGTCCTGGGGCCACTATTGCAAACCAGCGCCCCCATTAGCCTCTCTAGTAATAGACTAGTTTACTTACCACTGTCTTTTAAAGCTTCTGCTAAACTTTGGCGCCATAATTGCGCTTTCAATATCTATGCAATTACACTCGCAAACTCACATCGGCCTATAACGCAGATAAATATAATTTAAAAATTATTATTAAATCAATTTTTAAAAAAATTAATTCAGAAATTCTCACTATTAAGTTTTGAAACTTGGTTTCATGTTTTAAAAATGTAATTTTCTTATTGTTATTGGAGATTTCGCCACATTACACCGGTGTAGTCAAGATTAA